CTAGTGGGACAGAACACGCAGGTTTCCGCAACCAGAACTTGCAACCTGGAACAGATGATAGAACTTAGAACCTAGAACTAAGAACCTGGAACTCTATCTCCGGTGTCCGATCATTAGCTAAATGCCGGCGTGCCAGCGTGGGAGGAGATACCTTAAGCGAGATACAGTATCTGGCATACTGATTACCAAATGCCAGATACAAATCGCCGGACCGGAGAGAAGGGAAGCTCAGCGAGCAATTAGCTCTTCGAGTGGCACTTAATTGAATCGCAGGAAGGACTCCGTCTCCGAAACGTGAGACTTTTTTCCACTGCAAATTAATAAAAACAGTTACGCATGCGCGCGCAGTGGAAAACTCGTTGTTCGCTGATTGTCGGGAAAACTGGCGAGGCATCCATCACCTGTCCATCCAGACTCTCAGCTCCCCAGCTTCCAGAACCGAGCATCCACTATCCAGTATCCAGTATCCCGCATCCGTATCTGCTGAATCTGCATCGGAATCTCCCGTTGCCCCGTCGGTCGAGCCTATTATTTTGGCAATTGCTGTAATCAATTCGCTGTTATCAATAACAGCTAGCGGTGTAATAATTGAATGGGAAGCGCAGCGAACTCGACTCCTCCCATCCGCCGATTGGGGCCATAAGAATTTGTCTAAAATTGCGCAAACAAAATTATGATATATTTGCCCGCACCAATAGCAGATCGGTGATCGCTGATCGGTGATCGCCATCAGTTCTTAACATAGCTCCCTGTGATTAGCCAAAGTCGGGGGAAAACCTGACAGACAGGCGGACGGATTGATTGCTGGCGGGATGGCCAGGAGGGTGGGGCCTTCATTAAAGCCATGCAGGGGCCATCAAAACTGGGAACACATCAGAACGGAGACAGGACACTCGGGGCCCTAAGGAAACCCTCTGCAGAAGTGTAGAACTGTGGGAAAGAATGCTATAAGCTCGACTCCTCCCTTAACTGCTTAATTACAGCGCCCAAGGCCAGACTCATTATTATCTATTAAGCAGTCAGGGATGCTAGTTCCACCAGCAGGCTGGTAAAATGGCAAGCTGGCCAACTGACAAACTGACAAACCAACGAAGCTGACTCTCTAATGACATCGGGATCGGGTAAGGCAACAGCCATAAATATGCATATGAGATGGGCTCGAGGAGCTGCTGAGCCCGCCTGCAATTACAATGTCCACATATTCTCCTACAGAATAGGCCTCGGAATAGTGCTCGTCCTAGCCGATATTGCCCTAGCCTTGGTAATTGTTTCATATGCACGCCGGCAGCAGCAACAAGAACAGAACAGCTAAAGCAACAGCCTTCGACTGGTGCAATTTCATGGCATCCCCAGCTCTAGTCTCTAGTCTCCAGTCTCATCTCCATCTCCATTCCATTCCCGGCATCATGACCATCGGGCATAATTTACTTAGAAGGAATCATGGCCTGGGCAGCCGTCCTCCAGTTTGGTAATAAAACACAGCGTCACGCCAAGGTAGCGCCCTAGCCAGAAAGCCATCTTCCACTGGATAGCCATCCAGCCATCTAGCCAGCCTTGTTTTTTTTTTATCCACCAGCCTGCGCAACTGCGTCCAATTTGGCCGCAATCGAGGAGGAGCAGCAAAAAGAAGGAGCTTCGATGTCTACATTGCTACCTTGTCGCCGACATAATCATGTTAAATTACTCGCAAATTCATTTGGCAGTGAGGAGGAGGCCGCTTTTCAGTTGCAGTTTGCATTGTTAGGGCGCCTGCCGATGTTGCTAGTTGCCCGCTGATGTTGCTAGTTGCTGCTTGCCAGTTGCCAGTTGGAAGTTGCAAGTTGCAAGTTGCAGTTGCTGCCTGGCGGCTGCTTTCAGCATTGATGCATGGACATGATACTGGGACTGGGAGCTGGGAGCTGGGACTGGGAGCCCAGGCTCCAAGTTGTTAGCTTGTCGCTCACTCCATATTGATCTGCTCGGCATTATGGAAATTATGTGATCAAGGCCGGGGAAAATGGAAATTGTTTCTGCGATGGAAATTGGCGGGCCAGAGGAGTCTGGCAATTACAGATCGATTTATTGCTCCTCTGCCCAGGGGAATTGTTTCTCCTTTTCTTTTTTTTGGGCTGCATCTAATTAGAAGCCAGATAAACGCAGGCGGGCTGGGTGAGAAATCGCCAGAAGACCCAATCGCACTCCTCCTATTCCAGCTCTTTTTTCTCTTTTATTTTTTTTTATTTTTTGGTTCTTGAGAGGTGGGTGTGGTCAAGAAGTTGCTGATGTTGCAGCTGCAGAATAGCGGTAAACAAAAAGTAAAGACCAGGAAAAAACGAGGCAACGACGACAACGCATTTGGGGACAACAAGCCGGCGAAGATTTGTGTTTATTTTGTAATCTCTGAAATATTTGTGGCATGGCAAATATTTTCGCTGCATCGCCTGCATTTCCGCATGGCCAGAAGTTGGCCAGAAGTTCGAGGCTATCAACGAGGAATATTTGGGAAAAGGAAAACTTCCACTTTTTTTAAGGCATCTGCAACAGGCGGCGAGTCCACCTACAGCACTAAATAATAAAGCGTAACCAGCAAAAGGCGTGCCTCGCTCGGAATCTCTCCTCAGTTTTGGTTTTAGTTTTTAGTTTGGGCCATGGGACCCACTAACTTGGCCAGAACCGGCGAGCCGAGCCGAACCGAGCCTTATGGTCCCAGAGCACCTAGGCCTACTTATGTAAGTGAGGCTGCCAGTGCTTGTGGCTCGTATTTTATGGTTTGTGTACACATTTTTGCACACATGCGCGCCGGGTCGTTCAACTTGTTGTTCCACCGCTCCATGGCCATGGTCAGGTGGGTGGGGAGTGGGGGGCAGACGGAGGTTCCGGGTGGAGCCGTAGAAGGAGGTGGAAGAGGAGTTGGAAGAGGAGGAGGAGCGGAGGCGGTGCGCGCGCGCTTTCCTAGAATAAACAAAATGCACGACTCGGCCAAGAGCCGCCAACAACTTTGGCTTTTTCTTTGGCTTTGACTGCCTGAGCACACGAAGAAGCCGAGTTGCTGCTGTTCCACAGAGAAAAATAGTTAAATTAAATCTGGAAATCAGAAAAACCATTCAAATCGAGACAATATATTGCCAAAAGTAAGGCGGAAACCCTTTACCCTGAATGATAAACTTCAATGTAAATGAAAAGCATTCCAGTTCATAAGTAAAAGTAAAGTTGTCTTAGTAGCTTATTTTCTTCATAGGTTCTCTCCTTTAAATAAACATAAATCCAAATTTATATAAACCTCAACTCACCTGTTCCCCTTTTTTGCTGAGTGCACTGTTGTTGCATCCACATCAACACCAGCAACATGCCGCATCGGCAGCAACTTGGCTGACTAACTGACTGACTGACTTCTGTTTGTTGGACCGACACGACCATGTTTGATGTGTACCACAGTCGTCATTATCATTATCGTCATCATAATCCCCGCCAGCCAGCCAGCCAGGGAGCAGCTCAGCAACTCGGCAACTCGGCAACTGGGCAACTCAGGCGTCTCCTCCGATCGCAATGATGATGTACGAGTATATGTGGCTTGTTTTAGTTGTTGCACTTGCGCGGCGCAAAATTGTTGCATAAGTTTGCATTACAAGGCGGTCTCGCGGCAACTGGGGATTGTCTTGGCTTACTGGCTTGCTATTTCTGGCTTACTGGCTTGCCAGTGTGCTGCTGCTGGCCACATGATTGACTCCCATTGCCAAGTCCACGGCCAAAATCTCCTCGAGTTTCCCGCTCGAGTGGCAGTGGCAGAGGTAGAGGCTCCCTCGCCGGCAATCCTTAACAGTTAATGTGTGAATTTTTATGCGTTGCCAGGAACGGTCGTGTTGTTGTTCTTACCGCATAAAATGTAATTTACATCCGTTAGCTTCGAGTGAGCTGGAGCCACCAGCCACCAGCCACCATCTCCTCCGCCATCTCCCGCCGCTTCGAAATTGCTACTCTGATTTGTGGCTGCCGTTCGGAGTCGGGAGTCGCGAATCGCGAATCGCGAATCTGGGTTCTGGATTCTGGATTCTGCACTCTGGATTGTGGACTCTGCATTCTGGATTCTTCGGTCTCGGCCAAATTCATGCTTATGAGCACTTGCCGTTAGGATTTTCATTGTTGTTTCGCCTGCAATTTGTTGCCAAATTGTATGGGCCAGATCGTCCGTGGCTTCGACTTCGATTTAAATGTGGAGTCATCTCGGTTTGTCGGTTCTCGATTCTCAGTTCTCCTCGGTGCCCCGAGAAGTATGCGGAAATTAAAATGTGAAATATTCGAGAAATTGTCAACCCTTCAACCAGACGCAATTAATCAAAGTTGCGGCCGCCGGTGGCAGCAATTCATAAAACAGCAATTTGTCAAATCATTTCTGCGGCAACAAGTGGCAGCCACAGCAGCAACAAGTTGGCCTTCCTGGCCAACTGTCAGCTTAGACAATTTGTTTGAGCCATTTTTCCAGGGGGAATCAAGCAGAATAGTGTGGGACACACGCAGGCAGCTTTCTTGGCCATTTTTCCTGGATTTTGTGATGCTGTTGTTGCTGGCTGAATGTTGGATGTTGCAGCCGGGCTGCATTTTGATTACGTGGTAATAACACGTTGCACGCACACAAAGCCAAAGCCAAGATGCTGCTGTTGCTGTTGCAATTTGGCGTTGCTCTTGGCTTTTAGACCCTGTTATCACGCCGGACAAGGCTATCAAGGCTAGAACTACCTAGAAAATATAAAAATAGCAAGATAGGATAGAAAAAGAAAAGAAAACCTGGCCTACGCAGTTCCCCGGCCAATTTCAATTGCATGCTGGCACAATTAGAGTTCGGCATTCGCGGCAGTGGATAAATTAATTTACTATGGTCATGGCGATGGCGATGGCGATGGCGATGGCGATGGCAATGGCTAACGGATATGGCCATCGTAAAATTACCGTCGCAGTGGGGGAAACACAGCGAGTATGGCATTTAATTAAATAATAAAGATTCCTTCCACCATCTCTCATTGCAGCCCCGTTGCAGGAGTACACGGAGATCCAGCAGTATTCTGGTAAGTCGAAAAACCGAAGTCGAAGGCCTGAAAGTCGGGAGCGTGGAAGCTGAGCTGATTAACTGGCGGCCATAACCATCGGAGGAGCCTAATAAAAGTGCATTCAGTTCGGTTTTATGCTGATTACATTTTCCCCCAACAATGCGGAAGAGAGCGATTTATGGGGCTCCGTAGTACGAATATTTGCTTTCAGTTCGTTACGTTACCTTACTTGCTCGTTATTAAATCGCTGCCATAAAAGAACGTTATCGATTCGGCGGCGGCGTTTCCTAAATGGCTAATTAGCCAGCCACTTGTCGTAAGCCGCTAATCGGGGCCCAATTATCGGGCCGATCGTGGCCATAAAGCCGCATTAGCGAGGTGTGAAGCCAAGACAAACGGAAACACAAAAAGCGAACATAAAGCGCTGCCTTTTTACGAGTTATGCTGGAGACGTGAGGCGGAGACCCGAGCTCAAGCTCTGAGATTTCAATCAAAAAGTGGTCTAGCCACGGCTCACAGGGGCAGTGGACGAAGGAGGGGGAACTCAACGTGTTAATGATGTGAAATTTATTGCGGGTGGACGTCACTAAATTAGGCAGCCAGTCAGAAACAGAAGCAGAAGCAGAAACACTGGACACACGACGTGCGCATATTTTAAGACAAACGACAAACGACTCGAGCGACAGTTGACTTTTGTTTAACGACACTGATGAGCAATAAAATTTGTCTATAGCCGTCTATATAGCACGTATATACGATTATTATGACAAGCGACTGGCGCTAAGCCGCCGATTTATGGCCCAAACCAGCACAGTGGCACAGATCGCGGGGGAAAAAGCCAAATGCGAAATGCGAAATGCGAAACGAGCGTATTGTGGATGGCCCGCTTGCATAACTAATAACTGGAATCCATTAGCTTTGGAGGAGAGCGGCATTGTTTCGGGGGACTGGGCTTTCCCAGGCTGCGGCCCAGATTTCCACAGCTCACTCTCGAATTTCCCTATTATTTCTATTCTTACAGAGGGCTGCTACTACAACTATGCGCACTACCAAGAAGGCGATCGCATCATGACCAATGAGCCGTGCCTCAACTGCACCTGCCACAACCGCATGCTGATGTGCTACCTGCGCGTCTGCCCCTTCACAAAGCCCATTGGCCACGACTGCATCGTGGAGAAGCGGGAGGACCAGTGCTGCCCCATCATCACCTGTCCCGAAGGTGAGTTAGCAGCTAGCAACTGGATTAGGTTTCCTTTAACTTCCTTTTTATTTAGTCCCAGTGGATGTGCCCTACCACTCGCCGGAACCCGGAACCGAGCTGAGCATCCCCGAGAAGTTCGGCTGCAGCATCGAGGAGAAGTTCTACCCGGAGGGCGCCCAGGTGCCATCGAACCCCAACAAACCCTGCGAACTCTGCTACTGCATCAACAACCAGACCAAGTGCGTCATGCAGGAGTGCACGCTCCACGTGGACGGCTGTCTGCCCATCTACAACAAGGGATCCTGCTGCCCAGTGCGCTACAGTTGCGGTGAGTCTTTACCAGAAGATATATTCTAAGAATCAATTGGAGAGAAGCTTGAATGGCTTATACCTCTGATTCATTCAACTACTTAATTCAAATACTTACAATTTCTGTTTACCCTTCACAGACCATGAGAACGAATTGGACTTTGTGGACCAGTCGACCACCACGACCACCACCACAGTGCGTCCCACCACCGGCTTCATCCTGGAGAGCACAATGACCCCGCCAACCTCCACCGACTGCATCCACGACGGCGAGGTCTACGCCGACGGAGCCTCGCTGAAGGGCAAGAATGCCTGCGAGCACTGCTACTGCATGCGAGGAGATATTGTGTGTGCCGTCCAGGAATGCGAGGTGCCCATGATGGCAGCCAACGGAAAGTCCTGCCGCGCCATGCCCGCCGCCGAGGGAGAGTGCTGCCCGAGCAACTACGTCTGCGAGGACGACAGTGCCACCACCGAGATCGTTGAGGTCACCACTGCTGAGGGAGTTACTTCGGCGCCGGCCAAGGGCATTCACGCCGAGATTCCCAAGGAGGATGTGGATCTGCAGGAGCACATCGACGACGAGGAGAAGGACCAGGGCAAGGACAAGGAGAGCTCCACCGACATTCCATCCGCCGAACTGGGAAGCGGAGAGGTCGAGGACGAAGAGGAGGAGGGCAAGACCACCACCTCCACCACGGTTGCTCCTGAACGAGTCACGGACGAGAAGGACTTCTCCTTCGAGCCCGAATCCTCCACCGCTGGCATTGCCTCCGACTCCAGGATCGATGTGCCATCCTCCACCGAGGACACCAAGGAATCCGCCACCGAACCCGCCGAATCCGCAACTCCAGAACCAGAGGGCAGCGGCGAAGAGACCAAGCCTGCCGAGATTCCCGAGAAGGATGTCACCGAGGAGGAGTTCATCAAGGTCAGCACTTCCGCTCCAGCCAAGGCCAGTCCCGAAGAGGAAGTGGTCAAGGCCACCACCTCGTCGCCAACGGAAGAGGAGGAGGAGGTTAAGCCCACGTCGGAGGGAACAACTGCCGGAGAGGAGGAAGAAAGCAAACCTTCGGAGGAGGGAAGCGGTGAGGAGGAAAAGGATGTCAAAGCCACAGAAGCCCCAGAGGAATCCGAAGAGGAAGCCAAGCCCACTTCCACTCCAGCGACAAGCGATGAAAAGGAGGAGGAGGAAGCCAAGCCCGCTGAGGGAAGCGGTGAGGAGGAACAGGAAGCCAAGCCCACTGCCGCTCCCGAGGGAAGCGGTGAGGAAGAGAAGGATGCGGAGCTCAAGCCCACTTCTGCTCCAGCGGCAAGCGAAGAAACCGAACAGGAAGCCACTTCAGCTCCCGCCGAAAGCGAGGAACCCGAGGCAGGCAAGCCCACTCCAGCTCCATCTGCCACCGATGATGTTGAACCACCCAAGCCCACTGAATCCGCCGAGGAAGCTAGCAGTGAAGGCGAAGAGGAAATCGTCAAGGCAACCACTCCTGCTGGAGAAGCATCCAGTGAAGGAGAAGAGGAGATCGTCAAGGCAACCACACCTGCTGGAGAAGTTCCCAGTGAAAGTGAGGAGGAGATCGCCAAGGGAACCACTCCTGCTGGAGAAGCTTCCAGTGAAAGTGAGGAAGAAATTGTCAAGGGAACCACGCCTGCTGGAGAAGCTTCCAGTGAAAGTGAGGAAGAAATTGTCAAGGGAAGCACTCCTGCTGGTGAAGCTTCGAGTGAAGGAGAAGAGGAGATTGTCAAGGGAACCACTCCTGCCGGAGAAGCTCCGAGTGAAGGAGAAGAAGAGATTGTTAAGGGAACCACTCCTGCCGCAGAAGCTTCTAGTGAAGCCGAAGAGGAGATTATCAAGGGAACCACTCCTGCCGGAGAGCCTAGCAGCGAAGGAGAAGAAAGATCCACTATTGCTCCTAGAACCGAAATCAAGGGTCACAAACAACCAGAGTCTGCCACAGAATCTCCCGCGGAGGATGAATTGGTCAAACCCACATCGCCGGTCGCTGAAACCGAAGAGGAGACCATCAAGGTCACCACACCTGCCATTCCCAGTGAAGATGTCAGTTCCGAAGAGGAGATCGTTAAGGCCACCACACCAAAGAGCTTGGAGGACAAGCCTGAGGCCGCCGAAGAGTCTACCGAGTTGCCAGCTGAAGAGGAAGATATTGCCAGTCCAACCAGCGCTCCACCCATCGCCTCCTCTACTGAAGGAGTCCAGGAAGCTTCGGAGGAACCAAGCACCAGCGAACCTGCTCGGGCTGGCGACAAAGAAGAAGGCGCCGTCACCGTGCCCACTCCCGAGAAGGATGAGCAAGAGTCTGGAGAGATCGAAGAGGATGCCACCGAGTTGCCAATCGAGGATGCTGTCAAGAGCACCACTGCCAAGACCCCAACCACCGAGAAGGCCGAGGAGGAGTCCTCCACCGAGTCTGAAATCGAGACAGCTACCGACAAACAGGAGGTTCCAGAAGCCGAGCCCACTGACAAGGACCACAAGAAGGAGGAAGGTGAGCAGGCAAGCACTGAGCTGCCTGCCAAGTCAGATATTCACCCACCTGCCGAGGAGACTGAAGCCTCCACCAGTAAGCCGGAGACCAGTGATGAAGCCGCTACAGATAAGCCAATCCCTGTTTACCTGCCACCTGCCGGAGCAGAGGATTCCACGAAAGTCCAGGTACCAGCCACAGAATCCCCAGTCGAAGAGAAACCATCCAAGCCTGTGGAGACCACTTCAGAGTCCCAGGATGTCCCGTCCAGCACTCAAGCCTCAGTCGACGATCGCAAGGACATCGATGTGGAGAGGACCACCCTGCCACCGAGTGGCGAGGATCAGAGCTCCGTCTCGGAACCCCTGCCCGCCATGGATCTGCCCGCTGTTATTCCTGGCGAGGGCGACTGCCTGGTGGAGGGCAAGACCTATGCCAACAACTCCATTGTCCCAGCCACCGCACCCTGCGACGTGTCCTGCAGATGCATCAGCAGCCTTGTGGCCTGCCAGCAAATGGAGTGCAAGTTGCCGGAGAACCCGGAGAAGTGCACCGTGTCTGCGGATCTGGTCGATGGCTGCTGTCCCACTTACGTCTGCGATGAGAGCACCGAGAGTGCCGAAAAGGAACAGGAATCCACTGCCAAGCCCGATGACAAGATCGACGAGGATGTCTCCGAGATCAGCACCGAGGAAGTTCCCAAGGATGTCATCATGCCTACTGGCATTACTGAGCAGCCTCTTTCTCACGTCAAGCCCGACGAAGAGATTCAGCCGGTGACCTCTGTTCCTTCGCAGGATGAGGAATCCACGACTTCCAAGACTGAAAAGAAACCAATTGATGAGTCTGAAGAGGATAAAAAACCAGTTGATGAATCCGAGGAAGACAAGAAACCAGTTGATGAGTCCGAAGAACATAAGAAACCAGTTGAAGAATCTGAAGAGGACAAGAAGCCTGCTGTCGAATCTGAGGAGAAGGACAAGCCTGCTGTCAATGAAATCGAGGAGGAGACCCAGAAACCTCTTGAGAAGGAACCCAAGCCCGAGGACAAGAAGAAGATCGAGGGAGAATTCGTGTCAGCCACTGAGCAACCGGAGGCTTCTACTCCCTCCCAGGTGGACGAGGAATCCGAGAAGGAGACTGAAGACAAGCTGGCCACCACTTCTGCTCCAGTTTCTAGTGATGAAGAGCTCAAGCCGGTCGACGAACAGAAACCCACTGAGGAAGAGGCTATCCCTGCCAGCACTGCTCAACCCGAAAAGGAGTCACCAGAGTCCTCTACTGAACTGCCAATTGCTGATCTTGACAAGAAACCGGAGGCGGAGGAACCTGCTCCAGCCACTGAGGCCCCTGAGTCCGATAAGATTCCCGAAGCTTCGACTGCAGCACTTCCAGCTGGAGAAGAGAGCGAAGAATCTGTCGAAATCACGACCGCTGCTCCATCGAAGGCTTCTCCCTTGGATGAAAAGGAAACTTCCGGTGAGGAAGATATCGTTCCTCCCATTTCTGTGCCCGTTGAAAGCGAAGTTGAAATCGGAACCGAGAAGCCAGACGTGCACGGACCACCTCTACCCACCCTTGCTCCCAGTCAGCCAGAGAAGAAACCAGTCGAGGAGGAGTCCTCCACTGAAATCAGTACCGAACCAAGCGCTGAAGGAGAGAAGGAAACCTCTGACGAGAATGAAATCGAGGTCGTTGCTACTCCTGCTCCTGCTCCTGTTGAATCTGCTGATGAGGACAAGACCCCAAGCACCGACAAGACTGTCGAAGCCGAAGAGAAGGCCACCACGGTTGCTCCATCTGTTGGCGACGAGGAGGAGGGCAATCTGCCCAAGCTGCCCCAGGATATCTTTGAAGAGGAACTGCCTGTCGCTATCACTACTTCTGCTCCCTCGAAGGAGGAGGCTGAACAGAGGCCAGTTGAAGAAGGACAAAAACCAGTCGAAGAAGAAGGGAAACCAGTCGAGGACGAAAAGAAACCAGTTGAAGAGGGACAGAAGCCCGTTGAGGAAGAGAGCTCCACAGCTACTTCTGCCGAAAATGAGGTCGAGCCTGAATCTGATCGCGCAACCACTGTGGCTCCTGCCAGGGATGAGTCTGCCGAGCCTTCCACTGGAGCTCCTGCATCTGATGATAGCAAGGAAACCCCTGAAGCTGAAGTACCCACAACTGTTTCCCCTGCTGATGAGAAGATTCCTTCCAGCAGTTTTACTCCTGAAGAGGAGCCTTCTTCTGCCACTTCTGCTCCTGTTGCCAAGCCGGATGAAGATGTAGAAAAGGAAACCGAAAGCGCCAGTGGTATTCCTGAATCTTCCTCTGAGGAGGACAAGGAAACATCCACGGATCAGACTCCATCTCTTTCTGCCGAAGAGAAGCCTGAAGCTCCTACCAAGACTCCAGAGGAGGCAGAGGAATCTGTTGAGGTCACCACCACGCGAACGGCCGCCAATGAAGTGCCCTCTATCCCGAAACTGCCTGAGGAAGTCCTTGCTGAGATTCCGTCACCCTCTACCGAGACCGGAGTCAAACAGGAAGCGGAAACTACTGCTGCTCCAATTGCTGACCAGAAGGAACCTGCTGTTACCTCGATCCCGTCTGCTGAAATCGACCAGGAAGCCACCACAGTTTCTTCCATCTCTGAGAAGGATGAGAAGCCGACTGAGGAAGAGAAACCAGTGGAGGAGGAGAAACCAGTGGAGGGGGAGAAGCCAACTGAGAAACCAGTGGAGGAGGAGAAACCAACTGGAGAGGAGCCATCTGAGGAAGAGGAGAAGGAGAAGCCCTCGGAAGAGGAGCCATCTACTGAGGAACCTGCCAAGATTGCCAAGCCAGAAGATAAGCTTGAAGCTAAGCCTGCTTTCACTGAAACTCCCGAGGAGGGATCCACGGAATCGTCTGAGGAAGTTGAACCATCGACTGAAGGAGCTGCTGATCAGAAGCCCGAAGACAAGCAGCCCTCATCTACTGCCCAGTCGCCAGTTGAGAAGATTCCCGAAGCTTCTACCGAGCTGCCAATTGAGGATGCCGACAAGGTCACAACTGTTGCTCCTGTTGCCGCCGATGAAGCTACCGCAGCTCCATCTGACGAAAAGACTCCCTCCGAGGAAGAAGAGAAGACTCCTTCAGAGGAGGACGAGAGCCCAGAAGCTACTACTGCCTCTCCTCAGGCTGTCGGAGATGATGACACCAAGAAGTTACCAGAGGTGGAACCATCTTCCACTGAAGCTGAAGACAAGAAGCCCGTCGACGAGAAGGAGACTGAAGAGAAACCTGATTCTACTACCCATGTTCCTGATCTCGCAGAGGGAGCTGTTTCTTCGACCACTTCTGCCCCAGTTGCTGGTGAGGATATCGAAAAGGAGGTTGAGGCCACCACTGCCTCGCCTGTCGAGGAACAGGAGGAAGAAGAGATCAAGCCGACCGGCGCTCCAGCTGCCGAGATTCCCGAACCATCCGAAAAGGAGCCTGCACAGGATGAACAAGAAGTGGAGGTCACCACCAAGCCAAGCAGCGAAGAATCTGACGAACAGCCCATTGATGAGACTGTCGCCGCGACATCTGGACCGGTTGAGGAAGCTTCCACAGCCGCTCCTGCCAAGGAGGAATCCAGCACTTCGCCTCAGGAGAAGGATGAAGTTGAAATCACCACAGCTGCCGGCCCAGCTTCGCCTGCTGTTCACGATGAGGACACCAAAGAAACCATCACTGAACAACCTGTTTCTGATGAGAACGAGGTGCCTGCAACCCAAGATGAAACCAAAACTCCCATTGATCTGGCTACCGACTCTCCCGTCGAAGAAGAAGATAAGGAACAGGACAAGACTGAGGCTCCAGTTGCACCCACAACAGTCGCTCCTGCCACATCTGCTGCTGATTCTACCACTCCTTCTGAGGGTGTTCCTCCTGCCCAGGAGATCGACACCAAGCCCATGGAGGAGGTCATGTCCCAGACTATTGCACCCCACGCCGCCGATGAGTCTGCGTCCACATCCGCCGAGGAGGAAGACCAGTCTCCAGTTACTGTGTCTCCTCAGGATGCTGACAAGACTCCAGTTACCGCGGCTCCCGAGGATTCGGACAAGACTCCAGTCCCAGAGGCTCCCGAGGATGCTGATAAGGCTCCAGCCACAGTTTCTCCCCAGGATGCTGACAAAACTCCAGTTACTGGAGCTCCTCAAGATGAAGACAAAACGCCGGTCACAGTGGCTCCTGAAACTGCTGACGAAGTCCCATCATCAGTATCTCCTGTGGATGACGAGAAGACTCCTGCCACTGCTGCTCCCGTGGATGATGAAAAGGCACCCGCCACTTCAGTTCCCGTGGAAGAGGAAGAGATCCCAGCTACCCAAGCTCCAGTTGATGACGAGAAGATTCCCTCTACTGCCGCTCCTGTGGCTGATGACAAGACTCCTGCTGGCATTGCTCCAGTTGCCTTCGATGTGGAGCCAAGTACCGAGAAGCCTACCACTTCGGAGGATGTTGGTGAAGAGAGCACCGAACCTGCTGTCGATGATGCTGAGGATACCACTGATGCTGAGGACACTGCTGATCCTAAATTGAGGCCACCCACTCCCGCGCCTGCTGTTCCATCGGAGTCGCCAGTCACCGACGCCGATATTGTGGCCGAAACCGCAACTTCAGAGGTTGAGAAGGAGGTGCCTGAAAAGGAGGTTCCAGAGAAGGATGTGGCAGAGAAGGAGGCGCCAGAGAAGCAGGCACCCGAGAAGGAGGTTTCCACCGAGCAACCAGAATCCGCTGACGAGAAGACCACACCCGAGCCAGTAGTGAAGCCCAGCTTGGATTCCAGCGAGGAGGGCGAGGAATCCGTGGAGTCTGAGGAGGAGCACGCTGCAGTCACGGAACCAACCGACAAGCAGGACGAGAGCAAGGAGACTGAGGAGGACGCCGAGAAGAAGCCCGAGCCGGAGGAGCCAGAGGAGCCTGCTGTGGTGTCCGAGATTACTCCACCAAGCGAAGAGGCGGTTCCCACAACTGGCCACCCACTGTTCCCACACCTGCCAAGCAGCTCCACCAAGGCACCATCCATCGTGGACCGCGTTGGCGAAGAGGACGAGGAGAGCACCACAGTGAAGTCGAGTGCCTCCAGCACCACAGAGGCGCCAGTTTCCACGACGACGGTGGCCAGCCAACAGCAGCAGCCCATCACCCCACCGCCCTACGGCCACGCCCCCGAGTACGAGGATGAGTACGACGAGGAGGAGGTCTTCGGACCCGGCACCTGCCGCTACGCCGGCAAGCTGTACGTGTCCGCCCAGCAGATCCCACGCGACGATCCCTGCGACTTCTGCTTCTGCTTCCGAAGCGACATCATCTGCCTGCAGCAGTCGTGCCCGCCACCGATCGCCGGCTGCCACGAGGAGCCCATCTCCGGCTTCTGCTGCCCGCGCTACGAGTGCCCGGTGTCTATGGCCGCGGTGCTGAACATCACGACGAGCACCACCACGACCAGCACCACCCTGCCGCCCCACTTCCTGCACTATTCGCACGGCGAGGCGGTCAAGCACACCGGCTGCCTGATCAACGGCCGATCCTACCGCGTTGGCGAGCAGATCGAGTCGACGAGCGGTCCCTGCATCAGCTGCACGTGAGTATTAATCATTAAATTATATATTAAATAATCTATTTAACCTATTAACCCTTTCTTAACCCCAATCAGTTGCGGCGGCGACGGCAAGATGAAGTGCGATCCCCAGCAGTGCGTGCCCGAGCCCACCATGCAGCAGGTGATGGCCGCCGTGGCGTCGGGACGCAAGAGATGAACCACCAGCCATGCTCACTAAATATAATTTAACTAATTCTTAAGCACTGCAGACAACAATCACGAACCGACGAAAGAAACCAGCCCAGATCGCACCACTCGCCAACTAGCAGCAATAGCAATAGAGACCACCACTAGAAATCGGAAAAGAAAGAAAAGAAAGAAATGAAATGGAAAGGAAATGAAATAGGAAATCGGATAAGAATAGGTGCCCCAAAAGATCAGATGCAATAGTCTTACTTTCGGTTTGCCGACACTCGCACTCTTTCAATTACGCCCCACTTGTTTCGGATTAGGTTACGGTGACGAAGCAACCAGTGATATTGTACTGTATACATAGTATAGGTGCAATTAATTTAGACGCGCTCACTTAAAACGATTACTTATTCGTATGTGTACTAGTATTGGGCTTGTGACCCTAGTGACAGGACATATAGCCACCACAGCAGCCGACGAAGCGCGTGCCTTGTAAGGTCGTTCATTGTGCCCGCCGCCATACAATCGCTTTCAGGAGACTCTCAAGCACCCCCGTAAGAAAATGAAACTATAGCGAAGATATTCCGGAACCGGATCGCAATCAATGGCGTTACGAAGCCACGGCATTCGGCCGCCGGACCGGACTCTACACCCACTTGCCCCGTCCGTCCGGTGGCTCACTCTTCTCCAATGCGCTTTTATAGTATTTTAGTCACCTTATTTTTTAAACATTATTATTTTTGTGTATAATTGTTGCTTCTAGTCTTCTTTTGTTGCAAGAGCAACGGAATCCGCCTGTAACACGCGCACAACCCGATCGAATCAATCAGATCAGATCGGACAAGTTGAATCAAATTGAGTTGAGTTGAGTTGAGAAACTGTATCTTCTACGAACTATTCCAAGCTTTTATACTTTTATATAAAAAAAAACAAACAATACGTGTAGAGTGGAGAAACGAACGAACTAGTTTTTATAGCAATTTTACAAACGAACGCACGAATTGCATAGTTTTAACGGATTGAATTTGTACTTTGCCCGCTGCGCCTGCGCACTAAACGTGCGTCTGGTGCAAATGAGGTGGCCAAACCGTAGTCTACATAGAATTTTTAGATCAACTGAAACTGAAACGGAAACGGAAACTAAATACGGAACCGAAAAAAAAACACTGTCGGCTATGGCTACTGCTCGACTGACTGAAAATCGCACAGATCGGAGAGGAGTTACCTTTGTAAACTATTTTTTTTAACCGCCAGCTGCCGCGCTGGTGATTACTTTATTGGTCGTAGCATATAGAACGGAACGCCCGGATCTTCAGTCACTTGAGCCTTAGCAATACGCCGGAATCTTGAGGCGTCTCAACCACGCCGACGGATACGAACATCAATTAGATTTATATAATCTCTAAATATAGTTTTAGCCCTAAGTATTTAATTTTAAAAATAAATAAATAAATTTTAATTTAGATCTTATTTATTTGATATGTCTTTTAAGAACAGCTCTTGTGTTTCCATACCTTATCATAATTTATGTGCAAGCTATTCTTTGTAATCTAATAAATAAATACAACGCTTTTTATTGAAATGTAAATCGATGATTATTTATTTGAGAAACCTTATTGTGAGATCGATCGGTAAGCATTTCACGAATAATTTCTAATTTCTAATACATAATTTCTTTCACGAATAATTTACGGATAATTAACGGCAAATTATGAGAAAGAAAGTAATTTAAATATCAAAAGTTGTTATGCTAACTTGATGCACATGATTATATGGTACTTATTTAATTTAGGAAATGGGAAATAAAATATTAATAAGATAAAGTGCTTTCAGCTCAATATAGCTTAAAAAACCGTTATTACCGTCTATCGTTTTCCAGAACAATCGATTGTTTAAAATTATCGAATAGTCGATAATAAATGAACGTAGGGTATTATTTTGTGCAGCAGCGTTCACACTACCAGCCGGCAGCTAAATAGTTTATAACTTTTTCCGCCTATGGCCTGAATCCACTCGAACCACTGAAACTTTAAATCTAGGCTGCCCCAAATGGTGAATATATCCACCATTAACTGGCTCTTCGTCTGCGGCCTATCCTTCTGCATTGGCGGGATTGCCGTGCTCAGCTTGATGCCACTGGGTTCGGGTTCGTATTCAGCTGAAATATGAGGACCGCTAAAAATACTGACCGGGAACTGCTCTTTTTATAGACTGCGTATGCCCGCTTTCCAACCCACTGGCCAAGTTGGCAGGTGCCGTATCAGGAGGAATTGCAGTACAGAAAGAGCCCTCCGCGGAGAAAAGTCACCATGACCACACCGGCTCTGTTCACAAGATGGCACTACTCGTTCCGTTCCGAGATCGATTCGAGGAACTCCTCCAGTTCGTGCCGCACATGACAACCTTTTTGCGACGTCAAGGTGTCGTTCACCACATCTTTGTGCTGAACCAGGTGGACCGGTTCCGCTTTAACCGCGCTTCCCTTATCAACGTGGGCTTTCAGTTTGCCAGCGAGGTGTACGACTATATAGCCATGCACGATGTGGATCTGTTACCCTTAAACGACGATCTGCATTATGAGTATCCTAGTAGTCTGGGTCCGCTGCACATCGCCGGACCAAAGCTTCACCCCAAGTACCATTACGATAACTTTGTTGGTGGAATCTTACTGGTGCGGCGGGAGCACTTTCAGAAAATGAACGGCATGTCCAACCAATACTGGGGCTGGGGATTAGAGGACGACGAGTTCTTTGTGCGCATCCGGGATGCAGGGCTCCAGGTGACGCGGCCACAAAACATTAAGACTGGCACAAATGACACATTTAGGTAAGTTCTGCTCTCCATGCCACAGATCAATAAAATTATTTTTCGTTTTTATTATTCAGCCATATCCACAATCGCCATCATCGCAAGCGCGACACACAGAAGTGCTTCAACCAGAAGGAGATGACCCGTAAAAGAGACCACAAAACGGGTCTGGACAACGTGAAGTATAAAATACTCAAGGTGCACGAAATGGTCATCGACAAGGTGCCGGTGACCATTCTAAACATTTTGCTCGATTGTGATGTTAATAAAACGCCGTGGTGCGACTGCTCCGGAACGGCAGCGGCCGCCTCAGCGGTGCAAACCTGATAGGTTGTGTTAAACCAAAGATCCTATGTTTATTTCGCTATATCAATGTTCGAATTGTAAATGCTCTATTTAATACACATGCACCATGCCGTAGAGGAATGTCCAGAAGAGCACATAGGTGCAAAGGCCGCCCATGAACTGGTTGGTCAGCAGATTCTGGCGGTTGATGAAGAACTTGCGCCACTGGGTGCCCGACTTTAGGAGCACCAAAATCCATAGCACAAAAACGGACAGAAAGTAGAACAGGAAGCCCAGGGTTCCACTCAATCCCAGAATACCTGCCAATTGAGAGATGTTAACTCAGCTGATCCATTGTAAATTGAGACCAATTACCCGCAGCACAACCCGAGATGGCGGCCATCGATGTGCGGCAGTATTCCACGGCGGATATGTTGTTCCGGATAGCACCCTCGCTATACGCGATGATCTCTCCTGTTTTCGACTGCGTGGTCTTCACTCGGTTCATTTTAATAGATTAATTTATATTTTAACTTCTAGCAAAAAAAATCCGGCTGTGAACTCCGATAGTAGTTTCGATAGGCAGTGTGGGGAGGCGATGACTATTCACAAAAAATAATTGATGCATGCCACAATTATAATACAATATTTAATCAAGGCTAGTTTAAGTTTATAAGGCTTAATAATACTATGGTGACTTATATTAAAACTAATATACCGAAAATGTGTCGAAAATAATTTCAAATAATCAACCCTTATCATATTTTCTCAGTGCATATGTGCTCATATTTCCGTTAAATGCCTCATAATTGTGTTAGCCATTCGCCCGGGCACGTCGCTTGTTGTTATTGGGATCGGGCTGGAGCCCTCGGACGGACAGTAATTCATTAAAATATGTGGTGATAACGCGAGCTGCCGAATTCTGCGTGCGATTCGTGCGTTTGACGTGGGTACTAACTAACTACTATGCTGTCGCGCCAACACCTGTTTTGATTCGCGGAGTTCCTGCCCCACATCACATCACACCACAATAACAACACCACCCACCCAGTTCCTCCTCCTTCTTCTCCCCATCCGCCAGCCACCAGCTGCTCCACCAGCAAAAAGGCAATTAAAAAATCAATCAGAGGGCCCCAATTGAAAGCTGCTGCCTCCTCCGACGACATGTCGCCGCCGAAGAACTGCGCGGTGTGTGGGGACAAGGCGCTGGGGTACAACTTCAACGCGGTCACCTGCGAGAGCTGCAAGGCCTTCTTTCGGCGTAACGCCCTGGCCAAAAAGCAGTTCACTTGCCCGTTTAACCAAAACTGCGATATCACAGTTGTCACCCGGCGGTTCTGCCAAAAGTGCCGCCTGCGAAAATGCTTGGACATCGGAATGAAAAGCGAGAATATTATGTCCGAGGAGGACAAGCTGATCAAGCGACGCAAGATCGAAACGAACCGGGCCAAGCGACGTTTAATGGAGAACGGCACGGATGGCAGCGATCCTGATGGCGGCGATGACCACAAGGCACCGGCGGACAGCAGCAGCAGCAACCTGGAGATGTACTCCGGCTCGCAGGACTCGCAGAGCTGTGGCTCCGTGGACAGCGGGGCCAACGGGTGCTCCGGCGGGCAGACCAGTTCGTCAGGCTCACAGGTTAATCCGCTGCAGATGACGGCCGAAAAGATCGTTGATCAGATCGTATCTGACCCGGATCGGGCCTCGCAGGCCATCAACCGGCTAATGCGAACACAAAAGGAGGCTATTTCGGTGATGGAGAAGGTGATCAGCTCACAAAAGGACGCCTTGAGGCTGGTCTCGCACTTGATAGACTACCCGGGTAGGTAGCTTTTAAAGGTAGATAATGTGACCCCCTCCGCTAACCCTGACCCCTTTGACTCGTTATAGGTGACGCCCTGAAGATCATTAGCAAGTTTATGAACTCGCCCTTTAATGCGCTGATAGGTATATATAATTTTATCCATACATATATGTGCATTACTTATTCGTACAACTCCTCAATCAACAGTATTCACCAAGTTCTTGAGTTCGCCCACCGACGGCGTGGAGATTATCTCAAAGATAGTCGACTCGCCGGCGGACGTGGTGAAGTTTATGCAGAACCTGATGCACTCGCCGGAGGACGCTATCGACATCATGAACAAGTTCATGAATACGCCGGCGGAAGCCCTGCGAATCCTCAACCGCATCCTGAGCGGCGGCGGAGCTAACGGAACCCAGCAGACTGCAGACCGCAAGACTTTGCTGGACAAGGAACTGGCAGCAAAGCCTAGTCCGCCGGCGGAGCGAGTGGACACCGTCATCCAAAGCATGCTGGGCAGTGGCAGTCCGCCGATCTCGCCCAATGACGCCGCCGTGGACCTGCAGTACCACTCGCCAAGTTCCGGGGAACAGCCTAGCACCTCGAGCAGCCACCCCTTGCCTTACATAGCCAACTCGCCGGACTTCGACCTGAAGACCTTCATGCAGACCAATTTTAACGACGAGCCCAGCCTAGATAGCGACTTCAGCATCAACTCGATAGAGTCCGTGCTCTCGGAGGTGATTCGCATAGAATACCAGGCGTTCAACAGCATTCAGCACGCGGCGTCGAGGGTTAAGGAGGAGATGTCGTACATGGGCGGTGGTCAATCCTCCTCCAACGGCGGATGCAGTGCCGCCGGTAGTAACAGCCAGCACCTGCAGCAGCCCATCTGCGCTCCATCCAGTCTCCAGATGGATCGCGAACTGAACGAGGCCGAGAAGATGAAGCTACGGGAACTCCGACTGGCCAGCGAGGCTCTCTACGATCCCGTGGACGAGGACCTCAGCGCCCTGATGATGGGGGACGATCGCATTAAGGTAACCAGCACCCTTCGGTATTAGCCTATCGTTCTTTCATTTATAGCTCCAACACCACGGCTTATCTAATCGGAGTGTGCTAACGGCGATATATATATATTCGACACCTGGCAGTGTATGGGCATTCGGTGATTCAGTGCGTATTTCGTTGACGGCCTGTTGGCTATGGCTACACAGTTTCTGCTGTCCCAGCAAAACGGCTCTCCCGAATGTAAACACAATTTTAAATAAGGTGCCTCGGGTTTTATAGACCAAAGAATCTTTCTGGGGTAAAATAAGTTAATTATTTTTCTCTGCAGTAATTTTCCGTGAGATTGGAGTTTAAATCGCATTCTAATCACTCGCTTTGGTCCGCCTTTGAATTTAGTTTTATTATCTGAAAGAATGTTTTTATAAGTTTGATTACCAAAATTTACCTTCAACAAAGACTCCAAACTTGTCAAAAAAATATGTAAACAAATATGGTCATTTTTTCACTAAACAAAATTTTTTATTTTAATAACTAGTTTTATCTTTATGTTGCTAGAATTGCCACCACTTTCACTAGACCTTTGATTCCTAAGCCGAAATGAATCGAGAGCATTCAGCGATGATTCACTGCTTCCCCCAATTGTGGTCTAATAAATCGAGCCACCCTAGCTTTCAGGCAATCAGAGCGTCTGGTCTGCCAAGAGCAGGGAAGACAGTGGCTTTATCAGCCTCTGGCCGCGCCAATTGTGACATTATCAACCATTATCAAGAGCGCCAGCAGGCGCTCATGAGTCTCCAGCCGTCGATTCGGCCGTTTAATGTCGCTTAGACTGTTTACAGTTTTGCGCTTCATCGCAATTAGCACATTTTCAGTATTGTTAATTAGGAAAAACGATACAATTTTGACGAAATATGGAGCAGCCAGGTGTTGGGCTCTACGATAAGCGATTGAGTCACCTTCCAGGGAGAAGCCTTTACGATTATGGCGATAATAATGGCCACCTGTGCTTTGTTTGCTTTGTCAACCACAGCCCGACGACACTCGCCACAACCCAAAGCTACTGCAGCTGATCAATCTGACGGCGGTGGCTATCAAGCGGCTTATCAAGATGGCCAAGAAGATTACAGCATTCCGTGACATGTGCCAGGAGGACCAGGTGGCCCTACTCAAAGGCGGCTGCACAGAGATGATGATTATGCGCTCTGTCATGATTTACGACGACGATCGCAACGCCTGGAAGGTAAGTTATATGGTCCGTTCGATGGAGCTTATCTAATACCAAGTGCTATACAGGTACCCCACACCAAAGAGAACATGGGCAACATCCGTACTGACCTGCTCAAGTTCGCCGAGGGAAATATATACGAGGAGCACCAAAAGTTCATCACAACATTCGACGAAAAGTGGCGAATGGACGAAAACATTATCCTGATCATGTGCGCCATAGTCCTTTTTACCTCGGCTCGATCGCGTGTGATACACAAAGACGTGATTAGATTGGAACAGGTGGGTCTCCTCTTCAATAATTTCCGACATATGTTTTAGCAATCATTTTCTTTCACTTCATAGAATTCCTACTATTATCTTCTGCGAAGATATCTGGAGAGTGTTTATTCTGGCTGTGAGGCGAGAAACGCGTTTATCAAGCTGATCCAAAAGATTTCAGATGTGGAGCGTCTGAACAAGTTCATAATTAATGTCTATTTGAATGTTAACCCATCCCAGGTGGAGCCCTTGCTGCGTGAAATATTTGATTTGAAAAATCACTAAAACTTTTTGTGTCGGGCATTTAATGCCGATGTCGACGCCGATGCCCAATGATGAATGATCAGCGAGCTATAGTTGTTGTTGTTCATGTCTGTTTTATCTGTCGCTTGTAATGTTAGATTTTAATCGAATGTGATTGTTAGATTTGCATATACTGCATAGATTTTATATTTCTACATCAAAGAGAGCATATTTAGGATACCAAGTGCAAAGCAACACAATCTATATGTAATGTACACCGTTTAACTAGTTTCCAATAAACTAAACACTGATGCAATAAATACTTCTGTCATCATTTTTAATTAGCCCGTCGCACCAGAAATAATCGAGGCGATTAAACAACAATTTAAAGTGATTTAATTTTTCCGAAGGTCACAAAATGTACATTTGAAGAAGTGAGAAAGAACAAACTAGATGAGTGGAAGCCAACGAGATGTGCTTGGGGAAAGCATCACCTCGGGGAAACACCTTTACGTCCGCGCCTGTGTACCCGTGTCCAGTCCTCAGGAACCCACGTCGTGTACGTATCCGCGGCTAGCGTACGCGTCTGCATCCGCCGACCCTAACATACTTCGTCATTTGTGTATAATGTAGGTAATATATCATAGCTTGAGCTCGATCCGCACCACAGCTAGCGTTGGACGAGTCCATTTATATTGTTAGCCAATCCAATTGCAGTTGAAATCGTCTTTCAGGTTGATTCGCGGCAATCCTTGGCCCACTGAAGGAATTCATCCAATGCACTAACCGCCAAATTGCGAGAAAGAGCCTTGACTCGAAGATTACGATCGGTAGTAATAAGCACCAGCTCCGTTTGAATAAAACATTTGCCGTCTGAAAAGGGTTTATTATAAGGACGTTTTTAACACTCGACTCAAGCACTGCTGCTCACCTGTGCACTGTTCAGATTTAGCAGTTTTTGATACAGCCACTGCCGTCGCCAGAATTTTATCGTCATTGGAAAGGTACTCTTCCTCAACTAAGGCAAACACCGATGAATTAACAAATGAACCCTTTGTGGTAGCACACCTTAAATAAAAGTAAAAGAGCGATCAGCAAGGAATAATACATTATAAAATTATGACTTTTGAGTTTATACGCTGAAATGTTACATTATCAGCAAATTATATCACATGGGAAACAAACAATTAAATGAGGTAATCGCCTCAAAGCACGTAATCAGAAATCCCTAGTCATGACATAAAAATAACAATTACTTACTTAACATTGCTCTTGGCTGACTTAATAAACTCCAACGACTTTTTGGCTCGCGACGACACTTCGTCAAAATGGTGGATGCGCTGCGTTTGCTTGGAGCTGCGGTACGAGTCCAGCTTAACACCCTTGGAAAGACCATCCAGTTCCTTGACCACCGTCAGTGGAATAATGAGAGTGTAGCGCTTAAACTCCGTAGCCAGTTTCTCAAAGTCCTCTAGACAGTCGATGAAGCAGTTGGTGTCAGGCAGAAGGTATCGCGGCCGCACCTCAATATATATTTTGGTATCCACAAATTTGAGGATTTCCTGCAGCTTACTGTTGCATATCTGCTTGACCTTAGCCTTGGCCTCTAGCTCCTTTTTAAGCTTGCACAGCTCCGAAACGTCGGCATCAGTGGAAGGACACAGCAGTTCCTCAACTACTTGGCCCTGCATCTTCGACGATTTAGCCACAAGGCCGCAGCTCTCAGCATCGAAGTTTTCCAAAGCATTCTTCATGGCGACGTTCAGATCCTCAATAGTGAAGCTCGAGTCCAACGGCTGCTGCAGCAAATCTTGATGCTGAACATAACAGTTCTGGAATTGGGCAATTCTACGGATACGTTCTATGAACTGAATGCGTTCGGGTGCGCGCTTGATGCAATTTTTGCTCATCGTTTCACGGCCCAGGGGATTAAAGCCACTCAGAGCAATATCCTCATCCAAGAGGATTTCTTTCTTTTCTAACTTCTGCTTTCCAAGCACGCACTCAATGTGCTCGAATAGTGTGGAAATCTCTGCCCAGCAATCGATGAAAGAGTGTCTGTGGGAAAAGATTTAAGAAAATATTAAAATTCCAGTTAAGTATTCTGTGTAGAACATACTCTTCAGTTCTGACCGGTTCCCAAACGTCGACATTGATACTCAGCCAATGCACATAAACCTTAACATACTGCAGATATGTGTTGACAGTTGTAAAGCTGAAAAAGGATAACAATCAAAATAAAAATCTTTATGGTGTAATTGGCCTTTCCTACTCTTCTTCCGGTAGACAATCGATGTTTGTAAAGGCTGCGACAAAACCAGATAGTAATTCATTTGTTTTTTTTAGCACAAGTCCAAAGAATGAGTTGGCAAAATTAAAGCTGTGATAACGCATCTCACGGCGTGACGCTGTACAATAACAAAAAGCATTAATTTTAACCGTGATAGGTGTTATCATTCATACTTTTCCGCTTGTTGTGCTCCACGACGAACAGGTTTAGTGCCACTATTTTCAGCAGTTTGGAGCGTGACAACAGGTTCTTGTGTTTTAATGCGGCGCTTATTTGGATCTGCAGTTTTCTCAGCAGCGGATATAACGAGTCCACACTGTAAATGATTTTTACGTTGTTAGATACAGGTTTTCAGCTTTCACTTTCACCGAAAAGTAAATATACTCACTCTGTGCCCGTGTAAAGCTTGCCTATCAAATACAAATAAAGGGACACAATGCGCGGCAGCAGCTCCTCCGCCGCCATCTCCTCGTAACGATTGACTTCGGCCAAAGTGGCTTTGTTCCCCTTTGCCTTGTTCCCCTTTTCATCGGTGCGATGTAGACGTCTAATTCCGTCTGGATAGATCCAGACCTCTTTGCGCATCTGCTTAGACTTTTGGTTCTTCGGAGATGCGTAGTGCATAGGCGATTGCTTCAACTCAGACTCCTCGTACTTACGTCGAATTTCGTCGAACAGATCCAGTAAACTTTCCTTTGCCGTCTGGATTGAGTTGGAAGTTAAAAGGCTGCGGACATAGTAGTAAACGGCATCGAAGCGCTTGTGCTGCAGGATATATATGATAAGAGAAGTTCCAAAAATATAGCTCCGTTTTTTCTTACATGGTAAATGGAAATGACAGCCAACTGATTGTAAGGGGCTCCATTTCCGGGCACAAGCTCCTGGGCGCGCTGATAGTATTTGGCCGCCTCCAAGTAGTCTGTAGCCTTGACGTGATTCACACGGTATCGCGACAGATCGCCCAGACAAATGAGTAGCCGCTGGGCCACCACCTTTAGTGCGCTCTCGCAGCGCGACGAAGCCATACACTTGGCCATCAGCTTGTCATACACCAGGCGGTAGAACTTAGTAGCCTGTTCTATCAAAAGAAGCGTGTGAACATGTGCCTGATCACTTTGCTGGCGCTTCAGGTAGTCCCGCACGTTGTAGAAGAGTAGTTTCCAAAAGAAGACATCGACCTTGTGTTCGCACACGAACTTCAGCTGCTCCAGAAGAAGTTGTTTGAACGCGTCTTGCAGCTGGTCGTGAATGTAGCAAAAGTTTTTCCAGTTCTATGGGGTAGATTGACATGATAAACGAGTCTTTTAGAGGTCTCCTATGTACTTACTACTAGTATAAGGTTTCTCTGATGCAGCACCATCAACTGATCGTACAACTGGACTACGTTCTTGGCCTGGGGCAGGCCCAACAGAGGTTCAAACCAGTCGGGATGCTCGGTGGTCAAACGGGTGCGCGTCACTGGCGACTGTGGAGCATGCTCCTTGTCCTTGCCAGGATGATTGCGACCCCTGCGCCGTGCATTGTGTCCGGATTTTCCCTGACTGTTTCCATTTCCTCCCGCAACAGCTGTTGCCACGCGCAATATGCCTGGAATCCCGCATTCCCGAGGCAGCTTCCCGCTGGCAACCAAAACGGTTTGAGGCTGCGGATCCGGAATCGGTTTCCCTGCAGCTGAATTGCTCAGGATGGTGACTGCTATGATTTGTGAAATCGAAAGATATAGACGTTTGTTTGCATATTTGATGCGTCATACTCGATTACCTGGCCTTGACGCATTCGTAGTCGTTGAAACTGGCTCCGCATTCTCAGCGTTTTCCGTCTCCACCGTTGTCACCCTTGTTGTTGTTGCTGCGTGGCTGCAGCTGGCCGCGATTTTATTCTGAAGACGTTTGGGCAGCGTCCCAATTATCAGCGATATATCATTTTGTTCTCGCGATCCCTTTCGACTCATATTTCAAACGATGCCTTTGCTGTTGCATTTATTCCTTTGTTGGAATTTTGTCAAATGTGTAGTGTAAATTACGCCTCGAAAAATCTCTAGAGATTGGAGATGGGCGCGTGAGCGTCGTTTGTTTACGCACCACACACCTCACGCGTGCGCGCCAGTGTGACCAGGCGTCCTCAGTGATGTTTTAGGGGGTACCTTTTAAACATTTGGCGCTAAAATTGTGTTGTTTTCGAACTTGGTCAGGAGAATATAAATCTTGACACATGATACTATAAAACCGGTATACTTGATAGCATAATAAACTATTGTGCCAAATAAAAAAAAATTTTTGAGAACATCATTTTAATTACTTACCGCTTCAAATTTATCAAATCTATCGTCAATTAACAATAAACGATAATCCCTACGAATCTTTATGTTTCTATCTTTTACGGGTTTAATTTCGTTACGTACATGACTCTTTTTATTTTAGTGTTTCAGTCTTCCACTAACGTATAATTATTGGATAGCGCTGTGAAAGTTATAATATTCGGCCCGTATTGCTTTATGTGTAAGTATTATTTAGAAAATACTATTTTAAGCTTGTTGGAAGGGAAACTTTTGATCAATCTCTTACAAGTAGCGGTTTTATATTAAGAGATGTAGGTAATTTAGTCAATGGGTAAATGATGGATTGATTACTTTAATTATATTATACATACATAAGTCGTGTACACTTTAGATTCAAATAAGTTGTATAAATTGTTACAGTGCAACTACAAGGAATGGCTGAAGCAGACTCCTTGGTGTTTATAAATGTTGTATATATCGGCAAAATCGATCATTAATTTTTTATGAACTGTTCAATGTGAGCGTCAATAGATTTATATAAATATTGTAATAAATAATTACGTAAAAATGTTATCATACTTTAATCATTAATCCTATTTCCCACATGTTCGTTTTATATGTTCTTCATGAATCGGGATTTTATCTTGTACACGCAATGGTTAAAAAATCTAAAAATTATAATTTAATGTCTCTAAGCAATTCAACGGATTGTGGGAGTCCATTCAATATCATTTAAAAAAGAATTCTACCGCAGCTCAGTAAGTTTATGAATATTCATTGCTTCGCATTTTATCCTTGTCGGTGTCCTGCAAAGAAAGTAATGCTATCAATAAAGGAAACCATGGAATAAGCAACAAACTTACTCTTGACAGATCTTTTGATGCGGACAGGCCCGCTTTAAAGCGCACGCCAATTTTAATTTGTTCAGTACTGAAATCACGATCACGGGTTTTTAACCTTGCCTTGTTAGTATTATTCTGTTGATATTCATTTTTTCGGTTATTGGATCCGTAGTGGGTTCCAAAGTCATTTTCTCTGTCGAAGTCCGGGCCGTCTCGGTCCTTAAACTGATAGTCGCTGCCCGATTTCTGGATGTCGAAACCGCGACGATACTCGCTGTAATTGTTGTGTGGGCCGCCGCTTCCTGGGCCGCTCCTGTGACCTGGATTGCGGAAACCTGCTCCGCCTCCGGCGTTGAAGTGTTTTTGTGACATGCCACCGCGACCGTCGCGATCTCTATCCTTGTCGTCCGTCTGCCGGTTGAAACTGCGGGCAAGTGGGGCCTGCACCTGGTTGCTTCCATCGGAGCCGTGCATTGGCGGACGCTTGGAGGAAACCTCTTCCTCCTGCTTCTTTTCGTAGTGGAAGAAGTCATCGAATATGGACGTTGAGTGGTTGTACGAGTGCAAGATCTGGAGCACCTCGATTCCCTTGTCGTTGGGCACTTCCTGGGTGTCCCTCGAGTTCGTCACCGACTTGTTTTCATTGTTCTCCAGACGAATGTGCCGCAGTTTTCCATTAGGCACATCTTTCACGTATATCCACTTCACCTTAAACTTGCCCTTCCACTTGTCCTGCGACCAGACGCTCGACGTTGAGTTGTAGTCGACCGCGGTCATCATTTGTGCCATGCCGCAAAAGTGGCCGGAGCCGTTCACCGAGAAGAACAGCATTATGTGGCCACCCTCTTTGTGTCGCTCCTTAAAGGCATCGTCCAATCGCTTGTTGCCGTGGTCGGTTGAACACCAGATCTCGTACTTTATACTGCGGTGGATATCATCCTCGGAATACGATTTGATGACAAAGAACCTGAGGAATTATAAAAGTTTGATTTAATTTATTCAATTTTTCTTCTTCAGGATATAAAATATTACCTGGCTGTCGTGGCTTTGTTCAAGTCCACCACTTTCGGGTTGTAATTGTTTTTGTCTTTTAATTCGTCCAACAGAAGTTGGGGATCGACAGGCACCTCTTCGGTTGCAGATGTGGCTTCCACCGGTCGTGATTGGTTCTCATCCCGGTATTCGAATTTCGGAGTGTTCTCAAACTCGCTACTGCGGAAACTGGAGTAGTTGCCCGATCGCTCTGAGTTACGGTTTGGATGGGGCATGCCCTCGTGCCTTCTGGCATTTGGCGGTCCAAAGGCACCGGCATTGTTCGTTGGACGAGGCGCTGCATGATGGACAGGCTGCTGGGGTCCCAGATTCCTGCGCACCGGGCCCGTGGGAGAAACCTTGGCTCTGCTGAAGTTATTGTTGCTGCCCAGGCCCTTGTTCTCGTACTTTTGGAAGTTCTCCGTGTCCTTATTTACCTTCTCGGTTCTGGCGCCCAAAGGCGGCGCTGCGTTGCCCGATATGGAAAAGTTGGAGCTCAAGTCAGAATAACCCAAGTCGATCGGCGAGGGAGGAGAAGGTACGGGAGGAGGTTTATTGTTCGGCAGATCCCATACGCTAACTTCTAAATCGTGCTTGCCTGGAACCATAGGTGGTGGTGGCATGCCAGGACCCTTTTTCTTATTGTTGGAAGTGGTGGACGCTGCCTGCGTACGTAATCAGGATGTTAACCCAATCGATTGGCAATCAAAAGTGCTTGAAACTCACTCTGGATGTTAGTTTGGCTGGCTGGGAGGCAATTGAGGCCCAGGTTGTCTTCTTGGGAGCAGCGACAACTTCATGATTTTGTGCTTCATCGTTTGTTCTGTTGTCCAACTTTGTAGACGGGTGGTCATTCTCATTTCGAATCGACTTTTGGATTAATGAAAACAGTTTGATATGTTTTACAACGTAAGATTTTTCTTCATACCTGTGCTGCTGGCTTCCTGGAATTCCAAGGATTTACATGATGCTCATCGCGTCTTGTGTTATTTGGAATACTATGTCCATGCCTTTTGTATGAATCTAAAATTGGGAACAAAATTATTAATCAGAATCGTTCTCAGGATAATATGTGTTATAAATGCTTATGCTGCGATTTGATTTAATTCAAATTAATTCATTTGATATTAGTATATAGCATTACCTTAAAAATGGAGTAAAAAAGAAACTTTCAAAATTTAAGGAGGCAAATCAACTTGATATACAGTTTGTATTTTATTTCACTTTCGGGCAAACCAGATTTAAAAAAAAAAATTATCTAAATTTTTGTTTGCAATGGAGGAAGATTTAGAGATTAATAGCGAAGAGGAACGGGACACCGTTCCAATTAAAATTGGAATAATTGGAGAGGCCAATCTGGACAGGCCGATCTATTTGGCGGAACGCATGGAATACGCTGTGTGCACGCCATTTGGGAAACCCTCGGATGTGCTTATTGATGGCCAGATCGAAGGCGTAAATGTGTGTCTCCTGTCGCGAAATGGTCGGAACCACGACATCATGCCGAGCAACATCAACTACAGGGCCAATGTGTGGGCCATGCGAAAGATGGGTTGCACCCACATCCTGGTGACGAACACGTACAGCTCCTTGAGGGACAACATCCAGCCAGGACACCTGGTTGTGCCCCACGATGTGATTGATTACACAACAAGGCGAGCTCAAACGTTTTACGACGGTGCCAAGGGAAGTCCTTTGGGCGTCTGCCATGTTCCTATGAATCCTACTTTTTGTGAACGCACAAGGAATCATCTGTTGAGTGCAGCTAAGGAGCTGGACTTCCCCACGCGCACCAGTGGCACGGTTCTTACCCTCGAAGGACCTCGCTACTCAACAGTTGCCGAGAACGACATGTTCCGCAAGTGGGGAGCGGATCTTCTGAGCATGACTCTGTGTCCCGAGGCCACTTTAGCGAAGGAAGCTGGTATCCTGTACGCCTCCCTGGGACTGGTCACAAACATGGAGTGCTGGTGCGCTCAAAAACAGAACGCAACCACCCACGAAATAATCTACATCTTCAAAAAGCAAGCGGAAAACCTACAGAAGGTCCTAATCACAGCAATTAAGAATATGTCCGCCGAGGATTGGGCCGAAGACATTTTAAAAGCAAAGGTAGGGTATTTATTTATTACTTAAAAGAATAAGGAATTAAAAATGAAACCCTTTCAGGTTCTGGTGTGCAGTAACTTCGCAAACAGTAAATAATTTCACATCTTGTAAAATTATATGTTTATAATAAAATCGATTCTAAAATTTGTATTGTAATAAAATACTAAATTCGAATTTATTCTATTTTTGCACATTACCAAAATAAATTAGAAATTCATAAAATAGTTCAGTGACCCCGGAAATGAATTGTCTGCTTTGTTCTTAAATCTAAATGAATGATAAGATAAAACGAAAACAAAAGTCATTGAATCTTTTTGAAAGCTATCCATCTCGGTCCCACAATCTTGGATTGTTATAAATATTAGCCCTGACTAAATCCAATCGGAAGCTAATCGGACGCATTCCTGATGCACCGACTTATGCATATTCGCAGAGTCGAAAAACCAGTTAGTAAGAACGATTGCACAGCGAGTGCTGGATGAAAAACTGCTATACATACCATGATTGGCACTGGCTTTTCGGCCCTTGTTCATATTATTCCATGGGGTGTTGCAGTTCTCCTTAAAGTTGAACGGCGGATATTGGAATTGCATGGAGCTTTCATTGACTTGGGGGTGGAGAGATCGGAGACGGGTTATGGGATCTGGACGACAATAAAAACGCAAAAACTCACCAGAGACTTCATCGTGAGTGGGAGAGGATAGATTTTCGTAAGAGGCCTCATCGACTTGCTGGCTCCATGGTATATTGCGCTCCTCGACCGATTTAGCTGCATTTTGGGGCATGGTAAACAGAGAGGAAAATGGCATTAAAAGCGCACATTAAGCAAGAAATGCGATCGAAAGTCGAGTGGTTCCTGTCTTTTGTGGGGGGAAAACGCTCTGTCTGTGGTGGTAGCTTGTTATATACCTGTGTTTCCTGGTATTTTCATCTGAAACAAAAACACACTGCAGGTTAATAATTTTACTCGTATGCGGCGTGGGCAAATTGTGTGTTTTTGTACATCTCGGCGATGTACACAAACAGCGTATTAAAGGCAACATTTCCGACATTTCTTCCTTCCGAAAATCCCGACATAAATCGAACCGAACATATGTACATATGTGTGTATGCAAAATACAATTACCTGATCCACGCCTGACATTTGCTGCACTTTTTGCCTGCAAATAAGAAAGCGATTTAGTATTGCGGTTCCGATTCACTGCACTTGCACTCGGTGTATTACCCCTTTTAAAATAAATGATATAAAAACACAAGGCAGGTAGAATTTGTTGCTTAAAAGTTTTAGTAAACTCCGATATATTTTTTACTTAAAGAACCACATACACTGACACCACACGCACATTAACCAATACACTGACAGAATTCTTAACGCTTCCGAAGCCGCTTATTTTCACGAACGGCGTTGAGCGGTATTTTACCGACACCGAATACCAAAAATGCGTTACTAAATACTTAACAAACCAGGGCTGCAGCACGAAGTCTATGCATTCGCGACTACGCCAGAATCTATTCGTTGAGTTGTCCGCTCTCTCACCAACAAATAAAACATTTTCTTCAAAAACGTAAAATGTCAAAGCAGGCTGCCAATCCTGCAATTAAAAACTCAATGCCATATAACTAAAAAAAACTTGCCATAAATTAGTGGTGCACCTGGGGCACCAACCGAGTCAGTGAAAGACATCGGCGGCCAGACACCGATATCAAAATTCAAACAAACTAATAATAAATATCGATACCACTGATGGCAAAACCGATGCCTTTGCAAGAAGAAGACAAGTAGCCACCTCATCTTTGTCAGCCGTAGATTTTGTTAGATTTAAATTGTGAAAATGGCGAGGGCGGCTTTGATTGTGTGCCTACTAATGGCCTGTGCCTGGGGCAGTCACGCCGTAATGTTCAAACTTAACCCGAACACCCAGAAGTGCCTCAAGGAAGACATCCAGGCGAACCAGTTGGTGATGGGCGAATATGAGGTGTCCGACGTTCCCGGCCAAATCATCGACTATATTGTGAGTTTTCCACTTGATTTATTTATTTAACAAGGTTAATAGCGGGGGATTCGTGTTTACTAGGCCCGCGACACTAAAGGACACATCCTGACGCAGAAGGAACACATCACCAAGGGCAAATTTAGCTTCATGTCCGAGGTTTACGACACCTACGAGATCTGCTTTATATCCAAAGTTCCTCCACGTAAGTAATAATTGTAACGACAGCCATTAGCGTGATTACTGCACAGCAAAAAAGCTGATCAAATAGTGTTTGAATTATCAATGGAAAATATTTCCTGGTATTTCCTACATGAAAGCTTGCAGAAATATTCCAATGAGTATTTAGTTACAAAAATATGAAGTTTTTGACTTTACTTTCTTTTCAGATCAACGCGGCATTGCACAGGAAGTATCGCTGCTGACGAAAAAGGGTGTGGAAACCAAGAGCTACGAGGGCGTAAGTTCACTTAAACCGCCTTTTCTTATCGCAAAAACTACATTCATTATATCAATCCGAAACAGATTGGTGAGGCATCCAAGCTGAAACCCCTGGAAGTGGATCTTAAGCGTTTGGAGGATCTTTCCGACTCCATTGTGCGCGATTTTGTCCTGATGCGCAAGCGTGAGGAAGAGATGCGCGATACTAATGGTAAGATTATCCACGGATCACCCTTCAAAAAAACTTACCAACCTTATTGTCCCGCAGAGAAAACCAACAGCCGCGTCCTGTTCTTCAGCATCTTCAGCATGTGCTGCCTGCTCGGTTTGGCGACGTGGCAAGTTCTGTACCTCCGCAGGTACTTCAAAGCCAAAAAACTCATCGAATAGTTCGTCCGCCTAGCCGTAGTCTTAATGCGTGTGTGGAACCGTGTTTAAATGCCTCGTTTAGATTTCATCTTTCATCTTTTGAACGTTTTTCTGAAATAAATGCAACTACCACGTATGTATATTTTATTACTGCGACTGTTCTTGCACATGTCTTGGCGGTGTGACAAATAAATAGCTCGTATTGGACGCGTTTAACATAACAGGTACATAACACAAAACCACACGGTACAAGTTATTGGCTCAGCTGGCAATATTTGATAGATCCGAAGCTCTTAGACGGTTGTTTCCTTCAGCAGCATTGCACTTTCGGTGTTTAGGCCGTCGCCCTCAATGGCCAAAGCCCCGGCTTCATCGGGGTCTTCTTTGCACGGACTTGTGCCTCCCTTTTTCATTAAGATGTAGCGCGTTTTGGCCGCGGAACTGTTTGGTGCACTCGAATCCTCAACGACAGATTGCTCCATCCACAGGCTGTCGTCGTTCAGCGCCTGATTCACCAAGTTCGCCAAAGTTTCCGGTAACTTCGAAATGCCGGTGGGATCCGCAGGGCCTTAAAAACACAAAAATACTATTACAGCACTTGATGATTAAATAAAATATGCTGCAAGCCTGACTCTCGATCCACAAAACTAGTTTTGGTCGGCTTGCAGCTTTCATATTAGCAAGAAAACTAAAAAATATTTTCAAAATATAATATAAAAAATAAAAGAAAAGAAGACATGTGAGGTAAAAATGTATTTTATTTTCTTAAAGAAGAAGAACACATAAAAAACAATATACATATTAAAAAAAACACAGATTCAAAGAAATATTTTAATACGCGCTTAAACTGCATCGTTGCTACTGCGAAAAGGAACAGAGTTCATTATATGGATATCAAAATTTTCGAAATGGCTTTTAAAATGCAAACGTACGACATATTTACATATGATTTCAGTAGCTCTACAAATTAACTTAAAACAAAGTTTAATTAAAGTTTTAAGCTTTAAGCGTAGGTCAAAGTAAGTATATAAATTACCATGTGATTTTTAGATTTTAAGTTTTGTACGAATATGTATGACTTTCAAGAATACAGAGATTAGAGATTTCAGATACTTAAAGTAACGTAAAAAATAATAAGCGATGTATGTAATCAACAATAACATAGCCGTTAATTTTTTTGGTAAATCCGCACATGCAGACAGAAAGGAAACTTTAAAATGTTCTTAAAAATATATTAGTCGTAAAATAATATATGTACGTATAAAATAATGCATAGCGTACTACCAAGCGGTACTTTAATCGCAGGACTTTAAATACTTTTCTTAACAACGAGATATAAATCAAAATAACAAAAGACTGAAATTAGTTGATAGTACAACACATATTAATAACACTAGAGCTGCGTTTTGGCCGCGTTGGATCAGCAATTGGGGGGCAAACGGCTTCAACTTGATCAACAACATCATCCGCTGCCTCATCAACTGTGTCCTTGTCCTTTTCCTCGTCTTTGAGGGATAAGCGCTTTAGGTTCTCCAGCCGAGACTTCAGCTGGCCCGGGGTCACGGTGCCCCTAGGGGTATTCTCCTCTGCGGGATTTCCCGCCTCGCGGCAGGTCGATAAATCTGATTCACAAGCCTGGCCCTCCGATATTCTATCCGGTGCCAAACGCCGTTCCAGCGGACTCCGCGAACTGCTCGAGGTGGAGGTGCACGAACTGGTGACCTCCGGATACGGCGAGTGAGACTCTGTACTCTCCGGCGTATAGGGATCTTCGTACAGCCGCTCGGTGTCGGTGCTCAAGTGTTGCGTATCTATGCGGTTGATTATAATGTCTTGCGTCAGCATCAAGCGCTTGGACAGCAACTTATACCGGTGTGCCACGGGCTGCCTTTTGATAATGTTCCGGCACATCGGGCAAATGGCCTCGCCGGTTCGACTGCTATCGTCGAACTGCAGCAGACTATTGCTGGAAAGGTGGGCGCACAAGCACATGCAGATATTATCGGAGTCGATTATGTTAATACTAATGTTTGGGAAGTTCGAGGAAGCCGTTTTGCCCGCCTCGTCGTCTTGACTAATTTTCAATGAATTGTACATATTGCGAGCCTCCGTTTCGTCGATCAACTTTGAACTAGTTGCTATATCCTCAAAGAGCTTATTAGAATAGGGACAGTATTTCAGTTTGACAGCGGGCACGGGTGATGTTGAGATGTTGTTGGGTTTGGCGTAAGTATTCGTGTAGTTGCAATCACAAGATCTATAAGTACCTTTGTTTGGTTTAAGACGGACAGTTAAGTAAACAGGCTACATGACAAAAAAGAAGAGATAATAATTATTAGACCGATTGTAGCAAAGGTTGCCTAAAGCAATGGCTTATATACATATGGATGCCCTATCCGTGGAACTATAGAATTTAAAACTTGAATCTAACTAGCTTCGATGCACCGAAGTCTGTAAATATCCTTGCAGATTTATCTGAAACTTTAGAGTGATTTTCTTTATATAACAAAGATCTTTCCCTAGTTTTTGGTTATGGTTATCTATTCATTTATTCGTTATAGAGGATATAGTAAGCGCACTACAAGTGGACTAAGCGACACCATGCCGTAAGAAAACATAGTTGTTAGGGATGGAAGCAGAATTAGAAACAGCCGGTTCGTGTAAACATTCGGAAACAATACGAAGCCTCTAATAGCGAAGAGCAAGAATATTTATCAAAGTGGTGCACAGTGGTGGGAAGGCAATCGAGAGTTGTAAGTAAGTTTAGATTGCTCCTGCAGTTATTCAGAAGGGAAAGAAGATTTAAGAAATCTTACCTTATGGTCACCCATGCAAACAGCTTCCCCAATCATTCCGTATTTCCAATCATCGCTACGAATAATCTCATGGACTTGGGGGCTCATCAGAATCCTATCGCACCAAGCTGGACAGCGAGTGGACATATAGTCGGTGGGCATCTCAGGATCTTCTTCAAACGGATACGACGGAACGAACTTAATGGGATATTCGACTAGAACGTCTTTAAGTGGCTCCAACTCTCTATCAAACTTCTTAAGCTACATACACGAAATTTGTTATTAAATGTTAAAGAAAGGTTTTTTATTTACGTACCCAGTCTTCTTTAAACTTAAGTTGATGGTCGGCATGACTAAATTCTTTTTTTCCAACGGTAAGTACGTTATTTCCAGTTGAGTTGCGATAATGGATCTTATCGTTCTCGTTCTTGACATTTTGAACGCGATGAGCGGTCAAGTTTTCAGTTAGTTCCTGTTTACAGATGATTATTTATTATCTGCTGTCAAGTTCACATAGTAAACTTACTTTCACAACGCCTTCAGTGTCACATCTAAAATTAAAATCCCCAAAGAGGAAAAATGGCACCGTGCCATTCTGCTCGTCCAAATGGAACCTGCAATTTATTAAAATTTAAGTTTCTTTCCGAGATAGTCAAAATTAATATTACCTTTCAATGGTATGAACTAAGGCTCTTCTCCGCGTCTTACAATAAACGGAGGGGAAATTTTCGCATGCAGCCAAATTGGAAGCATCGTGGAATAAGTGTATGTTGACTAGATCGATCACTGTGCCATTGATTTCCCATCTTGTTCGCATAAAACCCTTACGAGACCATTTGCACTGTAAATAAAGTCTATTTATTAACTTTTCTTTGGGTTGTAATAATTAGTAACTCACTTCCGGGAAAAAATGCTGTGGGAATTTAGACTTCTCCTTGGTGGCAATAGTTTCAATGTTTCCGGAATAGATATGTTTATCTTTAATATCTTGAAGACTTTCCTCCCAACTGTGGGTTAAGAAGTTCCATATTTTTAGGGACGCAACATCCTGGTGGACGAAGTAAAGACTTCCAAGAGCCTATAAAAAGTAAAATAATAATTTAATTTATCCATGGCAAATTAAACCCCAGGCCACTAAGTTTTGACTTGGATGTGACTAATGTTTCCTTTTTCTCTGGCCCACTGACTTCATTAATATACTTGAATTACTTGGATTGGAAATCAAACTAATTGGCTCAGCTCATCCATCATTTTTGATGATCGAATTGACCTACAAACAATATTCAACCCACCGTGAAATGCTCGGCCGACTTGAAGTCCTCGTCCATGAAAATGTGTACGCAGGTGAAGTCTGCCAATTCGGGGGCATCGCAGAGGCACCGGATGAACTCCTGGACGTACTCCATGGACTTTTCATAGGTCTTCCCGCCCACTTCCTGCAGATGCAGGGCCAGGAATTTGGGCGCGACCTGCGATATCTTCGCAAGAAATTCGTGAAGCCATAGTTGTAAAAGTCTCTCCGGCTGCAAAGTCGATTAGGTTGAAAATTCGATTATCGGGGACGCGGGTGTGCGGAATATCAATTTGTTTGGAAACACGGACTTAAGTGTACATATTTATGCCAGTGGGTCCATACATAAATATGCGTATTTACGCATCGTGTATGTATGGGCCGTACGTAAACATGTATACTTCCTAGCCCCTTTTGGCTTTTTGGAGAAATATCACATCCACTGCTTTACGTACGTCCTCGAAGAGGCTGCCAACGTTCGCCGTGACCAGAAATATATCCGTGCCAGACCCGTCTTCCTGTGCTGAGTCCATTTGATCCCAGTTACGCCTGCGATGCAACAATTTTATTCACTTTTTATCAGTGTTCCAATTGGAAAATGTAAATACTAATTGAGTTGAGGGGCGCAGTGTGACCGCACGGCCTGGTGAGAACTAGGTCATTTCGATAAGCAGCTTTCGAGTGACCGTTCATTATTTGTTTATTTTCAAAATTAAAACATTTTATTCTTAAATAATAATTATGTATGATCCCTAAATTATATATTCTAAAATATATTTTGCAACTAAAACATGGTTAATGATTGGCCTACTTTCCGTTTATATGTTCCTTTTTCATATTTTAGTTTTTCTAAGTTTAAAAGTACCGCCAGTCAACTGCCAAAATCGTAACAGAGTCACTTCCGCAATCCTGATTTCAAATAATATAAAATAAAAGGAATGTTAAGTAAAAACATAAGTTATTAAAATAAGTTAATAATAAGTTATATAAAATTTAAAAAATTACTCAAGATAAAAGCAAACGCCGCTTTTTTGTATCTTGTATTTAGAAAGTAATGTTACAGTGTACCTGTAATTAAATATGAATAAATGCATTCCGGAATTAAAAATGCAAGCTGTGTGGTGGCCCATTAACCAAGTTAAAGATGCCTCGTCTATATTATGATCATATCCGGCGACGTTTAACTATTAATTACTACGGTGAGTACTCACTATGTCACTTTAGTTTTCTATTCAGAATTGCGACGTTCAAGTCTTTCAAAAAACTTCCAAACGCTCTTAAAGTATTACATCCGTAACACTTGTCCAAGATGTCATCAATTTGTGTCACTTATGCAAATCGTCGATTCCCACAAAACGAGTTTTACAATTTGTCAAAAAACAAGTGGTCGAAAAACCTAACTTGCAGATACTATATAGCCGATTGCTATTTTCAGGCTTTTTGAAAGTTGGGTAGTGAAAGTTGTATTGAACTTTTTTGCGTCTCTTTCGAAATCTTAAACACAATCCAGCAATTGCACGTAGCATGAATACTGAATAGCACGTGAGACGGTAGCCACATTTCTTGCGAGAATACACAAGTGCCCCAACTCCAGCGCTGAACATACGTACATATGCCCTATAGGGGCCAAAACCTTTCGGGGGAAAAGCTATGGCAGTTATAAATACTTGCACATACGTCCGCCACATATTTTCTTTGCAACAAGGTATACGGTTCGAAATTTATAAAGAGGCGGACGGCCAGAAAATCGTTTATTGTACTTTTAGGAACCGTTAAATTCGTATCTTAGCCGCGATCGGAAAAATGCGTAATAAAAATTTTGTCGTTCTGATATGCGCTTCCTGCATTTGTGCTTGTGCTGCGGTTCCGGATAGTTATTCTGGCGATATACAAAACTCGAACTCATTGGATTTCGGTGCGTGAATAAAAAAAAGGATATTCAGAAAAACAATCAATAACGCAAGTGATCTAACTATAAAGAACAATAAAGAACCTTTGTAATACCCTTAAAAACTGTGATTATGAAGTATCAGAAAATAAATAAGATCTATATAAAATAATCTATAAATCTAAAAGTTTTATACTACAAAGCTTAAAGGAAAAAAACCTAATGTAAAATGTTTCGAAAAGCAATTTGGGACTATTATTAATTTATATAAAAATTCTCTTTTACCCTTACAATATATTTACAATACAATATTTTTAAATATTTTTGTTTATTAGGCAATGATAACGGGGGCTATCAGTATAACGCTCCCCCGAAAAACGACTATCTACCTCCCGCAACTCCCGCCCCAGAATACCTGCCCCCACCGAATAATGGATATCAATATAACCCGCCCCCGAGCAACAGCTATCTGCCACCTCCGAACAACAACTACCTACCTCCGGCTCCTGAGTACGGACCACCTCCTGGATATCCTGTGTATGGTCCACCTCCTCCCTTTTACAAGCCAGCTCCCCCGATTCCCTACCATTCCCACGACTCGTTTCTGGAAAAACTAAAGTCCAAGATCAACTTATACACGCTTGGAAAAATCCTGTTAAAGCTCTTGATATTCAAAAAAATTGTCAAGTTTATTGGCCTGATTTTCTTGCTCTTGGTTTTGCCAAAGCTGAAAAATATTTTTAAGGATGATATGATGTCTGGATCTGGTGAAAGCGATGGTATGGAAAGTAAACTTGTTGAAACTGATAATGGTAAATTATTTTAATAACCTGACTTTCATTGAAAGTAAAAATGTATTATTTTCTTTTAGATAAATTAGCTCAACAAATTGAAGATCTTTACGATTTTGTGGCCAATTCTATTGAGAATTTTGAAGGAAGAAGCTCATAGATGTATACCAAAACTAGTTAAAAATGTATTATTATTTATTTATTAAAATTGTTCTTATAAATAAAATTTAATTATATGTTATACATGCGTTCTATTAATATTAAAATAATTAAATTATTTATCAGCAACGAGCCGATGCAAACCATCAATACTTAGTTTATATTACCTTTATTCATACGAAGTGAATTTTGAGTTTTTAGGTATATCTTTTCAACAGGTTCTGTATAAAATTTATATGTGGTGGTGGGTTTTTACAAGTTTAAAAAAACTTTTATAATATCTTTTCATTCCATATTGCTTATCTCGGGTAAGAAAATTCGAAAGTTTCGCATCACTAACGATATATATCGATAGACGGGAGTTACAAGTCGGCATTAAAGTTCCGATCCGGTATTATTTGGCAGTGATCAACAGCAACATAATGCTGCAGTTTATATTCCTAGTTATTTTGGCTTTTAATCTAGAAAATTCTGCAGCCCAGGAGTTGCGACGTGTGGACGACACGGAGTTAATTCAACTCCTGACCGGCAACAGCAATGTGGTCGTCCTATTCAGTAAGTAATACTATGCTGAGGAAAAGAAATCCAGCTTACGTGTACAGGGCACATATGGACAATCACATACCGGTTACAGGCTAAAAACTCTCCTTTTCGCAGACAAAAACAATTGCCAGCAATGCTTGGAGTATGAAAATGTGGTCACGAAGATACATCCTCAATTAAAGGAAACTTTGTCTGCCATTGTGGTCCAGTCGGTGGACAGCAATCTTGTCTCCATTTACGACCCAAGTAAGGAACCTGCTCTGGTGTTCTTCAGGCGGGGAATACCAATTCTTTACCATGGCGAGGTGAACGATGACGAAATCCTAGACTTCTTCTATGACAATTTGGAGCCAGCGGTCAAAGAGCTTTCCGACGACAACTTTGAGCACCTGACGCAGGCCTCAACGGGGGCCACAACCGGTGACTGGTTTATCTTCTTGTAAGCTATATTAGTCATGCGTTGAGGTCGTCTAAGCCATTGTGTACACCCACTTCTAGCTATTCCGCCGAGTGTACCGTCTGTCAGCGACTTTATGCCGTCTGGGAATCAGTGGGCGGAAAGCTGAAGCGAAAGTTGAACATAGCCCGAATGAACAGCTTAGAGTCTGGAATCTCAACAGCAAAGAGACTGGGAGCTTTGGAATCGCCGGCCTTTATTTTGTATGTCATTGGTTGTTAATCTTAACCAAACTTTATACTAATAGAAGTTTTTACAGCTTGAGGCAGGGGAAGATGTATCGCTATTTGGCCAAGCAATACAGTCCCGAGGCATTTGTCCAGTTTGCCGAGAAGGGATACTTAACCCATAGCCATCCTCAGCCAGTTCCAGAAATACCCAGTGCCGTGTAAGTATCTTCTTCACAGCTTACTATAATTTAAACATCTCTTTCGATCGAATATTAAAATCAAAGTCCGATTATGACCTTTTTATAGGGATTTGTGAGAAACTGATACATGTCTTTAGTAAGTGAGAAACATTTTTCAACCCATTAATGAGTTTAAACTAATTGTTTAAATAAATATATAACTGTTTAATTTAACAATTAATGACTTTTAGACCCCGGTGCAAGGTTGGAATTTAGTACAACACCGAATTGATTTGCTTTTGACCATTATGAAAATTGTAAAATATTACTGCAAAATAATGATTAATATCAAATCTTATAATAACAGTGGTTAATATACATATTCGTAATTTTGTACATAAACACGTATAATCAACTATACCCTGGCTTACAGAGTTCCTGGTTTAAGAAGATCGAGTTTAATCCTACAAATTTAATTCTAATTATATACAATGAAATTATTAATTTTTAAACATTCATGTTTTTCAGAAACGAATTTTTGGGCCCACTCCAAAGTTATTTCAAATCCGATAACATAACGTCGTTGGCTACGTTGGGAATTTTTGCATTGGTCATTGTTATATATCTTACAAAAAAGATAGTCAAAAAACTCAGTTCAGAGCCAGTGAAAACAAAAAATAAGTCAAAATAAAATTAACATTAATAATAAAACTAAAATCGTTTTAAATCATCTATCAAATGTAAATGCCCTGTAAAATCAAACAAACGATGAGCGCTAAAATTCAACTACTGCAATTCCTAACGCCACACAAACTGCCAGCTGTACCGTGAAACAGCGGAATCGAAACATGCAGATACTTAATATCGCAAAAAATCCATTGTTCGTTTGTATCGGAAACCATACCTATCCTATCTCTTGATTGGTTTCAATTCATTAGCGTGCCAGCAAACAAAAATATTTAGAGCGGGACTGCTGAGTTCAGAGGCTAACTCGGCTAGCAATCTAGCCAATTACTTAATTGCCATGATAGTTTGGCGTGGAACACTCAATTTGAAACCGCGTTTCGTTTCCTAAGGTGTGTGTATTTTTCGCGATCGTTCCTCTCGTTTTTTTGTTTTGGGAGTTTTTGCAGTCGTTAGCGTGTTCCTCGGAAATATTTTATCTTGGGTAAATCACTCGGAACCCGCTATTTATATACGCTTCATACATACAGAGCTGGTGAAAACACAGTGCTCACCAAATGTCAGTTGACGTCAGAAGGTCTTGAGAAGCGCGAGGCGTGCATATACTACGTATATAACAGGGAGAACCCCCGAGAGTGGGAGAGAGATCGAGAGAGCGCGTTCAACTTTCGATTGAGTTGATATTTTGGCTATTTCGCTTTTGTTCAGTTCAGTTCAATTCAGATACTCGTTGCCAGCCAAACCGAAGTGAAGTCAAAAACTCATGTGCGTACTTACGTGTAAAGCAGTCGAAGAAAATGTGCAAACATACAACTACCATATGTACTTGTATGTGGTGAAGAGTGTCAGCGTTAATCGCCTTTTCCCTCTGCATGACGACTAGAAAATACTCGATACCGTGTCTGTTTGGCCAAGTGAAAAACAAAATTGATATTGTGTAAGTTATATCTAGCGTTGGGAAAACGATGAAAAGTGTCATTCCTAAAAATACACCTCCTCGGGAAAGGAAGTCGCAATAAACGTGCTAGTCGTCGCCACAAAGAAACCGAGACTCTGGAAGTAGGGCTGAAAAGTAGCCATCATGACTAGCTCACCACCCAAAACGGCAGCCCGTTTACAGAAAATCGATATTCTAGTCGCGCTGTAACGCTGGCTAGCGCCTAGCTGAAACAAAACAAAAAAATAACAGACAGGCGAGACATTAGTATACCGAAAACCTCTTCCGCCAATGGTCGACATATAGCCGCAAATGCCTACGCTACATATCAGCCCCAAAAACAAAAATACAACCATCTGTGATACGCGCGTACCTAAAACAGTTTGCGAAATGAACTAACTTTGCTCCGATCGAGGGTATCACTGGGAAATTAACGATGCGTCTTGTCCGCAGTAAATGTTGTCAACGTGATGTATCCGACTATTTGAGCACCCCGCACCAGTCGTCAACAAACTCCGAAGTCCACACCAAAAATATATTTACACGCTATTGGGACGACCACATAAAAATGAAGGAACTCAACGAAGAAAGGTCCAGGGGCAAGCCCACCTCATCATCATCTTCAGCACCTGCCAAACAAATCCAGAGCGTTACCTTCGTGAGAAGTACGGGGACCAGTAATCCACCAGCTGTTTGCGACCTAAATGGAAACGGGAATGGGAACTCGGCCCAAACCGAGTGGACCTTTCCCCCAAAAGCGCCCACCCCACATATCTACAATTGCCTGACTCCCGTAAGTTCACACAGGAAGAAAAAAGCTAAGATAATTTAATCAAATAACTGATTAAATATGAGATAGCAATGAAGAAACCATTTCCATTTTAAATTTAACTACATCAAAAAGGCATTTACAAGTTTTGTATAGGTATCCGGTTTTTTCTCTGCACCAAACATAGGTCCTCCACAATCTAACCACCCACCCACTAGTTATTCGCAAAAGCTTCCTCCCCAGTGCAGACTATCATGACGTAACGATTATTAGTTACTCCGCGGGTGACCGTATATACTATATAGTTGCTAGTCTTTGTGCGCTCGTGTGTTGGCGGAAGATAAAGAGGAAACAAATTATTTGCACTTCAACAATTGCCGTCTAAATCATTAGTATGTATGGCGGTATGAACCGACATACAGACATTCGGCGGTATATTATAGGCATTTAACGGGGCGCATGTAGCATTAAATATACCTATTTTAAGACATTTTTTAAGTGATAAGATTAGGGATCGCACATATACACGCAGGTCAGCTTGGGCCATAAATCTTTAATTTATTGAGATCCTATGTCAACGCAAACACCTAAAAGAAGGGCTAAGCTAATTTTGCTTGCCATTTCCGGGATTCACTTTCACCTTCGTTTTATACCTTGAATGATTATAAAGCAGAACAAGGCTTTCAATTAAATAATTACAGTATACAATATACGATCGATGAACCTGGGTAATCGCAAAATAACTTCACAACACTTCTCAAGAATCTGGCTTTTTCGAAACATTCGGTTGCGATAAGCTAAAACTGGAATTTTCAACAGTGATTTAAAGCAAACCGCAAAGAATGATTAACCCGCAGTTTTAGGCTGAGTTTAAGCTTCATGAAAACACAGACTTGCATTTATATATGTATATATACCATTAGCAACTTTCCAACATAAAACAATTAACTTATTAATGTCTTCTCTTTCTTATAGGACATGATGGCATCAAGTGATAAAAACAGCTTTAAAGGATTTCGGAAGCAGTTCAGTGGACGATTTAAGCGCCTAGTAACTCGAAAAGTGGAACACACTCCAGTGATACCTCCAGAATTGAAGCCGCAACTTAAAACAATATACGTTTACTAACTTAAGATGTAACGACAATTGCAAGCACAAGTGTTTTCGCCATTATACACGAACACTCCCTATGTGCGTGTATATGGCAGGAAACATTAGTGATAGGAAAAGCAAGATAAACTAAGTAATCATAATACCATTCTGATTGACAATTTAAGTATTCAGCGATTCGTGCGTATTGTTAGGCTCAATAAAAAGAACATTTCATAAGACAGACAAAAGTTTAATGAAGTTGGGATGAAAACCGCGGGGCTAAAACTAACATATCAAAGAATTCAAATATGTAGTTCTAATTATCAAACTAGTTTGATGTTTAAAAATCCTCCCCAAGTTGTATTCTGAATCTATGTAATTGCTTTCTCTTTGAATAAGTTGCAAAACCTCCCTATTGTAAAACTGTTCATTAATTATAATTAAAGCTTTTTTAACTACCTTAACTGCTGATCGATTTATTCTTCATAAGGGATTTTTCAATCGAAACCAATATTTATAGAAAAGGTATTAAACTGAAACAACGATAAATGCAAACCAAGGAAAACAAAGAAATCTGGTATCGCGCCTAAAGAATGTAGCCACTAAAAATGTGATACGATAAGATTAAGGTAAACAAAGTGGATATGCCACGTCGGAATGTGTATGTATTTTGGACAAATTTTTTGCAATATAAAGTACCCTACATCAGAGGGCTTCTCAGTGCTAAATGGTCAAATGAACCAAACAGGTACCCTCTGCAGGATGAGGTACACTCTGAATTACAAATTTACCGCTTTGTTTACCGTGGCAACAATATTCAAAATTAACTTTTTAATTAAATAAAATGCTTATTTTATTCCAATCTAAACGTACATTCACACAATCGCGTCTCTATATACAAAGTCAAGTACTTGTGTATATATTTAGTTCTACAGGACCAGAGACGAGGTTAGCAGTCATTAATCTACGTGAGTTCCTGGGTGGTGTTGCCTGTGGTGCTGGCAGTCTGCTTTGGCTCTCTATTGCTGGGACCAGCACCACTATCGTCGAGGTTTTCGCTGCTGTTTGGTTCGGGCACTACAGTCTCTGTTGACTTGGGGGATCCCTGGTCCTGTGGGCCAGTTTGGGTTTCGGTTTCAGTGCTCCCAGACTCGTTGCGGGCACCCTGATCCTCCTCGTCGGAGTATTCTACGCTGGAAATCGAGGGATTTCGCTGCAAAATCAATAAAAGAGGTTTAGGGAGTGTTGACTCCTAAACTTTGAACCCCAAAACTCACTGTTTCTCTGCGAGATTTGCACTCGAAGAACCTTATCTTACGCGAGTCCCGCATTCGCGTCAATCGCATTAGGAGCGAGTAGTGTTGCTCCACGCGGTGTAAACATGTTTTACATATGGTTTTTGGCAAGGGATCAGTCGGAGATATCTGAACAAATCAATAAAAATTGCTATGTAGTGGAAAACAAAGGTTTGCGCAAACCTCTTATTGCGAATGTTGATTTTGGGTACATACAAGCATGTTTTATTATGCATAGATGTCCAGCATTTCTATTGCATATTTAATATAGTTATACTCACTGTTATTGGTAGATAGCCGTTGATTTTCTCAACAAGGCACAAACGTTGTCCATGATCACTATAAATATGTATTACTGTGCGGTGCATCTCTGAACAGAGTCGGCACAGGAATCCGGATATACACGCCTTTTCAATGCTCCCCATCTCAACCGATTTGTAGGATTGCTATATCCTCAGCTGCCAATGCAATGTCGGTTAATTCAAAGCCAACCAAAACAACTTTCCAAAAATATTGTATTAATACTTTTCAGATATGTGTTGTGTACATATGTTTCTGCCTTAGGGTTGTATTTCCGATTACACTTGCAGGTTGCCAACTTGTTTTTGGTCTAGTCGATAGTTCGCAACATTAAACTAACTGCAGTTTTCGTTCCATTCAAAATGACCAGAAATGCACATAGATAACTCTAAAGAAAACTACTGATTTTAAAAATTATGAACAACTGGAATCGGCACAAAAAGTCACTGTTAGAACAGTGTTAATTAAACTTGTTCAAAGTGCTATAAAGTCTGGTTTATTTTCAAATAACTCCATGAAATAAAGAAAAACAAAATTAGGTCCCATCGCAATTATTATAATAACAATAATTATTAAGAAACTTAAACAGACTTTTTACCGGGAAAATCTGCTTGGAATAGAAAATTATATGTAGTTTCACCTTCTGTCAAACTTTTTTTTTATTATTAATTGTTATATCTAAATAAAAATAGAGACCATAAAATAATTATCATGATAAGAATCCTTGCAGAGTCTCATAGGATAATGACGCGCTATTCAGGGATTGAATATTCTGAGTAGCGAAGCCCTTGAAGTTTGTGCACTGATTAAAACCAGGATCCATCATAAGAAGCGATTGTGTTTTTTGGTTCGACAAGCCAAAGAAAACCTCTCCTTGCACGTCAAAGGGTATTTTTACTTTAACATTGGGTGATCTCTGAATAGAGTTTAGAAGTTCCATGTGGCAAGTGTTGGCGCTTTCTCCGAAGAATACCCCATCCAAATCATTATCGGGGATTATTTGAAACTGGGGAATTCCTGCGTTATTTAGTATTTTACAAGTGAAGACACACTTTTTACGCGGATCCTTGGGATGAGCATAAATCCTGGTGGCCACGTATCCAACTGGATATATCCAACTCTCGTTGTGGAAATTTGGATTCACTGATATTATCTCGCCCAGAGAGTGCAACAATACATTATTCAGGTTCATCGGAAACATGGGTTTCTTTTTTGGCACAATTGTGACATTTTTGGGTTTTACATCTGTTGGTTTTTTATGCAAAACCACCGGCTTGCTTTTCTTCAATCCTCCCTGATTGTCTGATGGTTCTATCTTTCCATTTGAAACACCAGGACGTCCATTGTTAGATTTTTCCAGGCCCTCATGAAACATAAGGCGCTCTATCAAGTACAGCCTTTGAGATCTTGTAACTGATAACTCTGCCTGGAGGCGACAAATCTCATCGGCGAGGGAAGCGTTTTCCTAGAAGACAGTTTTGCATGTTAATATGTATATCACAACTTAGCTAAACATCTAGCTTACGAAACCCAAATAAAGCAAGCACAAATGTGTATGTATGTATGAACCATGAGTTTTTTAACAAACATAGAACGTACCCAAATACACACAGGTTTGCCGATTTTCAGTGCATGTTCAAGTCTTACCAGCAGATAACTCTTAACGGAACGCTTTAAACTCTCATACCGCCGCTTATATTTTAAATTCATGGTTTTTTAATTAATAAGTTTAGCAAAAACAAATATGTTAACAGATTGTTGCTATTGTCGGTGGTTTGTTTTGATTATCGGAGGCAGGGTTGCCATTTTGAATACTATCGAACTTAGTAGTTTTTAAGTTGGTATTTTTATTACTAGTATACGAAAATTGTAATTCAAACAAATCTAATCTAATCTCTATTTTGTTTACGAACTATAAATAGAACTTGCAAATGTGGAATTAGTTTATCAAAATTCTCGTCAATTTAATTTGGCATTAGGAAATGACAGAGAGTTGCTAATGGGTTAACCAATCCGTGTTGTCCAATCCTATCTGATGAATGCCATCATTATAGCCCTGTGAAGGACTTAGAAATGTTGAAAAGTTATTTTCGGCGTTCGGACTTAAAGATTTTCGAGAAAACGAAGTAAGTTGTTAAATCAAGAACTAAATTGCTTAAAGGGCTTTCTATAACTAAAAATTGAGCCTTTAAATGCGCAGTTGACCATGAAAGACAGGGTCTGCAAAGGTGGTTACAACACTAACACCTAGCCCTACCTCATTTATGTATTTACTAAGGTGTTTGTGTGTGTGGTACCAACATTGTAGCCATAACCATTAATTAATGGTTACTACTTTATTTCTAATGTATTATCAATTTAAACGATCTTAAGATTATAAACAATAATAGAATTAGAAAAAACACACCGGTCACCATGGCAACAAATGTTTATATGTGTGCTTTAAATTTTCTTTATTCCATTTCTTACTTTCGCCTAATGTTGGTTTACAAACGCACATATCTAAATATAATGTGTGATTGTGTACGGAAGAGCGTGTGAATACAATACTACTGAGAAAAATCTACGTAGGAGAGCAGCTTTGGCAATGAATCACATCGTTTGTTCGGTGCAAATAAGCCGTTAGTATGTTTTTACACTCCGGTGACACTTGTTGGATTCTGTGCTCCCCAAAAAAATCATCTTCGAAATGGACGAGGAACAAATGTGGAAGGGTTTCTTCGTCAAACTGCAAGAACTTAAAATGAATCCACCCACAGAGCACGAGCAAAAGTAAGTTGGATAAATAAATCCAAAAATTGAGACTCACGCACACACCTGTGGAGATCTAAAATCTCACGGATATATTATAAACATTTGTGTTTGCAGGCATGTGGGTTTCTTTAGACAAATATGAACATTTTAGAGAACTGTGTCATCAGATAAATTAAAAATTATAAAGTGGAATAATCATGTGAGCGAGAGACATAAAAAGTGATGTAAGGAAGCTCAATCCACAGATCGATTTTACAAGCACTTGCTAAGTAAACATGACTCAGTTTCAGGGGATTTTGGATTTCTGAATCCTATTCCTTATTAAAAACACACATTGCATTGTTGATAAATCATTCAAATATTGGTATGAAAATGACCCTTTCTAATAAAAATCCCCTTTTGTAGATATCTAGTTTACTTTAATTTTTTTACTGGTTATTAATTGAATTTTATATTCCAGATTACAAGATGGAGATGATGGGTTTTTCGAGAAGTTTGGATCCCTTTTGCGGCAAAAATCTCAAATTGATGAGGGTGTCCTGAAAAGTTCCCTGGCTCCATTTGAGGAAAATGGCAGTACTGGGGCCGAGGAATCGGACGAAAGTCCGGATGGAACTCTACAACTTAGCCAAGATCCGGAGTGCATCAGTATCGATACCTTTGCAACAGAAAGTGAGCAGGCTTCGATTTCTGAAAAGGACATAAGCACAGCTGTTTTAGACTCGGCTCCTGTAATGAATGTAAGTTTTATATTAGGAGACTTAGATCTTTGCTGACTAAGCAAACGAGTTTTAAGTTTTCTATCATATGACTCAATTTAAACAGCTAGCAAAAAGTCACCAACGCTCCAGATAATGTCAAGCTTTCATTAGGCTTTCCCACTGACAAACGTTGCTAATGATAAGCGATAAAACGAGGGAGTAAATAGTATATATTTGTTAAATTATATTATTATACATTTTTGAAGATGGATGTGCCTAAGAAAGCTGTAACTTGTTGCGATATTAGCCATTTATTCTAGGATTCCGGCGATTGAGCTTCTCTAGAAGCACAGATAAAACTAAGCTTTTTTGAACTCCAATGAAGTTACCATTGCGGCTTCCAAATCAAGCAACTCACCATGAATTGCATTGGTGAATATGGGGGCCTTTCAAGCCTGGTCACATTCCTTTCATAATTTTCAAACCTGCCACTGAGGAAATTTCGTCATAGGTCAGTTATTAAGTTTGCAACGGAGCATAACGATCGCAGAAATGTTTTATCTTATACCAACATTTTGCTGTTCGCATGTTTGTCGACTGGGAAGGTGTATTTTAATTGAACAGAAAAAATTAATTCGTGTCCATAGAAACGCTTGAACAATAAACAAATGAACTTGCCAGACGCTCGTTGCACGTTTATATACCGACCGTATAAACAAACTGAATAATGTATACTGATAACATAAACAAGAACTAGAGAGCATGCAAACATACAATGCAGACTGGCCCATTGAACGAGAGGAAAGCTTAATGTACTTAAGAAAATACAATTTTCATTACCACCTTGAGCTTTTTCCTTTTTGTATCCCAAAATAAAACATTTTCTCTTAAGACTGCCTTAATATTACTCACCAACACTTTGGAACCCCCTGTACATATGCACAAATACAGTAGGCAAATGAATCGAAATGAGCGCATACACTTTTTATCTCATGGTCAACGTCAAGATATTTCGGATATCGCGAAGATTTTCGAGACCGGACGCTATTGTACTTAGATACAGACTCTTCATCGAAGCGGTTGGTTCTAGTCGGTGTTCATAAATCAATAGAGTTTTCCGTAAATTTCCCTCGGCTGCCGACCAGATATGTGCGTCTATTTCGATTTGCATATCTGCAAGAAAATATTTGCCAAAAATTTCGCTTGCATCTAAACAAATATAGTGAAGTGATTAGTTACTGAACTTAAACATGAGCTATTTATCCTTACCACGTGTTCTGAATAAGTTCGGTTCACAAAACCCCAACCGGTCTAACCAAAATTCAAAAACCAATAGCCTTACCCGATCCAGTACACGTACCGGATGCGACGATATTAAGCTCCCGAGAAAAGCATCCTCCACCCAATCACTTACGCGTAAAGAGCCATTCGAGCGACGGATGAGCATATTGAATCGAAATGGCAGCATTTCCAGTCGACACTTTCGAGGAGTTCATAAGCATTTACTCGACTCCCATGCAAAGGCAGTTTGCCATTCGATGACCGTAAGTAGAACATATTGTTCATGTGGCAGGTGTAATCAAAGTTTGCTTACGTTGAGAGAATATATCTATAAAAAACAGTTCTTCTCTGGTCCATATTTTCGAAAATCTATGTGTTTATTCATTGTGCCTAGGTAAACAAAGCGATTGTATAAGTTCATTGATTTGAACTTATTGTTGAGTCATTCAAGTTAAGTGTATCGAGTATTTCAGTTTGTGGAATATTTATGTACTTGATTTTTGGCTAACAATTAGGAAATATGTAGAATTTAACCACAGCGAATTCCTCTTCATGGATACATTTTTAAACAATAAAAAACAGTTCAATATTATAGCATAGCTAAAATTTACATATGTTTGTAGGATTTATTTATTTGCATTTACTCGGAAAAATTAGAACTGGAATTGGCTTTGCTTTTTCTTTATGACGTTTTTGTTTACATTTCCGTGATCTGGAATTTGCTGATATTTTCATAGTCTTTGACCTTTAGAAAAGTGATTTATTTCTATTTTTACTCGAGTTCAATTAAAATACTCCCCTTGAATTGATCGGTTCTAAAAGTGGTTTTTCTTTCACTGCAACAGAAACTGCCTGTATTTAATGAGATAATTTCGAGATAAATCTTGTCAATGAAAGCAAATAAATTCAAATTTTTAATAACTCTATTTTGCAGGTTACAGATCTGTATGAAGAGATTTTATTTGAAATTTTCAACAACATCGGCTGTGAAAACAACGACGAGTGCACAAACAGTTTGGTTGAATTTGTGCAGGATGCATTCAAAATTCCGAACTCAACGCATTTGGAAATTTATGAGGCGGCTAGGTTAAAGGAACCGCCAAACGTTAGATTGAATGTCGAGATTATAAAGGCTGAGAACCTAATGTCCAAGGACTCAAATGGCCTATCTGATCCTTTCGTAACCCTTTACCTAGAATCGAATGGTTCCCATCGATACAACTCATCTGTAAAGCCTGCCACACTAAATCCTATATGGGAGGAGCACTTTTCACTGTAAGTGTTGATATATGGAAACAAAAATAAGATCTTGTTTGAACAAACTTATATCTTATTCTAGGCCGATTACCGAAAATGCTCGTGACGAAGTTCTTATTGTTGAAGTCTGGTAAGTGTAGTTTTGTTTGCCAATGATCAATAAAAAGCACTTACAAAGTCAAGTTGACTTGCTGATAACAACTCTGGAACTCCGAAGTGCACTGAAAAATACGTTTAAGCTCTAACATTAATTTAAGCTAAAAATAGAGTAACAAGGTAAATGATGTCTATGCTAAAATGGATCTATATATTTTAGGGACTTCGATGCCGCGGAGACGGTTAAAGAAAAAGTCAACAAAATCCTGGACGTGAAAGGTGTGAAAGGGCTTAGCAAGTTAATGAAAGAAATAGCTGTTACAGCTTCGTCAGGAAAGCACGATAACGAATTAATTGGGAGAGCTGCAATTACGCTGAAGGTAAGAATAAAATCCAAAAATGTATAAAACCACATTAAATTAATTTAAATTTTATTAGTCAATTCCAGTTTCTGGACTAACCGTTTGGTATAATCTGGAGAAGGGAAGCAAGGGAAGGAGTCGAGGATCACTTCTGGTTAATCTCGCCTTGAGTGCGGAAAAGAACAAAAGTGTCGCAGTGCAGGAACACAAGAACTTACTAAAACTGCTGCTGATGTACGAGCTGGAAACCTCGCAGGTGGCCAACTATTGGTGGAGCGGAAAGTTCAGTCCCAACGCGGAACTGATTCGGTCCCAGCATGCTGCCCAGAGTGGATTAACTCCTTTCGATTGTGCTCTTAGTCAGTGGCACGCTTACAGCACCATCCATGAAACTCACAAACTCAACTTTACGCTGTTCAACTCCATTCTGGACGTAGTGGTGCCAGTTATCACCTACATGCAGAATGACTCGGAGGATGTCAAAACATTCTGGGACGGAGTGAGGCGGTTACTTCCATCGTGCTTCGCTGTCCTACGAAAATTAAGATCCAAGAACACCAGTGATAAAAATATAGTTAGGGCCCTTAATGAAGTGCTGGATATTCTTAAGAAGATCAAGGAGTTAGAAGTGCCGGAAAGTGTAGATATTTTCCCCAAATCAGTTTATGGTTGGATACACACAAACGATACCGACGAAACGTGCAATATTGACACTGCCATTGTGGATGCAATAAATACCGGGACGAAGGAATGGCTGGAGCATATAGTCGAGGGCAGCCGGCAGTCCAAAAACAATGAAACTGATGATGAGAAGCTGCAGTACGTCATAAAACTTATTCAAATGGTGCGGTCTGATCTTCAACGAGCCATGGAATTCTTTGATAAAATATTTTACCAGTAAGTTCATGATAATAATGTTTATTTTGCATGACTTATTTGCTTTCTTCGATTTCAGCAAAATTCAGCTAAACTATTCCGCAATCCTATATTTATTTTACGACTCAAAACTTGCTGAAATTTGTAAAACCATTATAATAGATGTATGCAATAACATCAAGAGGTTAGATGTGCCAGACGATCAATTTGAATATTTGCCAAACCTTGAGAATGTAAATATGGGAACCACGTTATTTGAAGTGTATTTAATACTCAAACGTTACGTGCAATTAGGTAAGGCAATGAAAAAATGATAAATTAGCTTAATAACTTATTATATATTCTGCTCTATTAGGTGAATCTCTCTGTTCCGAAAGTCTGGAACTGGCAAACTTTTACCCATGGTTCGAAAGGGGGGTTACTCATTGGCTTGATATTTCAATAATTAAGGCTTTAAGTCGTATTCAAAAAGCAATTGATTTGGATCAGCTTAAAGCTGTGGACGAAACAGTTAAATACAGCTCTTCGGCTGTGGATACACTCTCCATATTCTATCAAATCAAAATATTTTGGCAGCAGCTGGACTGGCCGGAAATCGAGGGATCCTACATATTTGTGGCAAAAATTGTCAACGTAAGAGTGCGAATTATTTTAATTCAATAGTTTTGATTCAATAAAAAATCAATTGTTGCAGGATCTTTGTAGGTGCTGCATATTTTATGCTCAACAAATGTCGCGAAGAGTCGAAAACATTACGCTGCTGGGAGACAGTAACAAGAACTTCAGTAAGTCAATTTATACAATTTTAAGTGCTTAACTTATTTGTTTTATTTATAGCTTTATCGGAAGAGTGGTGCATAGCCATTAACAACATGGATTACATTCGTCAGAGCTTACCATCATTCATTAAGGTGGGAATTTTGTTTTCTCTTAGGAATATTTTACAATATATAAAAGAACATTTTCGATTCCAGGAACTCAGCATTGATGATATCATTAAGAAATTGGGAGAGTATCGCACAAATTTAGAGGCTGAACGTTGTGCAAACACAATCAAAACTGTAATCGAAAATGCACTGGACACCGAGCGCAACCAGATCGTTGAGCTTATAGAGATTGTTGCCCGAAGAATGGCTCCACCAATAAAAAGATATTTGGCCGAAGGTGCTGAGGTCCTTGCCAAAGACTCAAACTCAATGGACCAATTAATGATGTACTTAGAAGCCTCGCTGTCCACGCTATACGATACTCTTAACGAAATAAACTTTCAAAGGGTATTGGATGCCATTTGGTCTGAGTTGTCAATTATAATGTACGACCTCATCCAATCCAACCTTGATGTAAGTTTGCTAATTTGAGGCATCTGGGAGCCTTTATAAATATATATGAATTTTAATTTCAGAAACGTCGACCGCCAGCCTTCTTTCAAAACCTAAACAACACTCTTCAGACGATGATGGACAGTTTTAAAATGGGAAACATTCAAACCTCGGACGTGAAGATTTTGTCTTCAATTCAAAGTAGACTAAGGCTGTATTCTTTGGAAACAGCGGATCTTATTCATCAGTATTACTTGGAGCGTCTGGAATACCAAAAGAGCCAAGAGTCGTCTCCCTATGGACAGCTTACCATAACGGCTCAATTAACTGATTCCGGTTTACTGGTAAGACCTAACTCAAGTGTTTCCAAATCTTTTTCATTCATTTTTAAATTTTATAGTTAACTATTTTAAATGCACGCAACCTGGTTGCAATGGACTCGAACGGCTCTGTCGATTCATTTGTCAAAGCAAGTTTCTTGCCCACAAGCAGATTCAATGATTTACAAACTGTAAAGACCAACGTTCACAATAAAAGTTGCTTTCCGCTTTACGACCAGGACTTTCGTATGTAAGTAAACAAATAATAAATAATGTAATGTAATAAATAATGGATACCTCTCTTAATAGAAACTTGAGTGAACAACAGCGGAGTGACAAAAATAGCCTGATTTTATTCAGTGTCAAGGACAAAGACTTATTTGGAATGTCTAGCCAGTATATCGCAGAGAGCTATATTTCATTCGCAGATCTCGAGGCAACACCACCAGGAGAACAAATCATGATGAATTTGTCTAGACCAGAATATACAGGTATGTCAACCCTCTCTGCTTGGATTTGACGCAATTAAATATAAAATATTTTCAGATTCCGATTCGCTGCGAGCACTGGAATACCGACTGGGTGATAAGCAAGCCAAGGATTTCCTAAAAAAATTGAAAAACCGATCCTTCTCATAAGTTGTGAAAATTAATCAAAAGCAATACGTTGTAAAAAGCAATAAAAACTATTTTTATATTTTTACGGCGATTAAAATAATAATCCAAATAGCCATTTGTTTCATATTCTTTTATTGGAACAAAAACCAAAAAAGGTCTTTAGGTATAAATACATAACACTCACTTTTTACGATTTAAGAGTTATTTTTAGATTTTTTAAATAAATAATAACTAAAAGGTATTCGTATTAAATTATATTACTCGTATAGGGCTTGAATTACGCGCACATGAATAACAGTAAGATCTTAAGGCAAAAACTACTATGGCTCAAGTTTTTCCCAATGTGCTTTATTGGCGGCGACGAGTGTTACGTTGTTTGTCAAAACGCATTTCCATTTCCTCAAGAACCTTTGGAGTGTAGCGCACTACCAGTTTCACAGATCCAACGGCCTGCTTTAACAACTCAACGGCCTTTTCGTGATTTTCTCCTTCAACAGACTAAAATAATTTAAATTTGTAAACGTTAGACAACGTCAAAGTATGCCTAAGTGAACTGGACTTACCACACCGTTGACAGATAAAAGCTGATCGCCTCTTTTGAGACCTCCGTGCCGATCAGCCACTCCCCCAGGTATTATACGGGATATATAGATTGGCGAATTTTGCTCCTTGCCTCCCATTACGTTGAAGCCTAAGCCTATAAAAACAATTTCAAGTTATCGAAAACTTAAAAAATCTGACATAAGCAACATTTACAAAAAAAAAAAAAAATAGTTGAACACAGATTGCTTTTAAAACTAATCTCAAACGTTTTGAGGTATGCCACTTTGAAATCCAGAACAAATTGTCAAAGTTATGGGCTAGATGAAAAGGGCGTGGCTTACCCTCCTCCGTTTTTGGGAGTTCGACCACCCGAGGATGTGCATGACCTTCGCTGGCGGCAAAGGCTGCAACGGTGGCCTTAGCGGTGGCGGAAGCACGCACATCGTGGGATCCTTGGATGTCCACCGTCTCGTAAACATGCTCGTACACCTCCCGAACGGATGTCATAAACTCGGAATTGAGCACCTTTTGCAGGGCAGCCAGTTTTGTTGTGGGGAAGTCTCCACTGGCCTGCAGTTTTTCCAAGAGCTCTATCGATCTTTTGACATCTAAAATGTATATAATTTGACGTAAATTATTTTATATATTTATTGATATTATTTATCCTTACCCCTTGACAAAGTCAGTGGCTCTGCGTTATCAGCCATATTGTTGTTTAATTTAAATATATCAAGAAAAATACCTGACCTGAATATTATTAGTCGAGAAGCTGAAAATAGTGTGACCGCAATGCACTAGAGCTGAGAATCATACTTTTAGAAAATGGGTTGTATTATATTTGAGTTTAATTTTATAAAAACTTTTACTGAGTTTTTAAATATTTTGATGTTTTGATATATAAACTCTGAAAACAAAACAAATTTTAGTGATCTCAGTGTAATTAATATAATATTAGGTCGCTATAAGTTTTGGTATTATTATACTTTTACTGCTTTGGTCCTATTACTTCGCATTGACAATTTTGATAGACTTAATTTGTTAAAAGTAAACAATTGTGAAATATTTATTAATATGAGCTTGCCAGCAGCTCTCTTGCAGCGCCTAAAAAAGCGAGGTCTCGTAACCAAACAAACTGGTATGTATTATTTTCTTCGTATGTATTTCTTCTTTATATTCTTAAGTACGTTTTTCATCTTACCCCAGGAACCACACCGATATCGGAAGCTATAGAGGAAATTATAGCCGAAAACTACGACGACGATGACAAGAGCGCCCCATACCCATATAAAGAGGACATAGCTCCGGAACCAAAACGCAGGAGCGCCGAGGAGCAGTTTTGGTCGCACCGCATTAAGGAGCGCATCGGCGTTAATGAGTCTTACCACGGATATAAGCTTTGCCCAAACAAATACAACATCTACCACAAGTGCTCCCTATACTGTGTTAACAAATTTAACAGTTCTCCGCACTCGCAACCAAGTCATAAATATCTAAAACGCTATAAGAGACTTTTGCGAAAATATCCCCTGGAGGCAGGATGGAAGGATGTATACGACAAGGGCTGCAAGGCTTACTACTTTTACAACTCAACCACGCAAACCGTTTCCTGGTTGCCGCCATCTCATCCGAAGGCCCGAGTTACAAACAGTGCTGCTGTATTTCGCAGGCAACTGGCCAATTCCAACGACGAGTATACCTTCGACTCCAGCAGCTTGATTTTACCTAAATCTTCTGCTCTTAATGAGCTCAATGAGCCTGAGAACGCATTCAGTTCATCTAGTTTCGTACCTCCCAAGAAGCAAAAGTCAAGGGATTTGGATCGCAAGCTTCAGCGACGACGACGAAATGATAACTAGTAGCATTCTAAATACAAGGAAATAAAACGTAATTGTACCCAACTCAACTTTATCATAATAGATTTAAAAATGTACACTCTTCTTTATTGAATTGCTAGCTTAAGACAATGAATGGTGGTGCCGCGAAACAACTAAATCGGCCGTAGCGGGAATTTGATTAAAGAAGCAACTCGATAAATATTGTGACACGAGTCTGGAAATATGTTAAATTGATTTTGAGGCGGCGATTAAAGCCCTCAACATGAGGATGCGGTGGAAACACTTTCACCAAACCATGTGCTATGTGTAGTGTTTTAACCAGGATTTATATATTGGTGAAAGATCAATACAAGTATTTTTGGGTTTATTTTAAGGTTCGCTTTCCTTTAACAACAACTGGTCGGTTTCTTATGTAGCCCTTGCGACGTTTCGAGTTCTGAAATACAGATTCAATAAATATTAGTATTCTTTACCAATGGTTTTCAACTGTACCTTTCTGGAGATAAAGTTAGCTGGGGGAATCGTTCTCTCCTTGGTTTTCAGAGATGGTCTGTTAAACTCGTGTGGTTTCTTAACCCTATAGATGCGAACAAGCCAGTGTTCTGTTGTGTAGGCCTCCTCCAGGTAGGTCAGGTCAAAGTCCTTATTTCCAATGACGGCATTACGAGTGCGATCGTATCCCGATGGTCCTCTGAAATGTGTACTTAGCAATATTCTTTACCTGAAATTATTTTCTCAGCTTACCTGTAGTCCAATTTCAGTTCCCCGAATCTGTAGTAGCTTAGTTTGTACATAAGGCAGTTAAGTAGAGCCGGAGCACCTTCGGCGTCCACCCTGAATTCACCACGGTCCGTAAAGTAATCGCTTTCCTTAATGTCTTTGGGATGTTCGCCCTCGGCAATTCGGACCATCCAGAGGAATTTGTTGATGTCGTCACCAGAGTAACCAATCACACCGCCAAAGATCACCAGAACGTAGTCCACGTCAAGAGAGGTCATAATTTCATAAGATTTTTCCTCGGTGGAGGACATCGCCTTGCCAACAAGCGCAATGTGACTGTTGTTCCACGTATTGTTGTCCACTAAAGTTGTTCTGTTTGCCATGCCCGCTATCTGGTAACCGTAATCCCACCATGACATGACTCGAGCATCATCGGCTGTGTTTTGTGAAAGCCAGTAGTAAGCCTCCCTGAAGTCGTCCAGAATATTTCGGGATCTGTAAAAGATTATTATTTAAATAAATCAATATAATACAACTTATATGTTTATTTACCCATCTTGACTGTTGTGGAAAGCGAGCACAATGGAGGGGCTGGAGTAGGCATTGCTGGTTACCCAGGTGCAGTGAACAGCAAACATCATCAACAGCATTAGAACGGCCAAAATAACAATACTCTTCAGATTCGAGCTGATGCCAGTGTCCTGCTGGGCATCATGTTTGGTTCGGTGCTTCAGTTTTCCAGCCTGCAAATAGTTGTTTTTAAAACCTCACAATTGACTTCGTATACAAGTTACTCACCTTGTCGTACAGGGTCTTCTTCTCAATGGAATCCTCAGCCTCGTCAATTTCAGTGGCCGTGGTTACGGATGTGCCCATTCGTTTTGACGAATCCTCTTGCAGGAAAACATCCAGCAGACCCGAGAAGGCCACTCCAGCCAGCATGCACACCACAGGCGTCAGTGTTAGCATCAAACGCACCATCACTCCGGCAAAATAGACCGCGCTGATTGCGTAAAGCACTACGAAAACGCGCTCGTCGTTGATCTGCTTGATGCAGTACCACACTCCCACGGGGAATGCGCACACCAGGATGTGCAGATCGAAGAAGAACGAGAACCAGGTTGTCGGCTGATGCTCCGACACCGAGGCGATGATAGGAATGTGAATCTTGGCGTAGCCAGTGTCCCAGAGCGAGTAGAAACGTCCACTCCACGGGGCGACAACGCCCAGCATGGTTAGCACCACGACGGCCACAAAGACGCCAATTCCAACCAGCAATCCGCCGACGATGAACAGCTTGCGGAACTCATGACGCGACAACACGGACTGCAGATGCCGCAAGGTGGCCACGGCCATCAGAAGAACAAAGACTCCCAAGGCAGCCATGTGCTCGCTGGTGCGGATGGGCTGGAATCCCACGAAGGGGATCTGCATGGAGAACAGCAGTCCCAGGATGTAGAAGGTGCTGTAGCTGGTTAGCAGGCGCGGCGAGTAGCGGCCCATGATGAGCAGCACGAAGACGTGAAGCGGGATAAGGTTGATGATGAACACGTAGCCTCCCCATGCTGACACCATGTAGAAGTAGGACAAAGCAGCGGCGGCGGACCAGAAAACGGATCCCGTCTTCACGGAACGCACCCACAGGAAGTAGGTGAACTGCAGTGCGAATATGGCAATGCCTTCATTGTCGTACGATCCGGCCACCGATCTGCTGATGTATCCAGGCACGATAGCGATGAAGCTGGCGGCGAAGAGACCGGCGCCAGCTGACCACAACTCCTTGGTCAGCAGATACGTGGAAATGGAGGTCAGACCGCTGAAGACTGGCGCCAAGAACACGCAGATATCACGAATGTGCACTGGGATGTTGAGTACGTGCAGCAGCCAGTGAATTCCACCCGATGTGATCATCAAGCCGGGGTACACAGTGCCGCCCACAATCCTGCCCAGCGGGTACCAGGCACGCTCGTCAAACCAGTTGAGGAAGTTGTACCAACCATTCTGCACCATGTAGGCGGTAGCCCGGTAGTTGAACCAAGGATCAAACTCATGGATTATCGACTCGAAGCGGATTACGGCAAAGAGGCGAGAAGAAAATCCGGCCAGCCAGGCAATTAGCAGAATGGCGAATGTTATCAGGCTGCTGTAGCCAGCAACCTTGCTGTTCAGCATCTTCGGTGTCCGATTCATGTCCCTATTCCAGCCAGTAACTTAATAATTATAACCGATCTGAAATGCAACGACACATTCTTCGCTTAGACACGTAGTCTAAAAAAAATTGCCGGGTAGACTGCCAACTCGGTCGAAAATGTGTTATCGATAGAGCAATCGAAGAAAAAGACCGGCACAACGGTATCTTTTTGGAATTTTTAGTTTTTGTAAGCTGTAACGTTTTTTTTGGTTAGGTATTTTTTGATACAAATTGGTATGTTTAAAATTGTATAAAAATATATTACCATCTGTTAATTTTTGGGTATTTATAGGTTTTAGTAGATATTTTATAAACTCATTGATAGTTTTGTATTTATTTTGTATAACATATTATTAAAGTTATATAGTATGTATGATATTGACCAACTCCTTTTGATTCTGTTTCAATTCCGAAAGTGTCAATATTCAATAGTCGACAGCCCTCCCATCTCTAGATTGGAACGGAACTACTAAATAAAAAAAAACTAGTTCAGTAAACTAATTCCCGTCTCATGCCACAAGAGTTGTATAAATAAAACAAAACAAAATTGGAAAATAAAATGAATAATGGAAATATTAAACGCCTTCAAAAGAAACTAAGTGTTTCTAAAAAGCCTGCCGTCACAGTGGACTCACCCTTGGCCAAATATCCTTTTCAAATTAAATCATAATCTTTATTATTTACATTTTTAGCCGGTGTTTACAAATCTGCTCGGTTGCCAATTATTTTGAAGTTATTTTCAAATCCTTGATCGCTACGTGTTTTCCTTAACTAAATTATATTATACGTATGACTCCTCAGGAACCTTGACCTGTATAATTTGCAGGATTCCCATAAAGCCCAGCGTTTGGAAGGTGCACATCAACTCCAAGCAACACAAACTGAATGTGGATCAAGCCAAGCAGAACAAGATTGAAAAACCTGTCACTAATTCGGTCCCAAAGGAACCACCGTCCCCATCTTTTAAGGCTCCTCTTGCTGTAAAATCCGACACACAGCCGATAAACACTTTACAGACGAGCCAGGAGAAAAATCGTCCTATCATTCAAGAAAAAAGTCCTCAACCAAATACAAATAACAAACCAGTTAAAGAATCTGTCACCGAACAATTGCCCGAAAAGTTCTTTGACGAGGATAAGACTAACAAAACTGAAGCTGCCCGACTTCAAGACGAAGAATGGCAGCGATTCCAACAGGAGATCAAGAAAGCTGCTACAGAATCTAGTGTTATTGTAGCCGACGAGCAAGAGGACATCAATCTCAAGAGACACATTAAGGAAATAGACGAGCAGATTGATAATTGGAAGAGGTTCATTAAAATAAATGATCAAAAAACTATGCTCCTGAATAAAAAGCGAAAAGTTAACCCGAAAGTGGAAATCGACCCTGAATTAAGTTCAAGCGAAGAAGACTGTAGTGTGGATGATTTGTACGACTGGAGAACGAAGAACTTGCACAGATAAGAGTTATTTTAATTAAAATGTTACTGTTAAAAAACACAAAATTTGATTTTTAATCGAAGGGGAATTATTAATTTCAAAAACCAAACCAAAGGGGTAATCAATTTTTCCTTAAAATGTTGCTAAAGTTATAATGAAGAGTTGAAAAGAAAATGCATGAAAGTGGTTTGAAAACAGCTGACCATCTATTTGACCATGGAGAAAGTCTGCGAATCAACCAGGTAGAAATTTGAATATGTGGCCACACTAGTAAACTCTCGCGTTTTGTATTAAGGTGAAACGATTCGAACGCTACATTACGCTCAAACTTAGTACATATTTTATGTTACACTAATTAGTTACACACTTATTTATTCTTAGGCCGTATTTACAGAATAAAATTGTTATTTCTTTGTTTAAGTTTTGCGATTTGTACGTTTAAGATTCACAAATGTTTTATTGTTGATAAAAATGTTTTGATTTCGTTTGATAATTTGATCAGTTCCCATAAAACAAAAATATCCCGTTGTTACAATGATATCTAATTCGTGAACATGAGTTTCAAATATATATTCTTAGTTTTGATGTTGACGATGAATTATTCCAGCCTTTTGTGCTTGGAATATTCAAATGGTTTTAATGAATCGGCAGTTATAAACACAATTCACACAGGCCAAAGTAAACGAACCAGTAAATTTCTATTTGACACAATTTTTCGCATAAGTTCAGGAGTTTCAAATGCTTTTGGACTTTCGGATACCGATGACGAAGTGGAGTACACAGAAAATTCGAGTCTCAAAAATTGTGATTGTGGTGCGTAAAGTCCAAGTTCTTTTGTATATAAACTGTCTTACCATAAAAAGTCCGGCATGTGATTAAGCCATTTAACATGACCTATTTAATTTCACTTTCACAGACTGTGGCTTCTCCAACGAAGAAATAAGAATTGTTGGAGGGAAACCAACCGGGGTGAACCAGTATCCGTGGATGGCGCGAATCGTTTATGATGGGAAATTTCATTGCGGCGGATCGTTGCTGACCAAGGATTACGTACTCTCAGCGGCTCATTGCGTGAAAAAACTGAGAAAATCCAAAATCAGAATTATCTTTGGAGATCACGACCAGGAAATCACCTCGGAGTCTCATGCCATTCAACGGGCTGTTACAGCCGTAATAAAACACAAAAGCTTTGACCCAGATACATACAACAATGATATTGCGCTGTTGAGACTTCGCAAGCCTATTTCGTTTTCTAAAATCATAAAGCCTATTTGTCTTCCGCGGTACAATTACGATCCGGCAGGTAATAACTTTGAACTTTCACCTAAAAAACAGGATTACATATTCTTTTCATATTCAATATCTATTTGTTATTTTCCAGGTCGAATTGGAACAGTAGTTGGCTGGGGACGCACGTCCGAGGGCGGAGAACTGCCGTCCATTGTTAACCAAGTGAAGGTTCCCATTATGTCCATCACGGAATGCCGTAATCAAAAATACAAAAGTACTCGAATTACCTCATCGATGTTGTGCGCGGGCAGACCGAGCATGGACTCGTGCCAGGGCGATAGTGGAGGACCGCTGTTGTTATCTAATGGAGTTAAGTATTTTATCGTCGGAATCGTTTCCTGGGGCGTCGGATGCGGCCGCGATGGATATCCTGGTGTTTACTCGAGAGTGAGCAAATTCATTCCGTGGATTAAATCTAATTTAGAAAATACATGCCTGTGTTCTTAGTCAATGTTGAAATACTCGAATATATTTATTACCTAGCTAAGTCCGTTTTAATACAAAGTGTCTTTGTTATTCTACCATGCAATCGAAAATAAAAAGTAAAGTTTTATTTAAAAATCTAAAAGTTACTTTGAACTAGCAATTCTGGTCGATAGTTTAAGTACTGCAAGAGCTTCGAATATTTTTGCATCAAGTGCAATCATAAAGCTTTGATAGAGCTCAATTTGCTTTTGACATATACGTTTTTATTGCGTATAAAAACTCAATTATTTATACTACGATATAAATGCTAGTACTAAATTGTCTAATAATACTCTATTATAATACAAATTCTATTACTAAACGTCCCTGTACCTATTACTTATAACCGTATTAGCCCCTTTTAAAACTTCATTTGATATCTTTCCACAGCTTGAATCGTTAGTGGATGGCATACTAAGTGCTGCATGTAGGGGCATTAAAAAATCGGTGTTGGCATTAGAGCCCAGTTGATAGTTCTCCAAAGCCTCGTAAATAGACTTGAAAAGCGGTTGCCTATCTGAGTGGAAGTAGCCACGATTACCGTGGATTACTTTTACACCAGTGAGACTCATATTACAAATGCTCATATACATGCAGTGATCTGGACGGTAGTTGTACTCGCATGGCATGATGTACAGCTTATCAGGATGGTAATAAAATAGTATATTGATTATGTCTTGATCCCCCCAAATAATACGTAGCTTATACTCCTTATGAATAGACAAGATATGTTGCTCCCATTTCATTTCCCTCATCCGCGTGAGATTCATAAGCATAACGCCGGAGTTAACTCCAAGTCGGCCGTAAAACGGATGTCTTGCAAATCGGTTGTACCATCCAATGTTCTCATTCTCGTGTTCCGGCGTCAATGCGGACATTTGTGTCTCATTAAACTTTTTGAAGAAGCGCCAGATGTCGGAGATTGGCGACAGAAACAATATGTCCGTGTCGACGTACAACAATGAGTCCACGTTGGTTAACAGAGACTAGATAAATGAATAATTATCAGTATTTAACAAAAGGCATATGCAAATATTTATTACCGGCAAAAACAAACGTTGAGCTGCACAGGGCTTGAACAAATTTTTCCATTCGACTTCGTTGCCACTAGGGAATTTAAGTGGCAAAATCTCAAAGTCAAATGTAAACGGTTTAATGTCACGCCAGTCTGTCAACTTTTCCCTAAACTCTTCCCCCTTTCCATCCTCGGTGAATATAACAAATTTAAGATACTCTTCGTCATAGTTGAATAGAATGGCCGATTTGATCATAACCAGAGTCTCCTGGACTCTTTGACCGCAGCAGACCACCACGATGTAGAGCGGGGTTTTCGAAGGTTGTCTGCGGAGTAAAAATATGTATTTAGTCGAATTTGTGAAAGTTTAAGTGAATCAGCAAGAAATGGTAAGGCCTATATAAAATAGCCAGACAGTGTGTCACATATACATATGGATATAGATTTAAGCCAAAAAGCAAACAAGCCATATTTGCTTTGCAATAATGCGGTTTTGTTTGGCATCTGGGTAACTATAACAACCGACGTTAGCCAAACACTTATACACACTTTCATTAAATATAAAATTAAACTTTACTTACGCTTCATTATAACTAACAGCTTTTCCTCTATAATCAGTTACCCACGAAGGCTTCTGATGAAAGAAATAGGAAAGTATCGCTAATGCAATTAAGCAAAGCAGACACATATGCAGATGGTGCTGAAAAACAAGACAATTCAGTTATTAACCAAAAAAACATTCCATCGCATTTCGCACAGAACTTTCTTTAATGATTATTATTTATACTTTTATTTACCTTTTTGAGATTATGCACAAACAACATTTTTCCCGCAAATTGTTTCTGTTTTGTGTGGAAGCAGTCGATGCCATAGTTTACACAACAGCGCGTAGGATTTGTACGAAACCCTTTAATTAACCGGTCTAAGCAATTAGTACTACATGGTTATGCGTTTTAGCCATGTGAAAACTAATGGTAAACAATTAATATTTAAACAATGCGCAAAAACAATGAGACTAGCGCACATGAACAGTCGTAAACATTTTTGTGTTAGTCAAGATAACGACGAACCTCGGGGTAAATTTATGAGGTTGAAATTTAAACATAAAGATTTATATTAATTTATATTTTTAAACTCAATACCTAAAAGTAAAGTAAGTTACCTCTAGATTATATTAAATATAAATAATTAAACGTGGAAACATTTTGACACCGTGTTTCTTTTTCATTCGTTTCTTCATCAGCTGTCGATAAGTTATCGGTACTACACGGACCGCGATATGTGTGTTGTTTTCATTTATCTTGAACCGTACACGTGCTGGCAAAAAATAATAACAAATAAAAATGCTGCGAAAACAAGCCAGGCAACGAAGGGAGTACCTGTACAATAAAGCTCTTACTGAGCGCCTGAAGTCCAAGCAGAAAATCCAGGAAACCGTTGTTCAAAGCATTAATGAAAACAAGTCAATTGGCTCCAAAAATGTGAAAAAGAGTTTGACGGCCTACAAAACGCTTAAATATGTTGATGATGGTAAGAATATTTAAAACAAAGAATATTTTAAACATTGAGGAATCAAGATTGTGCAGCCAAGTAAATCCGAGAAAACAAGAAAAGTAAAAAACAGCGGTTTTTCACTCGCTAACTTAAACTCCAAGAGCAATAGACTTGTGGCATTCGTGACTCTTAATTAGCTGGTTGAGTTTTTAATGGCAGTTTAGAGCTAACAAGTTGTAAATACTAATTTTTCATGCGTGCCTGGTTGGCAGACTGCGCAAAAAACATTAAATGTTTATTTTTATTGCAATTTTTATTAGAATTTATCCTCAGAACTTAAATACTAAATATATTCAGTCTATCCAAACAAAACCATAATATTTCTTATATTTATTGCCTTATCATTATTTAAGGTGTCGACGACCGCATTGTTAATGATGAATACACCTACGCAGGGAGCGAGGACCCCAAAATAATGCTGACTACCTCACACAACCCCTCGTCCAGATTGAAGATGTTTATGAAGGAGCTTAGGCTTATATTCCCAAACGCTCAGCAGATGAACAGAGGCAACTACCAGCTGGCTACATTAATGCATGCCTGTCGTGCAAATAATGTAACCGATTTCCTAATTGTGCACGAGCATCGTGGTATCCCGGACAGCCTTGTGGTTTGTCATCTTCCCTACGGGCCAACTGCCTTCTTCAACATATCCGATGTTGTTATGCGTCATGATATTCCCGATATTGGACACATGAGCGAGCAGAAGCCGCACTTAATTTTTAATAATTTTAAGACGCCCATTGGTTTAAGAACTGTAAAGATACTTAAACACTTGTTCCCAGTGCCGAAGGAAAACTCCCAAAGGGTAATGTCCTTCCTAAACCACAATGACTCGATTATATTCAGGCATCATCAGTACAAATATGTGAACAAGGAATTGGAGCTCAGCGAAGTGGGGCCAAGATTCGCTCTGAAGTTGTATCAAATTAAACTTGGAACCCTGGAGAATATTAAGGCAGCTGACACCGAATGGATTAACCGCCCATATATGAACACGTCGCAGAAAAGGCTTATTTTCTCTAACGATCCCGGAATAATAAATAAGGACTCGGAGGCTTAGTAATCTTTTTTAAGATCACTTTTAAGATCACTATAACATCAAAAAGTTGAAGAAAAATAAACACGTATTTTTAAAAACAATAGTTAACAGCCTTTTACTTCCATTTTTAAAAATGTTTAAAAGCGTAATTCTGTCTACTTTAGCAATTCCACTTTACAAAATCTCCGATTCTCACACAAAAAAGGTTTTCTGAATTTTGATTACATATACTGCTCATATATATGCCGAAATATTAAGGTATCAAAAATTTTATGGTAGAGTTGTTTGCGATATGAATTTTCAACTAAAAATAAAAATACATGCTCTCATCCAATATTTTTTTCTTTTGCATGATACTGATAGTAAAAAATCTTAACAAATATAGTTTTTCTTCAAGTCGCAATTATATACACTCGGCTTAAATATATTTTGTGAATAATTCAATTTTTAAAACCATTTTCTGGTCTTCCTTGTTAATGATTATTAACTTATGAGTCCCTTTTTTAATTTAGGGACATGTCGGCAAAGCAAGTTTTAGTCGAATGTAGTTACGAATTGCTAATATTAAAGCCCTAACTTTTTTTTTGCACAATTTATTAAAAACAGAAAGAACCAATTGGCGAAACAATAAATTTGGCGTCGCATTGTTAGCGGCGAAGACAAAGGTTTTCAAGAATTGAATCGGGTCTGCATCCGCCGTTCCGTATCAGTTAGTTAGATCAAAGGTTAACACGATCTAATAAGGTGTAAAACACCTGACAACATCAACCATATAATTAAATGTGTTTATACTAATTCTGTCTATCATTTAACAGCTGTCTGATGTTAATGATGGAACGCATTCTCCTAAATAGCCTGCCTGCACAGGCTGTTAGACCTGGCAGCCTATTACTGGTAATGGGTAATGCCGATGATCAGCAGGCCGGAGAGCATGGAAAGTCGCTCACTAATATACGATTTCGCTCCGTTTGGACCACATACAACTTGATCCCATGAAACAATAAAGGGGATGAGCACTCGGACACACGGACCTACGGACCCACGGACCAGCGGACGTGGACGTGATAGTGGTCGTACCTACCTATATATCCATGTGATCCATCCACATGTGAGAAAACGAGAATTCGTGTGTGCCTTTTTACCTTTTTACCGATCGCCCTTTTCTAACACCTTTTCTGTGGTTCGATCTTAAACACAGGCGTGCCGCTGCGTTGTCGGCGAGTAAAAAGTGAACAAATGAGTGCCGGTCGATTATTTAAAGCCAATATCTCTAATTACGGTTCTGACACATAGCACAGCAGTTTCCTTTTTAATTTATGGGTTTCATTTAATGTAAACTACTTCTTAAGCCATTGTTCCGCTTTGTTGGACAGGTGGTGCATTAGCGGCCTAACATCGGATATTTAATAAAATATACTCCAGCATTCCGCGTTATAAAAATATGGTCAATAAATAAGTAAACAGAAGTATTTGAGCGGCCTCGTTTGAAGCCATTCTTGAATATAACAAATAAAATGGGATTACCAAATTGTGTTTGTTAAAAAGCATCAAGCCCTCTTCCTCTAATTGTGTTTATAATAAAATGAAAAAAAGTTTTGGCAAACATGATTTGACGTTATGTTGCAATTTATTATAAAATAAACCAAGATAATCTTATTCCCAACATTAATCTTAAAGAACACATTGGTGTTAGATCTTGGTGGGTGATTCCAAATATTGAACAACAAATTAATTCTAAATCTCTATTAGTCACGGAAAAATTAGTAATGAACTTATACAAAAATCGATTCGCTCCATCCATCAATAATAACAACAAAGCTTTAAGTTTCGAAATTATAATTGTTTTTCTTCGATTTTTGGACTAATGATTGTATTTCTTTTAACATTGTTTGATATTAATAATCATTTGCCAATTTTGTACTCTTAATTGCTTAAAGATGGAGAAGGCCCACCTAAGCGCTCGAAATGTGCATACGAGCTATTGATTGATTTTAATGATAGTCTTTGCGAGAGTAAAACGAGATTTTCAATAAATCTGAAATAAAACGGTTGGGAGTCTATTAAGAAAAACGCGCTGCAGCTGCAAAAAGTTATCAAGCATTTTTGTCAGCAATGCGAAAAATAGATTTTTAATTTGGGTCGGGGCATGTTTTGCTTTTACGGATTTTATGTTTATTTTCGTTGGTATCCGTTTCGGTGCTGTTCAACATTAAATGGATGAATGTAACAACTGTTAACCGTACACCGAAGCAAATTGAGTTAAAGCGTAACTTTCTGTTTGTCGGATGTCCTGATTATTACGCATTTACAAGGCAAATGTCAAACCTACTGGGTGGGTACCCAAACACAGGCAACAACAACCACAGGCCGAGTATGAAAAGATTTATGGTTGCGGGTTAAATACCTTGACCATCCCTCTGTTAACAAAATTCTTATAAGGCCTTGTAATTGTTTGGCGTGAAATTTGTTGTGATTGTATCTGTTTGTGTGTACGCAGCCCGTTTGATTGAGCAAACCTCGGCGGCTATAATTTTATTAAAATATGGTTCTGGGTAGAATGTAAATTTATGTTCAGCATTTGTCACGCTAGCGCATTTTGAATGCCTATTCATGTTCCTGTAAATGGATTTTAAATAATTTTAAATAAGATTCACGGTAAAATTAAATGGAATGGACTGAAAAGATGTTTGTTCCCATGCAAACACCACCAGGATAAATTGCAAACATTAAACTTGTAAATAACGCATGTCCATCACGAAAATGTAGAGAATAACCTTTTTATAAGATGGCATAAAGTAGATTTATAAAGTGCTAAATAATGATTTTAAGATGCTATCTAAATACTTTTTCTAAATTTAATCAACAAAAAAGTAAACCGAGGATAAATCTTAAATTTGCCACAAGGGAAACCATTTTGGAATTGAGATATTTAAAGAAAAAGTGGACAATTAATATCCCAAACATTACAAGTCTGTAGTCTTATAAATATTAATCTGTTGGGCAGTTTAAATAAGAGAATGGATTATTAATACGTAGGTTTACTCTGTCTGTATAATCGTTAGAATCTTAATTTGCAATTATCTTAAGATACATAAATACATTTTTTATTTTTACGAGCTTGAATAATGTTTTTCTTCCTACGTGATTGTAAAATTGTTAATAGATTTTATGGTGAAGTTCCAATATTTTTACAAGAAATGTTAATGTTAAATATTTACACTAGCCTCCAAATGGTTGCTAAAGCTCATAACAAATAAGTGTTTATTGTTTTAGTCGCTAGGGTTGAAATAATGTTCGATAGGAACACAAAATTGCAATGGAGGACACTCCATTACTATAAAAAAGTATGGCCGCGCGGGCTCAATTAATGTCACACTCGCATAAGCAATAAACAAAAAGCTGGTTCGAGTGAAATAATAAACCCATTAAGTAGAAAATTGCTTACGATATGTACATTTGTAATTATATAAATTATGCAAAGTACATATTTATATGTAATCTGGCTGTGAAATCGACCGACAACTAGCGGTAATTTTATTATTCATGGCATGCAATTTAACGGGCTGATTGAATTTTTGTAGATATTTAAAACTCGTTAATGGTTAATCAGAAGTGCTACCGGAGCCATATTCATATGTCCACTTAGATTAAAATATACAATTTTATTACAATGCGCAGATGGCTCCGCCCCGACAAATGTATTTCAGCAATGGCCAATCCCGTCCTAGGTTTTTTTCCTATAGACAAACAAGGGAGCGAGAAGCGAGATACCGTCGTAGTGCCATCTCGCTTTGGTGGAACTGCCTGCCGACTATCCAACGACTCTCACTCCATCCGATGTGCCGTGCCATGCCATGCAATACCATGCCATACCACACCATACCGTACATATCCCATATCCCATATCCATTCTCTCTCTCTTCGGGCCAAGTTTTTGCCGCCCTTCGAGTGCTCAGCCGCAGTGGCAGCACATCGCTGTTAACCTTCACACGCCGAGCACCTAATTATCGCTATGAACGGCACAATTATGGCCAAATGCGATTGTTATTTATAAACAGATAAATAAGTTCCTAATTTACAGCGCTATCCGTTGCGGGGAATTTTTCTATAATTTAATATAGCATTTACCCAATTTAGTTGTTTGTTTGAACTTACTTTCTGGGATCTAAGCAAATTATCAACATATTTATAGATAGAAAGATATAGATAGATTTTAGAAATTTTAAAGTTTTTGTAAAAATTAATTACTTATATGTTTAAAATTCCATTACTATTCCTTTACACCTTTCAATTTACATTAAATGAAATACAATTTTTGTAAAATAATAATTAATTTTAAAATTCAAATTTAAAAGGAGGGAAAACCCAAGAACCCTTGAAGTGATTAAAATTCAATTATACCCCTTAGCACATCAGTGCTACTGCTTAACCACTCATTTGCCTTCGTGTTACCCAGATTTCATTAATTCACACTTGGAAATAGGAAGAATGCAGACTCATTAATAGCTAATGCGATTTAATACACCCATCCAGCGGGTTGCGATTTGCTGCTCTATCAGGCGCACCATTATAGACAATTATCCATCCTAGTGTTAAATCGACTCTCGGACGCGAAATCGCGCTGCAGCCCATACAGAAAGAAAAAGCTGAAGCCGAAGCCGAAGTCAAAGCCAACAGCAAAGCCAGACCCAAAACACAGGCCCAAACCCACACGTTCGCCGAATGCGGTGGCAATGTGCTTTGGCTTTTACGTTCTGTGGAATCATGGCCGAGTCCCAAGCAGGCAAATTAACTAACAAGATTATGAAAACGTAAAATCAGTAAATCGGTAAAGTGGTTGTAATTTTCTTTTTCAACACCTCTCTCGCATTGGGCCGTTAGCCAGAGTCGAGCCGCGGCCAAGTCCCGGCCATGGCCAGAACCAGCTGCCGGGGCGGCTGCTCTTTTGTCCGGGCAACGGCAACGGCAACAGCAAAGGCAAAGCTAAATAAAACCGACGAGATACTCCCCTCATGCACTCAAAAAAAAATCCAGTGGGTTGATTTTAACAAAGTTTGCGGAAAGAAATCTCCTCTTGTATGACTAGTAAAGCTTACCAAGTTATTTTAATAAGAAGGAAACAATTAAATTTAATTAAATTGAAATGAAACATTGAAATCCTTTTATTTATGATTATAATAACATAGAGTATATGTATATGGGAATTCAGCGGAGTAACTTTTTCATTTTTAGACTTAAAAACTTAAATTAAGGATTTGAATTTTTTGAAAGTCGGTAAACAACAACTTGTCATATGTAGAATATGGGGTTCTGTATTATAGATTCAAACTATGTATATAAATAAAAAAATGTTTTTATTTTTATTTTTATAAAAATAAATAGTTCTACTTAAAAGCAAAAGCTCAGTGGGTTGTATATGAAATAGGGCATATAGGGAAAGTTACCACTGTTCTAGTGTTAAAACCACAAATACATTTTGATTGGGGGTACATTTCTACGAGTGTAGCCGCCGCAACCACCGGCGGGGCATTAGCTCTTCGTCTTCGCCTTCGCTGGAGGAGCTGGAGGTGGAGATGGAGATGGAGGAACTGGAGCTGGAGCTGGAGCTGTAGATGGAGCGGCGCAGAGCGAGTGCGGTCTGGTCAGACTGGTTTATTCGTTTAGTAAATCTCAGACTCTTTGCTTTGGCTCTCCTCGCCGCTTTGAAGTTTCGCCGTGGCGGAGGGATGATGCATGTTCGCATCGCGGTGATTGGGAGAGAGCACGGGGGCAATGATGTGAGTGATTATATTTTGATTGCATTGCTCACTGTGGTTGGTTGTACGGCTGTTTGGGTGTACGATGTATGGACTCCTATGGGTTGAATGGGGGGAGGGAAGGGAGAGAAGAGGAGGGAGAGGGAGAGGGAGAGGGAGAGCGGGAGAGAGGGTTGGGTTGGTGTTGGGGTTGCGACTGAGGTTGCGATTCGGATTGGGATCGGGATGGGAGAGGACTTGTCGGGCGGGAGTCCGGGCATTGCTCACTTAGTACAATAACCGGCACGTCGTCTGCCAGTCTGCTGAAACAGTAATTTTTTGTGTGCCGTGTTCTTCGTTTGTTGTCGTTTGTTTTGTTCCCGCTCTATCGCTATCTTCGCCCCAAAGTTCGCTCCTCGGTTGCCGCCGTTGCCGTCGCAGTCGCAGTCACTCACTCACTCGACTCGATTCGATTCCTACTCGTACTCGTACTCATACTCGTACTCATACTCGTACTCGTACTGGTAGTCGTACTCACAGCTCACAGCTCACAGGCAGGCGGCTTTGGATGGTAATTTGGCGAGGGGAAAACCTCACCTCGGAGTGAGAGTGCTTTTCCATCCAGGCCAGTTAGCCAGGCTAACTAAAGCCAGTGTCGTCGCCGGAGCTTATAACGAGCGTAGTTCTTGCGCAGAGTTTATTGCCGACAGTTGGCGCGATCTTGTTTGCCGTCGCTTCGCTATCTCGGCCAAATCGTCATGTCGTATCGCCACCGCTGGCCCAAAGGGTGTTCGACTGCAGTAGTTCCTCCTGTTCCAGCGACGGCATACGGAACGCTTCCCAAATACTCCTCCGCATGCAGGAAACTCCTATAGGATACAGTTCCACTTACACACCTTAAAAGAAATATAAATATTATTACGTGCTTAAAAATAAATAGAGTGAAAATTTTAAGAAGAGACCCCCAACAAATATGTAACACTGTGATGTGTTAGAAAAGCGAACATTTCGTAATAATGCCCCGGCCCTCGCGAGAATCCTACGGCGAACAGAAGCCCCCGTACTCGTACATTTCGCTGACGGCCATGGCCATCTGGAGTTCGCCGGAGAAGATGCTGCCGCTGAGCGACATCTACAAGTTCATCACGGACCGCTTTCCGTACTACCGCAAGAACACCCAGCGCTGGCAGAATTCGCTGAGGCACAACCTCAGCTTCAACGACTGCTTCATCAAGGTTCCCCGTCGGCCGGACAGACCGGGAAAAGGAGCCTACTGGGCCCTCCATCCGCAGGCCTTCGATATGTTCGAGAACGGCAGCCTGCTCCGGCGGAGAAAGCGCTTCAAGCTGCACAAGAACGACAAGGATCTGCTGAACGAGGAACTCACTGCCCTGGCGAATCTGAACAGGTTCTTCTTCACCACGCGGAACGGAGGCAGTGCATCGCACATGGCGCCGCTGGAGATGAACGGCGGCGCGATGCGATTGGATCCGCTTCCAAGGACCACGAACCACATGCCCAACTCCCTTGGCCAAGGAGTGCCGCTCCCGCACGCGATACCCAGCTCCATGTCCAGTGCGGAGCACACGAACCTCTCGGACATCGGCCTGTCCAACCTGCCCGCGCTAACCAGCTCCGACATCGAAGGTCCACTGAGCCTGCGACCCAAGCGATCCTTCACGATAGAGAGCCTGATCACGCCGGACAAGCCGGAGCATCACTCCGAGGACGAGGACGACGAGGACGACCGCGTGGACATCGATGTGGTGGAGTGCAGCGGCATCACCCGCTACCCCACGACGCCCGTCTCCGAGGAGTATCTGCCCGCCGGTCGTTCCGTCCGGACGGAGGATCCCCTGCCGCCGATGCACACGATAAACCCCGGCGCGCACGTGCCCTTCCTCCATTACGCGACGGGTGCCAATGTGGCGGGACTCCCGCCCGCGGGGATACCCAGCAGCCCCACCACCTACGAGCTGGCCATCTCGCATCCGCTCTTCATGATGGCGGCGCCCATTGCCAACATGCACAACATCTACTACAATAACGTGACCCTCGTCGCCCCGGCGCAGCAATATCGGACTCCCGAGGTCCAGAATAGAATAGACAACGACATGCGTACGATATAACATAGATAAGTCGCGGAACAGGAAGACAGGACAGGACACCTATGTAAAGCATTATTTACGATCGGTATATGTACGTGTACACCTATGTATATCCATCCAAACGTAGTTCCTTTCGCATTAAGGTTAATTGTAATAGGACCAAAACATATGGTATACTTTCTTAGGCGTAGAGGCATGTAAATAAAGGCTTGTTATACGAATTTGAATAGCTTGTATTGCATACCCGTACTAGTAAATTATTTATTTTATTTGTATCAAACCTAGTGCATAAATCGATCATTTTGTGAAGAATATAAACATTTAAATAACTGACTAAAAGTGTTTTTAAATCTGCAATCCTGGTAGCCGTGTACATAGAAAGCGTAAGAAAGTTTTAGTGATATTTTTCGATATATATACAAGCAATTATATAGTGATCGAACTATTATAATTGCCATCTTCACTCATTTAAAAGTTTTCAAAAATAATAGATCATTTTTATAACATGGTAACTAATGAAATTGTTCCCACAAGACCTTAAGGATTAAAAATAAGATTTTACAATTTTTAAAACATCTTTTAGTAACATTAAGAAATGATATCATGATGGAACGATTATAATTGCCATGTTCAGTGATCTAAAACATTAAAAAAAATACAATTTTTAAAACTTGGTAACAACTGTAATCTTTAGGATTAAAACTACGATTTTACAATTTTGTAAACATTATTCAGGAATGCAATATATCGTTTTGAAGCCTTTTTTATAATCGTTTAACCAAATTATCTTTTTTAAAGGAGTTATCTTGTGATATATTACCTCTCGTTATTTCAACTTTTACAAAAAAATCTTAATTCAAATTATTCAACTTAAGGAACCACCTGAGTAAAAGTATATTCTTTCTTTTAAGGCCAGTCCTTCATGGTTTTTATTTTCAAATATATATGAAGGGGTAGGAAATCTTTTACCGATGGTATTAGCTGATATTAGGTGATATAAAACGTGGAAAGGAATTTGTTTCCCTCTGATAAACTGAATTTAGTTCCCTCTGATAAACTGTAGGAACTATCGAAACTCCCTAATTTTGTAAAAATACTACTAATGAGGCAGTTTCCGTCTTGTAAATTATTGTTCGAAACGCCTGGGTCCTTTCTTTTAGTGGCAATAAACACATGTCTGTATTTAACAAGCAAGATGCGTGAAATTTAAAACACTTTCAGGTTATTAGCATAAAGGGAGCAATAATTACAAGGAGAGCAGAAAAAAAGGTTTAATGAATACAACAGCTGAGTTGTTTTTCCATAAATACCGACATATACTTAAACGGTCGAAGTTGTTTAATATTTCCTTGACTCCTTTTTGGCGATCCTTTTAATCGTTTATAGATTTCATCATTTATTGAGGCATACATTCTTTATTTTATTGAGATCTCGACACGGAGAAGTAGAGCAATCGGTTAAGATTATAGATTCTGTAAACATAAAAATAAATTTGGGCAGGCATAAAATTTGAGAAAAAGCTGAGGTTTTCACGCTTCTTCCGGCTGAAATTGGTACACCCATCCTAAACTAATTGTCTTAAACTGTTTAACTTAACAATATACTTTGAGCATTTTTTTTTCAAGCAGACATCAGAAGTAAAAGTATAAAAAGCGATAAACTTAGGAATTAAGCAATTAAAGTGGGATTACCATGCGTGCGCACAGTAACTATTAGAATATGAAATCTATTCAAAAAGTAATAACATTTTTCTAAATTGGTATGCCCTCCATCGTTTTCAGGTAAGTAACTAAGCAATGAAAGTAATCAGATTTAAAAAACAAAAAATAATAAAACGAAATGTTTACTTCCAACAAAAATAAAGGCATTGGCCTAAAAAAAAAATAGGGTCTGACGCGTCGCACCTTTTTAAAGTGGTTAAGAGCATGTCATCTGTGCATCCTTTCACTCGTTTAGTTCATATATCATTTTCCATTAAAAACTTCATAGTGGTACCGTCGGAAAATACAAACCAGCGGTTTTACCCGCTTTAATTATATTTGCTTAAGTCAAATTAGTGGAAACGAAATATTAGCGGCAACTTAAAAGGTTCACTCAAATCATTACTTTCAACTCCAGCTGGGAGAAGAATTATGCTGTAATAATTAGTTACAAACAAAACAATGTGATTCAATGTTATAAATGGCTTCTTGGCTCTGTCATTATTGTTTACCTAAATATTTACCGTGAAATTAAAAATATTTGAACGTTCAGAATAAATAGTCATTATTAGCCATTGAATCATATTTCATTTTGAGGTAATCGATGGAAAGTTATTTTGTGTCATGTGTTTAAAATTGTTTTGACCAAGTATATTGTTGATATCTTAGAGATCATGTAATCTCATTCTCTAAATATGTGGATAAATAGTTGAATTTAAGGTTTGTATCTATTTTTTTAAACATTTTGTATGACACAACTTCGTATGTCGGAGCCCATTGTTTTTTTAACAGAAGTCCGATTTCGGATAAGCATACCTTTAAAAGCTTGTGGATTAATCCTCTAAAAAACTGCATCAAAATTTTAGATTTGCGTTGTGAGTCGATTTTTAGTTATTTTTATGATACAACCCATGTCAAATATCGGAAAAGTTACTTTGCAGAAAAATTACATAAAATCGGTATGTCGGATCCCATAACTTTTACAAATTACGTCGGATTTTGAAGTCATATGCCTATAAAGCTTGTAATTTGATTCTCTAAACAACTGCATGCAAGTAAAAAAAATACATTATTTTTTATTTTTTCGACATTTTTATGATGTTACCCCTGTCAAATATTGTTAAAATGGTATTACGTGAAAATGGCCTAAAATCAGAACTTTTTAGCCCATAACTTCTCCAAATCTAGTCCGATTTTGAAGTGGTACCCCTCTAAAAGCTTGTAATTTGATTCTCTAAAAAACTGCATTCAAGTTAAAAAAATTTGGTTCTCTAAACAACTGCATTCAAGTTAAAAGATTTATTTTTTTTAGATTTTTTCGATATTTTATGATATAAAAATGAATTTGTTTAAAAACTACCTTAAATCAAGCCCATAACATTTCTAAACATGAAAACAGTTCGTCTGAGCCCATCACTTTTCTAATAAAAGTAAGATTGCGAAGTGGAATACCTCTAAGACCGTAAGGATTATTTTTCTAAAACCTGCATCTAAATTTAAGACTTCAATTTTCCTTTAATTTTTTTTTTCTTATAAACTTTTTCTCCACCAAAAAGTTTTTTTTTAATTGTTTTTCAAGCAAAACACAGATCCAACTCAAAAATCTGCATCGAAGAAGTACCCATAAACTTATTTACTTCTTACCAAAGCTAACATTTCTTTCCTTAGATTATATTTACACTAGCCACCGATTTGGTGTCGGCTGTTTATTTTATAGCGAAGCAAATATTCATAATCCTTTGTTGTTAGGGCCTAAGCCAGACTCATTTGCATAATTGCTCTGGCACCTTGGAGAAGTTTTAAAACCAGCTTTGAGGGATCAGAGCCGAGAACAAAATTACAGGTACGATGAAGGGTCTGTGTTGAAATCATAAAATTCGATACACTTAATTTTCTCCGAGAACGACTTTCGTACATATACATACTTACGAAGTTAATGTACACACCTATACTACGCTTAAAGGCCTTAACTTGTTTTCAAAAAAATGCCTGATAAGTGGATGTGACTTGGAGTGTATCCAAAATATTTTTAAAAGGGAATTAGCTGTGCATCATTAAATGTTTAATTCTAAATAAAATTCATTTCGGTGCACACAATAAAACAAAGGCTTTATGATCAACCATTAAATATTTGCCTTGGGATCCAGTCACCTGATTTGAAATATTGAAAACTAGTAAAGGATCGCCTCGAGGATAATTCTCGGTGGACCACAAGCTTTCCAGAGTGGAAATGGCTTCCGATGGCGATTGCAGTCAGTTGGTGAAAACTGACATACCCCACGCGAGGGTATAAAAAGGTATGCTGGCTTAGACAGTGGCTTTAAATTATCGCCACGGGTGTTCTCGCAGTCGGCTCTCCGAACAGTCGGAAGCCTTTATAGAAATCCATTAACAAAACCATCATGTTTTTTGTTATTGCCGGCACCATCAAAGGGGAATTTCAAAGGTTGTGGATACTTAGAGTGATCGGAACGAATAGTAATCGGTACTTTGTCACGAGCCCATCTGTATTTCGGCCGATTCGAATTAGTGTTGTTACGTGTGTTTTTGTGTGCTCAAGATACTTAATGATATTTGTATCAGTTAAGCGGATATTAATTTGTATCTGTAAATAAAGGGGTGAAGGCATAATTATGAAAAAGCGCATCGACTACAAAAGAAACGATTGTTTGGAATGCCAAAGGCTATGGACTTTCATAAAAGGTAAAAAAAAACTTATTAGTTTGTAGAATGTAAAAGATTACTTTACTTTGCTTCAGTTTGGTAATACTTTCTTGTGCTTTTCAAAACCCCAAACAAAGTCATATTGTTAACCAATATATAATTTATTGGAACTAATTTTGATGTTATTAAAAGGTAGAAGTACTTATTGGTTTGTAGAATGTAAGCTTTAGTTTGGTAATACTTTTCTGTGCCTGGTAGAAACCCAAACAAAGTCATATATTTAACCAATATATAACTTATTAGAACTAATTCTGATTTCATTAAAAGGTAAAAATACTTATTAGTTTGTAGAATGTAAACGAATTAAGCTTTAGTTTGGTATTACTTTCATGTACCTTTCAGAACCCCAAACAAAGTCATTTGGTTAACCAATATATAACTTATTAGAACTAATTCTGATTTCATTAAACTCACACACAAATACGGCAAAGTCATCCCAGCAAAAAAGGGGCACGAACTCATAAACAGTAATGATACAATAAATCAACACGGAGCGTAAAACATCACTTCCTAAAAGGATCGTCATGGTGTAGTAGGCCAACATTAACAAAATGACTGCGGTGTTTACGATAAGGGATGCTGAATGCCGAATGCCTTCCGATGGGGATGCCGCCGTCGCCTTTCCCGGGAATCTTGTGCCCACAAAGAGGCCAGAATGGGTTTATGGCACCCACTTGCCGTGGAGAGCTAATGAGCCGCAAGGGCACTTGAGCAATTGGCCATCGCCATTGTAGTTATTACCGCAAGTGTCACGTGTCCACTTGATTGGGGCAATTTGGCTGTGGCATTATTTGCTATTTTTAACAAAGAGTTACAAACAGCAGGCGTATTTGTACGGGTTTGAATTATTATGCAATAAAATGTTTTGCACGAATCAGGCGTTTCATGGCGACTTTTCGACGGCTACGCTTAATAAAACAATTCCGGAATATAAATTTAAAATTGAGGTGGGTAGGCCGAGCTGTAAAGTGTGCAAGATGCCCGAGTGGAAAATGTGTTTTAACTAGCTAACTGATGGCACGGTTAACAAAGTTTACAATTTCCTAATTTTCCTCGAGACTCCCCGATGCGGCATGATGAAAATGCATAAAGTAGGCTTTATCTGACTTTATTAGAGCAGTCCTAAACCTGCCTGGATGGCTGACTGGCTGGCTGGCCGCTTTGATCGTCTGAAATTCCCATGCGATCGATCTGGCCGACAGTTAAGGCCGTGGTGCAGGCATATGTTGAAGTATCTTGCCCCTGCGGCACCGACTTATCCGTCAGTGGAGCAGCGCACACGAGTTGAGTGGGCAAAGCATCGGCTAAGTAGCTTCAACACCGAAAACTAGTTTCACACACAGACTAGTTTGCACTCGAGCAGTCCGAGCAGCTCGGGTGTTGATGCTGATTAACCATATTTATACTTAAAAAATTGAAAAGGGTTTTTAAGTGCCTCGCCGCGGCGAGTCTTGACCAATTTGGAGATACCCTCTAGTGATTACACGATATTGGAATAGGCGAATAATTGCCGATGGTCCTTAGATGGTCGGTTGGCCGGTTTGCCAGTTGGCCAGTTGGCAGATCGATTTAAGCCTAAGCCTCGATGACAGCACTTTCCCCGCAACTGGTTCGGTTCTGTTCAAACATTCCCATATTATAGGGGGCTATTATGAAATTATTCTAACTAATCCGCAAAAGGTGCCAGGAAGCGGCCGAAAGCAAATGGTTCTAACAGCTTACTTTGTATTTAGGCACGAACTGTGCGAAAAGCACCAACCTACCATCGCACCATCACCATCTGAAGGTATTTCTTGATCGACCGACCAACCGACCGACCGGCGGACTAACCAACCGACCAACCGACCGGCCCAAAAAGACCGACCGACCGAAAGATGGAACGGACCGGCAGGGGCAGAATACCGCACCGCCACTCTGTCTCGCAAGTCAAAAGCGGCATTTTTAAATTGGTAGTCAGATCTCAGTTTCTCGGTTCGTAGAAAGGAGCTCGGGCCCGGGCCATTATGGCTTCCATCGAAGTGATTTTTACTGTGGCTGCTTGTGCGCGGCCTGTTTGTTAGCCTGATGTCTGAGCACACCTCTTATTATACTTACCACACCACCACCAGCACCACCAACAACACCACCACCACCACGCACACCTTTGCGAATTATAAACGTCTGTGTGCCGGCAACTAGCGGCTGTTCAAATTGCAAAATATACAATGCGTTCCTCCTCCTTCGACGTGGTCGTCCTCATCCTCATACCCATCCCCATCCTCATCCCCATCCTCGCCAGCCAGCCAGCATACACACACGCAACTGGGCGAAACACCAGCGAGTTTAATTTGATTTCGATTCAGCGCTTCGGCGGCGGAGGCAGCAGGAATCGGGATCGGGGATCGGGGATCGGGATGGGAATCGGGATCGGGGGAATCTCTGGCCTGCCAGGCGGCCTGATCATTTACCCACGTCCATCCCAGATCCACAGATCCGAGCATCCCAAGCATCCCGGCCCTGCTGTCATGAACGGGGTTATGATTTAAGCTCGCTGCGATGGGTGTTGTGTGAATGATATAAGCAAGGCGAAAGAGCTGACGATGTTCATTCTCACCTCGTCGACACTAACGATTGAGCCGACCGATGCCCATTTAATAGGGGCAGTAGGAAATGCGCCTCTGGGCTGCTGAACTCCTCGGATGCTTCACTACTCGGTTGCATGGCTACTCGGCTGCTAGGTGCACTATCCACGGCATCTTCACTCGGCGGTTTTTCTTCACCTTACTTTGCCTGGGAATAAGAACAGCATGTAATATCATCACTGGGTTGCACTGGGTTGTATTCACATTTTTATTAAAGGTCATTGAGCAAAAAAGATTTGTAATAATAATTCCAAATCATATCAGTTCTCCAAGTATACAGCCCATGGCTTAGGTTTTTTTCCATCTTAATTAGAACAATAATAATATAATCGACACCTGCTTATATGACCTTTTTTACAAACGGAATACTCAAGAAAACAGATCTAGAAAGAATGTCTAATTGATCTGAAGAAAAATATGAGAATATACCACTCATTAAAAAAATTCTGTCCAAGAAAAAATGTTTTTATAATGTCCTCAAAAGGGGTTTCCGCATCTTAATTTATATTTTTTGGATTAAAAAGTAAACCTTACGTTTGAGTTATTGCAAAAAAAGGTGAATAAATTTAATGTTACTTTTCTAGCCTATCAAAGTGCCACTAAAAATCTTACCAATAAAATGAATTGGCCGCAATAAAAATCACAACACTGCATAGCAGCAAAATTCCAACAGGGCAGGGATTCTTTAGCTTTCCTATATTGCAGGTAGAAGCATGAGCACTGCACTTAAGCTTTGTCGGAAAGATTCATACGGACATACCTATATGGCGGCATACAAGCATACATCCTCGGGGTAAACACAACTCAACTCCTCAAATTAGTGTGTTAGCCTTCAATAAATTGGCGGCCTGTTGTGTTCAAACATTTATTTCTTACGAGTATAAAGCAATACAAAGCAGACAAAATCCCAACACATAGGAAAAATAAATACTGACGGTTATTATCCCGACACCAACAGAGATCTTGTCTTCGCTTCGGACCTTTTCGGGACGTACAGTGCTCTAAATCGATATGATATTGCTAAATATGTTATTTGGCCGCCGAAACATTTGGTGGGAATTAAACGCTCTTACTTACTACCATTTTGTGTATATGTACATATATCGTTTCGAGTGCTAAATCCTATTATACTCGACACTCTCGACGCTCTACGATGCCCCTTTTGATCTTCGGCAGCGCTAATCTTCATTAACAAGGCGAGCAGACGTAAAACGGAAATAACTAAATTGATTTAGTTTATGGGTCGAGCAGCTTTCATCTTAGCGCTGCGAATTTCGGTGTGCTAAAAAAGAGTCGACAGGAAAAGAGGAGAAAAACTTATCGATTGGTGATTACTGAGTAGTTGTTTTGACTGAAAGGTTTTACACACACAACGATTTCAACAGCTTTGCGTTAATGGTGGCAGAGCCAATTTTTTCTCTCGGCTTTTACAGCCGATCTTGGCCATCTGTCGGCTGAAAGTTGGCATCTTTGACACTAAAAAGACCGCAAAGATCGTGTTTATTTTAAGTTTTTACCATTGCTTCGTAATGAAGATCAATAAAATGTCATTACATATCATTACCATTTCAAAAATGGATTTTTTTAATGAAAATTTTGTTAAATGTATGTTCAAGTTTAGCACTTCCTATTAGGGCCGAGTTTTCATTTCCCGAAGGCAAATTTTGAATGAAAGTTTTGGTACGCCTTTCCTTTCTCGAATTGCCGTAACCTCGTTGATTTTATTACTTTGGCGAGCCCTTTAATTACAATTTGGTTTTAATTACTAAACTGGTTTAGTTTAATTAAATCTAAATTTGGCTTCCGGATTTTTAAGTCTATATAAGTTTTAAATAAAATGTATAATTCCTTAAGAAAGTTATGAGTTGTTAAACGCCTCCTCCTCCTTTTTGTCTTCGTTAAAGTCTGACGGCATTATTGCTGATAATTATATTCTCCTTTTTTTTTGATAAAACTTTTTTTAATAAATATGTGACGCACAAATTAAAAAAATATTATAAAAATAGGCAAATTAAAAGTTTAAATAAATAAGTAATAAGTAAACGTAAATCGCCCTGTTTATATGATATATTGAACATATTGGCATACGTTCTGTTTTTTAAACAGACCAATTTCTCCTTAACCTAAGATCCTATAATTGTGGCTTTAAATTAAGTTTTTTAATTTAACTAAAAAATGTGCGTGGTGGGTTTTAATTGAATTTTAAATAAGTAATCAGATTGTGTAAGCACAATTAACTTTGCGGACATATTGGACTCAAGCTATACCTTATAAAAAATCATAGCATATAGTACAAAAATTTTAATTTGAATGAGTTACAGGTTTTTTTGAATATCACATTGTATGTTCTGTTTTTAAAAACATCTTACAAATTTATAAACATTTTTATAGTTTTTTAACATTCGATCACTGTATTTAAACACCATAAAATAAAAAAATTAAACATTTCAATGACTTGATTAATAAATTAAAAAGTTAAGTTGCTACACATTTAGTGCCTTTTTATACGTAAATAGTCAGTTTAATGTTCTTTAATGTTGTACTAAAGTTGGTAAGTATACATCGTAAAGCAAATACGTATGTGCTTGTAATTTATTTTTCAATTTCATGCAAAAGCCAAAACAATTTAAATCATTTTATGAACAGGAGTAATGCGATGGGAAGTGAAATACGAGCGTTTCCTTTATTATTTCATGTTCTGGCACGCCCACAATTCATATAAAATAAACAGGTATTGACAAAAGCTTGCAAATCAAGGGCTTTCCCCTCGCAATTGTGCTTTTACAACACGCATGTTCCTACTATCACCGGGAATTGAAAATGGCGAAGGGAAAAAATGGGGCCTCGGTTGCCTGGTCGCTGGGACAAAACGCTTTTCCGCCACGCTCCCGGTGTTGAGCTCTATATTGTGTTGGTAATTGCCGCCCCATGATTGGTCAATACTTGCCGAGCAACCCATTTGGAAATTCGCCGTAAAACAACACCTTCGCATCCCATTGGTCCCCACTTCAGACAGGGACAGAGATACAATACCTGTTTGGAGCACAATACCGGATCGACAGCCTTCTCCCTCGGAATACTGGACAAACCACTGGGTATGTATGCGAGAGAGAACTCTCCGATCCGGTCTCTCTGCTTGCGAGCTGCCCTTCCATAAAACATGAAGTTTTGCTGCCCCTCGTATTAGTCTTAACGCTGCTGCCGCCGAGAAAACATCGCTCTTAAACAACCAGAAAAACAAAAAAGAATAACAAAAGGTACTGTGTGCCGTCGACTGTGTGAAATTTTAAACGACTTCGCAATGCCACGCCCTTTGAAAATGACCTACGGTGATCAGAAGCCCCCATACTCGTACATATCATTAACGGCCATGGCCATTATACATTCGCCGCAAAGAATGCTGCCGCTCAGTGAGATATATCGATTTATTATGGAGCAGTTCCCCTACTACCGGAAAAATACGCAAAAATGGCAAAACTCATTGCGGCACAATCTGAGTTTCAACGATTGTTTTATCAAAGTGCCCCGCAACGTGACGAAGGCCGGAAAGGGATCCTACTGGACCCTCCATCACATGGCCTTCGACATGTTCGAAAATGGCAGTTTGCTGCGGCGACGCAAGCGCTTCCGCGTCAAGCAGCTCGAAAAGGATATATCAAACTGGAAATTGGCCGCCGCCAATACGGAGATGGTCTCCCACTACCTGGACGACCAGCTAGCGCAGATGGCCTTTGCCGATCCATCGAGGAGTGGTCACATGCCCAGTAACTACGATCTCGGAAGTGCGCCCGCCGCTCAGATGTCAACATTCAAGGGCATTCCACCGATCCTTCCGTCGCCTTCAACTCAGCTTCCGGTTCGTCCAAAGCGCGCTTTCACCATCGAGAGTCTCATTGCACCGGATCCTGCGAATACGGCGAATGAAGGACTAGTGCAAATGGATTACGGAAGTCCAGATGCCGACGCATTGAAAAAGCCGCCGTTCACCTTGCCATTCAATTTCAACGAGCTCGCCGCGCATTACCACCTTTACTTTCCCAGTTTTTTGTACAACAGCCAATATGGCAACCTGCCGTGCTATCAGAAAACACCGCCGCTTTTTCACAACGGCCCGTTGCCGGTCTTTTGACTATGAAAGTTATTCCTAGAGTTTAATAAGGCTATATCTACTACATAACTCACTAGTGGTCCTATTATTATTAACTTATGTTATTTACTTGTGTACTCATTTTATTTAAACAAAAACTGTATTGTAACGCGTTGAGTTTAGAAGATCTCTAAAGTCAATAAAGAACTGCCCATATATCGTATTTATTGTTTGTAAACTTAACGTTAAGGTGGTGCAATACCGACAAAAAAGGAAGTAAAGCAAAATAATTAAGTCGTCAAAAGTAGATTTATTGGATTGAGTAGAGGCCTTTTATTTTAGGTTCGCAGTCAGAGAAATGTGTAAAAACAATAATTACCCTAAGTCGTGAAGCTAAAACTCTGTGCATTTGGCATTTCTCTACTCCTGCTTGGTCGTAATACCACCGTCTAACATCTAACCTATTGTTTGTTTCTTAAGATAATTATAGCTCGAAAACAAACTACAGGTTGTAAATAAAGAGCCCTCGATTAATTCGATTACAGGTCGAAAATAGGTCCGCAATGGTTAACTTGCCTTCCTACCTTGTTTTGCAAATCATTTGCATCTTACACATGCACACACGTTTTCGAATTGCTTTTGTTTCCATTAGCTGTCAATCATCCTTACATATGTTTGACTTCAACCCTAGCTGGAATAGGAATACTTCGCTCTTGTTACCATCCATCCATCCATCCATCCACATACATAAACCATACACCTTCTGAGGAAGGAAGAGCGGGGCTTTCGGTCGATACGGCGCGGAATGTAGTTTGTTATGTCTTACAAGAAAGAAGGGATAGTTTCCAAAGCCGAATCTAAAGATGCCCTAAGAGTGTAAGCAAATGCAGAAATGTTTAAAAGAATGAATAAGAATGGTAATAAAAATTGTAGTTTCAAGGTAAGTAATTGTTTTTTTTTTCTACAAGGATTTTGGATTCTTCAATTTGGCTTATGTATATATCTATGCTACGTTCAAGAAGTATTTCAGATGTCATTTTAATCTACCTGGACTGGTATCAGACTTTTAATTGAATTGAATTATGCGACATCTTAAAGTGCAAGACTGTTGCTCCGTATAACACTTCTTATATCAATTATTTAACCTTTTTGTACCTCAATGTATCTCGGAACGTTATCTTATAGCCAAATTACCATAGGACAATACCGTAGGCTAAAACCTTATTACACAGAAGGATGTAATTAACATACCTCATCCTGCATGCAGTATTCCGGAATTTTATTATGGTAAAACAAGGCCTTTATTAATAGCCAAACAAGTTCCTTCAACTTTAGTTTAAATCCTTTTAAGACGGGTTGAAAATGTTCATAATGTTTGAATAGGGCGGACTTATTGTTTTCCTAAGATATTAGCGCAGGCATCCAATATGTACAAAACGTATTATGTCTTATTAGCCAAAAGGGTTAAATATTCTTATTAGGTGTGCTCCTGGAAATGAAATCGAATAACAATTTTTCTATTTATTTTGTATTTATTGAAATTGCATTGCTCTAAAGTTAGTTATACTGTATTACGAGAAGCGATATAAAACCGAAAATAGATGTTGGTTCTGGTTGTTCTTATTTCAAACCAAATGATTACCTGTGTACTTATTAAAACATTACTTTTTTATTACATTTACTTCTGTTGTATTTCAATTATTTAGTTTTCGTTAAGTTTGAAAAATGTTTTTTATATTGTCTCGTTCCATGTTCATTTCGTTCCTTCATAATAGACAGGTGATATTTCTCAGTCGCTCCACACGCGGTCACACTTAAAATACCGAAAGTGCCGTTGTTTTTTAGGGCGTTTTAGCCACCTTACTTCTTTGTGGTTGTTTGCCTATCTACATTGCCATTTTGTAAATGTGAGTGTACAAAATTTCTGTAAGACAATTTAGCCATTAAACGTTCGATTATGTTGAATCTTGTGTGCGAACTCAAAATGTTATGTTTGTCTCGTCACCCCGTCGCCTAGCCCATTGACAATTAGCAAACGGACCGTGGAAAGTGCAATCAGCCCGAAGTCTGAAACTGCAAAACTCCGTTCACCGTTCGCCGTTCTCCGTTAGTCCTTTGTTGATGGTAATCGTTGTGAAACGAAGAAGAAAGAGAAAACCGTAGCATTCCGTAGAGGCATTATTCGAGGCACGGAGCGAGCATGTTTAGTATCAGCGAGCTCTGCTGCATGTTTTGCTGCCCCCCATGTCCGGGCCCCATTGCGGCCAAGTTGGCCTTCCAGCCGCCGGAGCCCACGTACAAACTGACTCCGGCGGACGACACCAATATCCGGTACAACCTGCAGCTCTTCGACCGTGCCGAATGGCAGTACTCCGAGCGAGAGAAATCGAAAGTGGAGGCCTTCTTTACGCGCACTTCGCGTGGCAACCTGATCACCTGCATCTACGTTAGGTGCAGCAAGAACGCCAAGTACACGCTGCTCTTCTCCCACGGAAACGCCGTCGATCTTGGCCAGATGAGCAGTTTTTATTTAACGCTCGGCTCCCAGATAAACTGCAACATCTTTGGTTACGACTATTCGGGCTACGGGATGAGTGGTGGCAAGCCCTCTGAAAAGAATCTATATGCTGACATCGAGGCTGCTTGGCAGGCAATGAGAACCAGGTGACTTAAACTATTTGCCTCCTGCTTATCCCTCTGCTAACCCCAAGATTTCCCCTCCCAGATTCAACATCAGCCCGGAGACAATCATCTTGTACGGCCAGAGCATTGGCACAGTGCCCACTGTGGACTTGGCCTCGCGTCACGAGGTTGGAGCTGTGATACTCCACTCGCCACTCATGTCAGGCCTTCGAGTCGTGTTTAGGAACACAAAGAGAACCTGGTTCTTCGACGCCTTTCCCAGGTAAGCTAATTCGCAAATTGGCAATCGCCCACAATTTGATCTTATCGGATTTCCCTACAGCATTGATAAGGTGGCTAAGGTGAAGGCTCCGGTTCTGGTTATCCACGGCACAGACGACGAGGTTATTGACTTTTCCCATGGCATCGGAATCTACGAACGGTGTCCTAAGACTGTCGAGCCATTTTGGGTAGAGGTAATCACACGTATTTATTCTTGATTGATTACTGCTAAGAGCACGTTATTGCAACCACAATGATGATCGTTATTAATTGTAATAGTCTAGCATTGCCACTGAGAACGATTGAGTATCTCGTAGCGGTCCAATGCTATTTATAAACATTGAAAACGGCATTGGGATCGCGTTACAGTAGTATTGAACTTCGCTTTAATGGGGTTTACGGCAATAAGATCGCAGCGTTGCTATATTCAACTCTACTTCATTTTCACTAATTCATGGTAATCAATGTTTCAGGGCGCCGGACACAATGATGTTGAACTGCATCCGCATTATTACGAGCGACTGCGCAAGTTTCTTTCGGTGGAGCTCGTCAAATGACAATTAAAGAATAATGTCGACGGAGGCGTTAGTGACACTACATCGGGTATAATATCTAATTCAAACCCTGCCGCAGGTAGTGCGTCCCTAAGTTCAAAACATCCGAATCCTGCAGCGGCTGCAGGGAGCGAACCAAGTAAAAAAAATGTGGAAGCAAATAACAAACGGATTGAAAACGATGGTTTGTAATAAATTATAAGTATTGCAATGTAATTATTTATCTAGCTCACATCAATACATTCGAGAATTGCATTTTTACAAAGATTATATTATAAAATTATAAATAGTTGTCAGGAGTTTTGCACCAAGGTCCCCATATCTACATTGTGATCCTGGTCCCGTATTAATTGATTAAGCATAGGTCATATCATCTTACAATTAATGACATTGGTAGAACAAATCAAACAAGTAATCACATTGGGTTCGAAAATGAACATCAAGCAATATGCTCCAGAAATATGGTTTTATTATGTAAGGATGAAACTTTTAAATAAAGCAATTTTTTGATACTTTGAAAGTGGACCGTTTCTATTGCTACAGTTTTAAAACACCTTTTTATTTGGCTTCTTCGCTCTAAATGAAGAATAAAGTTACTATTTTTATGATTCATGCTTTTTAACTCTCTCCAATTGCGCTTCAGTTACTGAGTTTATCTAATGTGTGTGTTCGGTCTTTTTACAGGTGCCTCAAATTCCAGCCAGAGTTCTACTAAAGCTCTCGAGCAGAAGTTTCTTTAGCAAAAACAGTCGGGCTCCCATTCAAAAGCCCAACCCTTCTCACCACAGTTCTCTAACAGTGAATTATCAAGTAAATCGTGCGGAAACAGACAAAACAAACAAAATAGGAAAGACGACCCACCATTAACCGATACGAAGTCAAATGGCTTTTTCGTTTCCCGACTAAAACAACCAAATATTGCTCCAACACTTCCAGTACTCTCTCCACATTCACCAATGAATGCAAATATATATCTAAATAGCCAGCATACCCAACTTTCGGGCCGGTATTTAAATAACAAGGTATCCCAGCAAGTCGATACCGATAGTATAAAAAGAGTGGCGGCTAACAGATCTCTTAAGGACAGTCAAAACGTCTTATCCATTTCATCAACTATACTATGCAACTGTGAGAAAGCCCACAAATCCAATGGTTCGGACTCGGAAACAAACGAAGAAATCAAAATCAAAATGAGTTCAGATACTGGCAGCAAACTGGCAGCTACAAGTAAATTCAAAGACCCCAACCTATCTATAAAACCGGAAAGCAGCGCTCCAGATAATTCAACAAAGGCGTGCTTGCAAGTGAAGAGTGGAAAGGATAAAAGAGCCTTGTCTCCGAGACTGACATTGCATAAGAGTGGCTTTCAGCAAGCCATCATCATTTCCGACGAAAGCGAAGTTACGAAATCGCCGCGACCAACTTCCAAGAAAGCGGGACAGCTCTCCAGTAATTCAGACAATCAATTTTATCGACAGCTTACGCATAAAATTAGCAAATCGGAGCAAACTTCCCCCAACAACATAGAGATAGACAAGGCCAACTTTCTTTATGATACGAACAACAGGAGCACGGGATGTTTGGTGTACCCCTCGGATCCTTGGATCAAGAATTCGCACATCAAAAACAGCTTGTCCCCCAAAGCTGAAAAGTATTTAAACATGCATCACAACATAGATCCCTGGGTGAAGCGACAAACTGATGTGAGTGTGGAAGGGTCTCGGCCTCCCAAGAAAAATATCTACCGCGAAAAATCCCTTTCTTCCATTAACAATAAACTAATTTCGGCCAGAACTGAGAAGGCAAAGTGTGCGAAGCCGCAGTTGAAGCATTCAAAAACCGAGCTGGAGGATGATCAAGTATTCTTAAACGAGCCAGGACTGCTCTTTGCCCCATTTTCACCGCAGTATCGCAACACATCGCATAAGATTTGGTCGCTCGATCAGGCGTCTAGCGATCTTAAGGGAAATATTCAGAGCAAATCCGCCAGTTTTTTACCCGACAAAGTAAAGGAGATTACCAGTCCATTGCCGAACCACGTTAGAAAATCTGTATATCAAAATAATAGTAACTTGCTTTGTCCAAACGATCAAGCGAGATCACTGCTCCAAGTAGAAAAATTGCACTCTAGACATAGCTCTTTATCGATTCCCGCTCAGTCCAAGGAGGAGCTGCCTCTGAACATCCGTCGACTGTCTGAGCAGATCCGTGAACCGCCTTTGGAGAAGAACATTTCACTGTCTCTCAGCGATCGCAACGTTAGTAAAATTCCGACTTCTGATGCCGTGGGCGAGACTCATTCGGCTGGCAATCACAAGAAACAAGATAAACTGCATGTGAGTAGAGATGCCGCGGTGCAGAGCGGAAGCCACCCCGAAGACTTTGTCTCCCTGAAACGAGTCCCCAAAGATTCCACAACTGTTAATAATGTAAACCCCTTTACGAGTACTTATAAGCCTGATCCACTTCTAGAAACCACCTGTTAAGCCCATTCGCTAGGAAGCCGAAAGCCGATATTAAAGTGTCTCTGCATAGCTCATTCATAGGTCATGAACATATACGAAATATAAAACCACAACAAACATATATGTCTTATATATCAATCGAATCTAAATATGAATAATAAATCAAGTAATAAAACTATTTTTAGTAGTACTTTAAGTTTGAAATTTTTACAGTGATTTTGCATTTATATTAAGTAACACGATAATGCCCTGCCAACCATGGGGCTAAGTTCTAGGCTTAACTACATTCGCAAGCATATATATGTGTGTAATAGTGTATTCTTTCCTCATTTTATTGTCATTTTACATATTTGTTGTAATACATTTTATAGTAATAAAATCTTTATAAAGAATCTAATTCGTGTTCTTTGGCTTGTCTTGGGGGATTTTATTCATCCGATTCTTTTGATCTTCACATCGTTATGAAATTCCTTGTAAATAAACAAAACTTTCACAAAAAGTTTGTTTTGATTTCATAACCCAAACAAAAGCGGGCATTTTTATACCCTTTCAGAGAGTCTTTTCTTTTTGAAACAAGAAACATCAGTGACATGTTTTTCCGAACTTTTTCTGGTGACTGAAAAAGTAAGAGCAGTCATCCAAACTGTTTAAAATTTTTGGGAAGCCCACGCAAATCCAACCTTTATTAACGTTGGCGCCATAATTACATTCGATTTGCCTTTCACCAACAAAAGACAAATAAATAAATTAAGCTGGCTCTGGTTTAGGCCCATAGTTGGGACCTGTGGATATTACCCAAGCAATTCAGAAAGCATTTATGTAATCTTGAATCCATATAAAGTCAGTATGCACGGCGGACAAAAGACAGTTGTTGATTGCCCCTTGTGAAATACATTTATCCACTTTGTAGACAATGACAGTGTTAAGAGTGTTTTTTGCGTGTAATATAGTTTTATTTAAAGCATTTTATGGAGATAGTGCTGCAGTAAATAAAGAAATAAAATTTCCTTCGGCTGAAGATGATATTAAAAATTCCCTTATTGAGGCTCAATCGATTGGGAGAATTGTGAACCGCAAAGAAGTGAATACGAATACCGTGCCACCACAAAACTATGTGGGTGATATTACCAGAACTACAAACACAGATAAGGTTTATTCCTGCCCACATGCATCATCAGAAATTCCCCAAATAAATGTTATCAATGAACCAAAAATAAATGAAAGCCCAACTGCTCAACAACAAACGGAGTTCGGTTCCTATATGAGCAGTCAGTCAACGTATTCCTCCGGTTTTCAATTGCAAATACAGAACACACGACCAGCTCAGCACATTCATTACCATTACCTTGTTCCCAATACTCCTCCGAAGCCAACAATAAATTATGTATCACATTCTGATTCCAACGCCTACAATGTAAATTCAGAAAATAAGCATTTTCCCCCGATTGACACGCAACCTTCTCATATCAATGCGAATAATCAACAGTACACCCATCCAGAAGTAACGCAAGCTAACCCTTTATATTCTGCTGTGGACAACAGTGGATACCTTTCTGATTTCCCCGACGAGCATCAGAGTCAAGCTTCTGAAAATACATTGGTTTACGAGTCTTTAAGAAATCCAAGCGAGAGTTATGTGAATAAAATCCAAGGGCAGCAAGAGACGTTTCAGAAAACAAACACGGAGATGCCACCAAAACAGGCGATACAAAATCACCAAATGGATAAGCCGGAAGTATACTTTATAACATATTATGGCCAAAATGAAACTTCATCCACAAGTCCGCCAAATTACCAAAAATTAAATGAAACCTCGAATGAAGTTTTCGATGGCAGTGGTTTAATAGACATTCGTGGGGGCAAAGATGAAATTCTGGATAGTGAATCAGTGGTTTCCACCACGCCCTATAATGAACACTCGGCTTACAACGTTCCATTAAATTAATGCAGTTTTTTTTATATAAATTATTGAAATAAACATAGATATTAAAGTATAAAAATATTTTTTATGTTTGACTAGCTTTTAATTGTTCTTGTTGGTTGGATAATTTGACAAAAGAATTCTCCAACTGGTTCCAATGGTCAATATTTATACAAGGAACATTTAACGGAGGAACCACTGAAAGATCAGCTATGCGGTAGACCTCCATTTTATCAGCGTATATCTTTGAGAATTCGTCGGAGTAGATGTACTGCGGTTGCGGCAGTCTCGTAACTTCGCGCTAAATCAAAATTTAAATCTAAGAATTGAGAAAAATAAATACAAATGATAAAATACCTTTTCTGAGATTCCCACAAACTGAGAGAGTGGATGATAGCTCATAAATTCATAGGTAGAATTTACAGTTGGTAAAAAGAAACCTTTTATACAATACTGATAGTTTTCCGGAATGTTGATTACTCCACCAACTGGGGAACTCATTGTCCTATAGACAGCCTGTGAGTTCTTAAGGCTATCCACTAATTCATTGGCCGCTATAACATCAACGTTACTTTCACTGCTTTGCTCAACATTTTGTATGGGATTAGAGGCTTGACTCATCTGAAAAGATTAGAATGTATTTTTTTATGGTGTTCCTTTTATAATTTTACCATTTTATTCAGCGAATGCTTGCTTTCCTCCAACACCTCCAAAATAAATAGATGACTCTCCTCATCATCTGATTTTTCGTCCTTAAACAAACCATTTTCATGAAGAGGCGCAAAAGCGAGAACTAAATTGTTATGCAAACTCTGATCTTGGCCGCCATGAAGTCGACACTTTGAGTTAAACTGCTTTTCCTGAAAAGCAAAAAGAATTATTTAATTGATTAAAATTAATTACCCTTATAAGTACTTCACAAGAACACTCGATTTCGTCCTCACTATTTGACATGCAACTCCAATCGGAGCTGGGATCTATTAAATCTTTGGGCTTCGGCCGAAATAATTTACACCAGCATGCAAAGGGAAATATCAAAAAAAAGAAACAGTTTACTAAAAATATCCTTAAACACGAGGTGCAGGCATATGACCTTCCAGGTTGGACAGTATCGAAACCACATCGGCCTATTGATTGAATGCAGATTCCAAGAATTGCTTTTAAAATTCCTTCAGAAAAAAGAAAAATGTTACATTTATAAATAAAAAAATTGTTACTTATTTACCCAATAAAAAAAGAAGAGCTAAAATAAGCAACGCAATAGCCAAGATTTTACAAGTAAGGTTACAACATGCATCCTCATTGGCTTCGTTATCAATGTCCTTGATGCACACATCATTTTTTTCATTGCCAGGTGGGCAATTGTAAATGAGGCCAGCTTCTTTCTCCGACTTGGGATCCATTCTGTCACAAGCATTATAGTTGATAAAGGTTTCCAACTTTCCAATACAGTGGCATCGGCATCGCCAAATACAAAAACACCTTGAGTGGCACTTGACGTCCATTGACCTCTTTGCCACAACTCCAACTTTGAAGTCATCATCTTTTGGTGCTCTGCTGTCCGGTTCATCATAATTTAATTCGTTTGCTTTTACCACCACTGGAAAATATATGTTAACTAAACTTACAATTTTTTTATTTAAAACTCACCATCACAACTAAATTTATTGCTTTTTTTCGAACTTATTAATAATGGCAATAAAAAGTTGACTGTTTGACCAATGTCGGGTTTCAATAATTTGTCGGCCCTAGTTGTTAGTGAGTCACTTTTTGACAGATCGCAATTGCAAACAAATATGGAAAATTCTTGTGCTTCGAATCCTTTGTTGATCACATCGATCGAAATTTGAAGAGCATCCTTTGTGGTTGCATCGGTAACAATTCTTGATATTTTAACAATATGCTTATCTCGAGTAACAAGAGCATTTTCGCGGAAGGGGATCTTCACTTTTATGCTAAATTCTGTAGGAAAATGATAACTCTTCTGTAATAAAAATGTTGTAAAATCGGTTTTTACCTGGTACTTTTTCCTGACGAATATTCAGGCATAAGTTTTTGTCTTTATGCGGGCAATTTTCCAAGGCGTTCATAGTAATTGGCAAATATCCCAGGCCTTCAATTCCTTTAGAAGATATACCCGCCATTCTTGCTTCCTTTTCTCTATTGTTGTTAGCAGAGCTGGTTATTTCTTGAATGGATAAATCCATTTTTGAAGCATCAATTAGAACGCCATTTCCAATGTTATTTTGCAAATCGTTAATGGTATGGTCTTGCCTTTTGTTTGCATATAAGTTATCATTTGACTTGGGAATTGCAAGCTTTCGATTTAAAAAGGTTGAAGCTTTCTCCAACCGAATCAAATCGACGTGCGAAGTAAATACAGCTGAAAGATCCTTGTTTGCGTATATTCCAGAAAGGCTGTCAACTCTGTACAAAAACCAAAAGTTATAAGTTTAAGTTAAACTTTACTACTTACGTTATTATGGGAGCAATTCTCCACCACGTGTTATGGCGTCTTCTAAAAACTCGTAACTTAGTTGTTAAAAAGGGCACAGGATTTTTTATATTGAAAACGGTGTAGCCTAAGTTTTCCGCAGTACTAAAAATATAAATCCTCAATGTAATTAACACACATAATAAGTTACAGCCGATATTACCTTTCATTTAAAGCTCTGGATGACTTGGAGGACTCACAATTACACTCACTGGGATTAGTTATACAGCCACAGGATGCGGAGTCTAGGTTTCCTTCGATACACTTATTGTTTCCTCTGCATCGTTCACATGGTATCAAATAATCGGGAACCCTTTCTGGTTCAGTTTCAGATAATACCGGGTTGATCTCGGGTGGCAGACCTCCAGGCAAAGGTTTCCCACCAGGTTTCTTATTTTTACCTCCGCACGTATCGCATGGAACGGGATCATTGAGTTTTAGATTGATATTCTCAATTTCGCTGTCTACACTTTTTGAGTCCTCCAAAATTTGGGAATAAATTGTTTTGGGCTTTTCGTCCTTCTTTTTGTTTTTCCCTCCACAAGTGTCGCATGGAATTTCATTGTTATCCTCTATGTTTTCCGCATTCAACTTTTTTGAAGAGCTGGGATTGTTTTCAAAGCTTTCATCAAATCGAGAACCATCTTGGTTTTCCATTTCTTGTGATTCAGGCTGACTTCGTTTAATTCTCTTTATATTTTTTGATCGTGAGAGAGGCAAGGATCTGTGATAGTTCGTTTTCGAGTAAGATGGAAATGGTTTTATCTTATGCTTTAAACTAAAATCGGAATATGTTGGCAAATAATATTTTGAGTTAAAATCATGTTGACTATCAAAGTTTTCTGCAATTTAAGTTGTGCATTTTAGTAAATATATAATTATTTTATTATTTTTACTCACTTGTTAGTTTATTATTCAAATGGTAGTTTATAATTGAATTAATACTATCATCTTCAATTTGTGTTGGAGACCACGAAAAGTCATTATCATTATTTTGGGGTAAGTTAGAAAACATAAAGTTATCTTTAAGAGGAAAATCGTTTGGGGTGTACGTACCCTTAATTGGGTTGTTATATTTTTGCTTTTCTTGGTTTCCTGCGAAAACATTTGTTTTATATGGATTAGTCTTAGGTTTAAACAGCTTTTCTTCTTTAAAATTAAAGTTATTAGTTAATGCATTTGAAAATCCATCTACATTGGGAAGACTATAATCTGTCGACTTAAAGTCATTTTCGTTGTTTTCCCATTCATGTGGCAAATCGTCCACTCTAAATCGATTACTTTCAGGTGCTTTGAAATTAAAATGGTTCTTTTCATCTTTTATCTTCCATTCATTTGTTAATTCATTTCTCCCAGCTATTGGTTGATAATTAAAGTGTTGATTTTTACTCAAAGTTGCAGGTCCAATATTAGTTGGATAAGAGTATAGTTTGCCATTTTCCTTTTCATGTGAGAAATGATTCCTATTAGGTAATGACTTTAAATTAAACTGCTCATCAGATTCTTGGTAAATATCATTTAAATCGGAATGAGAATCAGTATCAGCATCAGCATCAGACTCAAAGTCATTTGTTTTATATTTATTCCCATGTGAAAGTTGCCCTTCGATTTCTTTTTGAATATTTTTCAATCTTTCTTCTTGTGCTAATCTATTAAGCCTAAACATAAAACGTTTGTTTACTTTTCTAGTAAAAATTCAGATTAAACTTACAAAATATAATCCGAAACGGATTCCTGATCTGGATTTTTATCCATAATTTGTTCCTCATGTCTGTTTTCATGGTGTTGGTTCTTGTGGGTTTTTAAATCCTGAAATTTTGAATAGTTCAACTTAGTTATTAACAAAATCTTTCGGGACTGTTTACCTTATTATCAAGTGCTAAATAACTTTTGTCAAAAGTGTCCACTTGCTTAAGGTTTTTCCTTTGATCGCTTTTGACTTGACTATTTCTTGATCGATCGTCCACTTTGTTTTCCTGGTCGGGATTTTGATGCGAATTTATATTGTTATCCTGCGTGTCATAATTAAAAATATGTGTGCCTTCCTTTACATGAGAAAATTCTAATCGAGTCTCTGGACTTTTGGGGGAAGGTGAATCCATAACTCGAACTAGTCCAAGACTCGCAATATCTTTTGGAATTTGATCAACAAGTGGTTTCTCTTGCTTTTCCTTACTGAAAAAGTGCGAAACAATTGCTTTCCCTCTGGCATATCCTGGAAAGTGATTCCTTTTCACTGGAATATATCTTGTTATAAAAAAGAAACAAGGATTGTTTAAATTGGTTACTTACATCTTGAAGCATTTGAAATTTCTTGTCTTTTCGTAGTTGTTTCAAGTTGGAGTTCCTTGGCGCAAGCTCCACAAACATCAGGATCTCTATAATTAACCTCTTCTGATGGGTGATGGCTTACCTTTTCATTATTAATCGCACTGAAAAAGTGCGAATCAATTGCTTTTCCTCTGGCATATCCTGGAAAGTGGTTCCTTTTCACTGGAATACATCTTCTTAAAAAAAAGGAACAAGGATTGTTTAAACTGGTTACTTACATCTTGAAGCATTTGAAATTTCTTGTCTTTTCGTAGTTGTTTCAAGTTGGAGTTCCTTGGCGCAAGATGCACAAACATCTGGATTTTTATAATTGACCTCTTCTGATGGCCGATGGCTTTCCTTTTCATGATCAATTGTCTAAGGCAAATGAATTAGTTTAATCAGGAAACCATTTGGAAATGTACTAACCTTAAAATACTGAAGTGGATACATAACAACTGGTTCACCTCTGCTAAGAACTATTAGATAGGGTGATATTATCTTAGAAGTCGTTCCTTTTGATGGCTCATAGACTTTATCGACCACCCAAAACTTCTCGGAGTTATCCAGATCAAAGCTTGGGTTCATGTGGATATTAACAATCAACTGAGTTTCGCATGACTTGTTTGAACTGTTTTTGGGGCATTTGATTAAAATTGCATTCATACTATCGGCCGTATTTGTTTGGAAATCACTTTTAGCTAAAGGAATCAACAGAAATGTCAGAATTCCGCAAATTAAAACATTGTAAGTTTCCATTTTTATTTTATTTTAATTTTTGAAACTTATTCAGCAAGTAACTTGATTGCCTTTCCAAATCAGAAATTTGTAAACCCAATAAATCGAATGTGAATTCTCATGATTCAAACATAAACCAACAATTTATTAACAGTATATTTATTTAAAATATACACTTTACATTTCAAATAAAAACAATACTATTAGGTAAGTCTCTAAAGCTACCAGATTTTAAACAGTGTTCGGATCGTAGACAAAGTAGATAGTCAAGGGCGATACTCAAGTAAATAATATTTAAAGCACATTGCAGGTTTTTTGTATATTGATCATTGATCCCGATGGACATTTGAAAACTTCAGTCGCACTCCCACCTTGGGCAACGAGCCAACCCAATCTGAAAAGAACATAGAATTATATTTTAATAATTTAATATTTATATATTATTTCTGAACTCACATATTATCAAACTCGGGAGCGTTTGTATCGATACCCAAGTAGTTGGATTCAGCACACAGTTCCTGAGCGGAAACTAAAAAGAAGATTTGGGTCGGCGTTAAATTCAGGCCAGGAAGTCTTGCCATTCCTTTAATTGGACCAGTTAACGAAAGCATTGAGTGGTATGAGATCTGCATTCCTCCTGAATGTATCAGAATATCCATTCGGCTATAGTTCGAAAATATATTTACAGAATGTGGAACACAGCGCATTGCCTTTTCGTCAAAGGATTTTGTGATGGATCGCAAAATCTCTTTGGCAATGGAAACACCAACAGAAGCATAATGCAAATATGGGGGCAAAACAGCATTGAAATACGGTATGAGTATGACAGATAATGGGACAACTGCAAATATTTACGGAATTATTATAATTATGTAAAATAATATAGAATAAATGTATACAGACCGATTGAATGGCTCAGCGTGTCGTAAAATATGGTAGAAACAATAGGATATGCCCAACTGAAAGTATAATGTGAAATTAATTAAAAGCTTTAAAACTATTTTATAAGATCAACATACGCATCATGGGAGCCCCCATTTAAACTGATATCATTTGTTTCCAGTTTGTTCTTTTTGTATATCTCCAAAATGTTATGGAACCAGCATTCCGAAGTAATATCCAAAGCTTGAAGAGTTTTCAATAATTCCGATGTGTTCGAGAATCCTTCCCAGGTTTGTGATTGGATCTTCAATGCTGATAGTTTCACAAGGGCAGCTCCTTTTAACGAAGGAGCTCTCTTTAAGTGTGCTTTTAGGGATTTAAAAATGATCTCAGCCTGAAATGAATAAAATTAATTAAATTATAAAAATGTCATTTTGTGTAAATCGTATTTACCCGTTTGGTTGTGTCCTTTAAATCTTCGGATGAGTGTTGAGCAATATATAGCGATGATGACAATTCGGGCAAGGCCCACATTGTAGATCGGGTGCAAACCTCGGGACTTGGATAATCCCTTGGCAATATTTCTAAAGCGCTCAGCAAAAGCAGTGAATTGTGTGCAACTCTAGTTGGATATTTGGTAAGAAAATATTCTAAGGCTTTTAGATAATCACTATTTCTGACAACGATGGGTCCGCTCCAGTTCTGTGGGATTAACATTGTCCAATTTAGCTGAAAAAATAAATTACATTTTTTTGTATAAAAATATTTAATATTTACAAATACTTACAACTGGGTACAAGTCTTGTAGACTGGATACATTATATAAAACAGTACTATCCCAGAATCCTCGGCGAGAGTGCTCAACTTGAAGCTGATACAAAAAGATTTATATTTAACATTTAGAAAGATCTTTTAAATTGTACTCACCTTGTTTAGGTCCTTTATGAATTCAAAAATAGTATCCTTCTCAGATACTCTTTGAGCATATGACACAAAATTCGGTAGAAAATTTTCGATTAGATCGGCTAACAGTTTCGGTAATCCTTGTCGAATACGACTAGGTGGTGCTTTTGGGCTCATCCAACGTATTTTGCGCTGAAAGCAATCGTTAGCTTTGTAATTCAATTAATTTTATTTAAAGCATACCTCTAGAATAGTTGAGGATGTACTGGGTCCACTAATAATGAGAAGAATGTGCGGTCTTCTTCCGTAGCTAAGGTCATAATACAAGTCTACTAAGGGGCTTGGACCGAGTTCATAAATCTTTGCTATCAAAGGTGCTATACTTGAGGGTCCCACAGATCCAACAGGTAGATATCCTCCTAAGGAATCGAATATCCTGTGCATAATAGTAGAGTTAGTTGTCTGCCGCAAGCAGCTTTCGAACAAATTGTGCAATATATTAAAGCTGTCGTTCATTATCTTGTTCTGGAAAAGGTCTGTAAAGGAGGATGTAAATAGATACCCAAAAAACTCGATTATATATCTTACACAACATTTGAGAATCAACGCTCTTCTGCGAGTTTCCCATTTCGATGAGGTTTGTTATATTTTTATTTCGGGTGTTGCGCCAACAACTGAACTTTTTGAACTCGGTGCACGGATCCTTGTTCCAATTGAGTCGGGCTTGGATGCTGGAGGCCACTGCTTCGCAAATGGGATCCGTACACTCCGGCGGAGATGAGGCGGCGGGGGCGCAACGATCTCCGTCCATATAACAATCCCTCGGCAAAGGCGAGGGAGCTGTGCTTATCAAGAAAAGAATGGGCGATGCCACCAGCAATGTGGTCACCAACAAAGTCGCCGAGGTGATGGCCATTTTGTGCACCGCCGCCGAGGTTCGCAGCCAGATGCAAGGTGCGCAGCAAATCCATCCTATAATGCTGTTCTGCAATGGTTGAAAATGGGGAAAAAATATAAACCACGTCGTATGCGTAATATTCGCAAAACATATCACTCATACGCAGTGTTGCGTTTCTTAATTGATAATAATCAGGGCTAACAGAGTTATGTTCTTAAAAACGTAAAAATATGTATGGATTTATGGACGAAAAAATAGAGAAATATGGACGAAATATGGACGAAAAAGTTGACAAATCTAGAATAAAATGGATAAATATGGATAAATATAGGTAGTATAGACGAACAAAGGAATAAATATAGGTATAAAAATGGATAAACGTAGACGATTATATTAACTTTTTATGACAATGAACAATTAGAAATCGCTATACAAAAGTGCGCCGTTTGTCTCAAAGATTATTGCAGAACAATATGACATGTTGTGTCAGATTAGTAAAAACAAAACTACGGCGTTTATCACTCAATATGTGTTTAGGTATGTATATGATGAAAATGAACGCTCAACATCGCAAGATGTAACAGGGGCATTTGCATATGCATTCAGTTCAGCAGGTGATAAATTCAGGATAAGATCGTCACCTTCTGTAGAACTATCAATGAGATATAGAATTAATCAATAACTTTACAACACTAGAATTTAAGAGACATAAGAACTGAAATCATGAAATATGGAATAAAAACTGAATCTTAAAATATAAACTGCATCATAATTGTAACATTCGATGATACATATTTTGATTGATTAACGACGCAACGATGTTTTGTTTACATTATTTATTATCGAGTATAAGGCAAACGAAAGAAATTTCATAATATTTGAGCCAAACATATCTTTCTATAGGTTTTCAGACACTTTAATGCTCAAAATATGGATTTATTCAAGTGATTGTGTAAAATATGGATTTATAGGAAAAAAGGCGAAAATATGGAAATAAATATTTTTTCATTTAAAAACATAACTCTGTTAGCCCTGATAATAATAATAATAATCAACCAATCTCTTAAAATATACCTACTTTATTATATCGAGTATTGAAATTTTCGATGTTTGAGCTGTCTATCATTTCGATTTCATCGGACTTGCCCATTTGCTTGGAGCCAACGGGCGTCTTAAAGGACAACTGCTTCTGGAGCAGGGAGGCGCTGCTCCCGCCGGATGGATTGGCGGTCGTAATAAGATTTCGACCATGACCGTTGTTGCCCAAACCGGCAACGCCGTTCTTTCGGAATACATTACGTGCACTGGAATCAGCTGTCATTGTTTGGATTTGATTCTGAAAATTGTATTGCTTTTTTTCGACTCTTTCATAGGCATATGTATTTGGGCCTGTATATTTGTACTGCGGGTGTGGGGGGATTTGTGATAGGCGCTGCCAAAAAGTTGAAAACATATAATTATTTATTGACCAAGAACTAATCAATATCATTTGTTTGCTTACCGCTCATTGGTTTCAATAGATCTATATACACAGATGGGTCGTATACTCCATTAAATGGTTATTGTGCTTATAAGGTATGATAATCGAGACAATTTATATTTTTTTGGCCCTTACATTTGTTTAACAAGAAATTCACTTTTCAGCCAAAAAAGGAAATGACCACTGGCAACACTCGGCTATTCTCTTAAAAGCTCTAGCAAAAAGCTTCAGTGGAGCACGTCGGATTCCTGTAAAAGCTTTTCCTTATTTGTATATATGTAAACCCATTACATCCATTTTGCAATATTGAGGAATGAGAAGTTGGAGGTGGAAAATTCCAAAAAAAAATTATAGCAAAGAATCTTTTCATACTTCCTTGCCATCAACACCAGATCTGATTGCTTTTTTAAACAATAGCATAACATGGCTCCGTATCCTTTCATTTCTCGTCTTTATTATAATTATAAAATATCATATTTAAGATACCCTCTGCAAAGGTATACAAATCTGCAAAGAAAACTAAAATCACTCTTTCAACTTATATTTTAGATAAAGCCACCCTTTAATTCAAATAATACCGTATTAGTTTTGTGCATGTCACATTTATTTTCGAAGTATCGGTTTCATATATCTTTGGCGTAGAAAGTATATTATATTTTTTAAAGCTATGAGTTGTGTAGGCAGAAAAATTTGACCTGGTTTTTAAATATATAAAAGCTATTTCATTTTTAATAAAGCGTTTCAAAAATTACATTTGAGTAATCGTTGTTCTTCGATAATATTTTATTTGTTTAAGCCTCTGCCTTATGCGAAAATTTGAATACAAAAATAATTAGACGTACTACCATAGGATGACTGGACAAAAGCTTGACAAATTAGCTATTAAAATTTTAAATTTTCCGGCGCACTGGGGTCTCATAGAAATATCTTCTCTTTGTCGTAACTTCTGAAGTAGCCGTCGTATTTGCTGAGTTCCCTGGCCGTTCCGGAGGAGGTCACCATGGAGGGCAGGGCTCGCAGGAAGCCGTGCAGGCCAGACGGAATCGGGGGGCGTCGGTGGCACCGACAGACCGCAGCGGTTGTACAGGAAGGGCATTATCCCGGTGACATTGGTGTGGAGCGTCAGCACCGCCTCCAAGTCGGACTCCTGGGCGTGCATCAAGAACTGGTTGTAGGCGCTGGATGGTATCATGCCAAAGTGATCGAACGAGTCCACGTAGGCCTCGGTGTCACGTTTGTAGTTCTCGAGGAAGTCGCCCAGCAGCTTGGCCACCATTGCCGATCGAGCCTTGCTGGCCACCTTTATGTTTTGCATATTCCGGAACAGGACTGGCGGCTTCACGGAGCCCCCGAATTTGTTCAAGAACTTAAGTATGATTTTCTCGTGGATGTCCTTCGGATCTTCTGTCAGTCTCCGCAGCACCGATTCCAGATACAAACTGAAAGTCTGTCGTGCTTGAAACGGCGTCAGCTCGGATCCATTGGAGATCTTCTTAAGCATCACCTTGCGCAATCTGCGACCCTCCTCCTCGCACTTCTCCACTGTGGGCTTCTTGACAAAGGGAATTTCCGAATCGGTTTCCAGGGCCCTTTCGTATTGCCAAATGCGGTCGGCTTCCGAATTGTCCTCCAGCTTGTGCCGGCCATCCTTGGAGTATAAATTTTGGTGAAGCATCTGGTTGTAGTTGTGCTGCAAAATCGGCGTTTGGAATGTCTGACTTTGCACAGTCGGTGTGGAGATCGGAATGCCATTAGCCGAGTCTAGGAAGTTACCATACCGCTGCATGGAGTCGTCCGTGGGAAAGATGCGCACGAATCCTCCCCGACGGGAATACTGTAGGCGTGCGTTACGCAATATGCGCTGCTCTTCGCCGGTAAGATTAATTGGAATCGCAGCCCCCTTCTTCTTAGACTTCTTAACCTTTTGCGAGGCACTGGGGAATGTTGCCTGTCGTTGGCAGCTTGAACTGCGGAATCGCGACCACTTCTGGTCGTAATGAGATCTCATTTCGGGGCTGTAGGCTGGAATGCCCACGCAAGTCAGTAGGTCGGCCATTAGGCATGACTTCACCTTGGTGTCCAAGGGACTGTCCACGCCCATGGACGGGGATAGATTGATTTCGAGTAGCCATGGCTTCAGGGCATTATCAATTAAAATATCAAATCCATAGAGCTCAAAGCAGTTGTTCCCATTGGGAACGAACATTCGGCAGGCCGAAATAATGGATTGAGCACAGGCTAGCACCGCCTTAATAATTAAATCTTCTATGTTCAGCATTAGTTGCCGTGTATCACAACTCTGGAGTTTCAGGTGCCGCAAAAGCGCCGACAACGTCCACTTATGGCCCACATCCTCATCCTGAGCATCGGAGCTCCTTATGTAATCAGAATGATACTTGTTGATGCTGTAGTTGCAGAGGTGCATGCATGGGTTCCACAGGTTATCCGCATGCCTGTCGTACTTAACAGTGGCCAACCGCACGATGCCCTCTTCAAATAGGTAGATAATAAGGGGATCGAAGGATGTCACTAGCACGTATACCCTCAGATCACATTTGTGACCATCAATGCACAACGGATCGACGATGTATTTCGATACTACCGCCTGCTCGTCCTGTGGAATTTGATCGGGCTGCAATGAAAACAAGTTGTTTATTACTTTCAAATACATATTGCTGTTTTTTACTTACCGAATTCACTATAAATATTCCCCGACCTCGACTAGATGCCGCAGGTTTTACTATCCATGGTCCGCGATGCTTGTTATGGGCTATTGCTAAATCTCGGGATTCTATTGGCAGAACAAAGGTTTGTGGCACAATATCGAAATGTTTCATGCCCCGCAGGTGTTGCATGCGTTCAATGTTTTTGTAGAGTCTGTCCTTTCGGGTCAACTCGTAGGATCTGTGTGCGTTCAAAAACCATTTAATTTTTATATTTAAAGAAATACTTTACGATTCGACTTACCTTGGGAAATGATTAACTCTTTGATAAGGCGCCAGATTTCTAACAATATCTAATTTCATATGAACACCGGTCCAGAGCAAGTTAAAGTTATTGTTTTCACCCTGAATTTCTGTAAGGCCATGGACATTGAAGAGCTTTCTCAGCAACTTGGTTTCCGTTTGATGAAATTTGTAGGTGATTTTAAGTTTAAAGGCAGGCATGTTAATACCATATTCGTCGTCGTCTTCACTTGTCGCCTCCGGATCTTCCTCACTTACTTGGGTATTGGAAGTTGATTTGGCAGGTGTCGTGGACTCATATCCACTCTCCTTCGATATATCTTCGGCTAGTTTAATATTAATGGCGTTCTGACTGGCTTTAAGTACACGCGATTTGCTTTCACTACAACGCGCTGGCTCTTCACCTTCACTAGAAATGGACGTATCACTCGAGGAATATTGATTAAGTGTCTTTTTAAAAGGGCTAGTAAAAGTTAATTTATCCAATTTATCACATTGTTGCGGTTTTTTCAATAAATAAATCTTTTGCTGCGTCGATCCGCTTAGAGTTTCCTTGCTACTGGGTTCTGAGGATTCGGATACTTTTGGCTCCACTTTCTTTTGGCATAGAACGGGCTCCTCTTCGTTGTCTTTGGTCTCCGATAGCGCTTGTGCAGAGGACTTCTCGGACAACGTCTTCCGGATCTTCGGATTAAGAATATTCGTTCTGAAGACCAAAACTGCCTCGCGCGAACCCAGTTTTCCACTCGTAATCCAATCATCTTCTTTTTGATATTCGAAATTGATTCTATAGTTCAAACAAAAAATTCAAAAGTGAATACTATTAGGAAAAGTTATTTAATTAAAATATTTGTACTGCTTGTTACTGCAAACAAAAAATGCTACAGAATCATACAAACAATATTTAAAAGAAAACCACTTACGAAGAATTTAAAAGGGGTTCACACAATGAAGAAGGCATAACGGTTCCTGCAAAAGGTTAAACAAAATAAATAAATATATGTACATTTTTATAAAAAAGATAATAATAATTTTTATTAGCATCATTTGACCAAAACTGGCCTTAAATCGCGGGCGCATAAATACAAACAATTTAGAAGAAAAAAATCGAATACAAATATATCATAATGAATTAATCTTATAACCTGGTATTTGATGTTACAACTATAGGAAATATTAAACATATTCGCGAGATTATTAAACAATTAATTAACTCATGATTAACTCATTTAACTGGCTACCTTAGAAGCAAATATTACATTAGTGATATTAAAAAGACGTCGGTAGCCCGAAAAAAAAATTAAAAATTTTCGTTTCCCAAAAACATTGTTCTCCCACTTAAAAATCGGTATGTCTATGTTTGTAAATGCATTTGTTTTAGTTCGTACCTTTTAATAAGCGAAGAGTGCCCCTTCGCAAGGGGTTTCGCCGTTTAGAGGGTAGATTGATCTAAAATTTCATGTTTAAAAGTGAATGTCATAAATCGAAAGCCAAATGGCTTGGACGGTTATCCAGCGATTCGCAGTTTTGTGGTCGATAATTTTCCAGCGTCGAGCAAAAAAGCTTTTTGGTTTTGGGCAGGAAAGTCACAATTTCTTTAATGCTGGCATTCATCAGTCTTGAAGTTCTTCGTCAACTTTCCATAAGGAAAAGTGTTCAAATCCATTTTGCGTTAGAATTTAGGGAAACAATCCGTTTCACCACAATGTGGTTTAATATGCTAAGGTTAGCTAGCATACATTTCGGATTTATAAGAATAATCCATGCACTATTTGATATTTGCTTATAATTCTACTTTTATAATCTAAGATCCTCTGGTTCCAAGTGCGGTTATCCATCGTTCCTGTGAGTCAGCAGAATCTGGATTTATGATCAGGAAAGCCTCTTGAGTCTCTTTCTGATTGATATGTGTATGTATGTCAAAATATATTTTTTTAACAAAGTTTTTGTATAAGTTACTACAAAATTTTAAACTCTAAAAAAATATGTTATGAATTCTCCAAGAGAATGCTAGGAATGCTTTTGAGTTAGTTATTTATGTTAATTTTAAAGAAAAAACAATAGGTATTAATATTCATTGAATATATTTATTTTAAGAGTGTATACTAAAAACTATATTTTACCAATCGGATAGAATTATTTAAAACAAATGATGGAAATTGTGAAATGTGTTTATTTACATTACATTGTTCAAATGTTGTACAAATTTTCAATGAATGTAGCTGATTTGAAAATGATGTGATTACATTAACAAGGAATTTCATTTAAATTTCGTTTAAAGTCCTAGCTTCTCTACATGCTAACAACTAAAAGTTAGTGTTCCTCCGGTTAAGGTTGTTGTTGTTGTATGTTGGGTTTAAGTTGGTGTTGAAGTTGAAAAGCGACGACGTAGCGAGGTCGTTGCGCAGGACGCCACTTGGGGGCAACAATGGCGCGCCAGACCCAAATTGATTGTTCTGATATCCGCCGGGTCCTCCAGGGCCGAATTGATTGTTTTGATATCCGCCAAATCCACGATCAGTCGGATACGCGATAGAGGAGTTTGTTATGTTAGTGTTTGGTTGGTTGTTAAAGCGAGCCACATTTCCGGAGTAGTTTTGACCAGTATACATACTGGTCACATTGCCAGCGTTGTTCGAACTGCTGGCAATGTTTGAGTTTCTAGTAGAGTGTTGGGTCAACAGGTTACCATTGCTATTTGAGTTTGGAAGAGTGCTGGGTCCTGCATTCATCGAGTTGGCATTCGGTTCCTCGATGCGTTTCTTCTGCTCAATCATCGTGTAAACTTGAAGAATCTTTTGAAGTTCCTCACGGTTAATAGAAGTCTTGCCTTGGGACATCAAAGATGAAGCCAGTTTTGCTGCAAGCTCTGTTTTATCCAACGGTTTTTTGGTAGATGGACCGGCCACATTTGCCATTGGAAAATCTTGTTCTTCAGCTTGCTGGGGGTTAGGTTTAGGTGTGTTATATTTACTTGCTTCTTGAAGCAAAAGTTCAGTATCATTAATGGCTTTCTTCAAGGCCCTCTCCTTGGTAGGATCATAAATTTGGGAGATCAAGAGACCCGTGAACTTTTCCTTTACCGTCTCCAAAATAGCGCAGTTTTCAGCTGTCAAAATTGAAGTATGGACTTTCTCTGGAAAAATCTTTTGAGTTTGCAAGGCTTTCACTAGCATATCGGTGATTAAGGAACCCAGACTTCCCAGGTAGTTCTCCAAAGCAGTTAAAAGGCGAAGAACGTGGATCACGTTCGGAGGCTCCTCATCAACAGACATTTTCTCTGGACCCTTTACGGATTCCGGCTTACTAATACTAGGCTCGACAGTTGGTGTGGGCAAGTGAACGTGATACTTTTCGTTTTCTAACTCATCGTTGGTCATTGGCAAGCACAGCCTTTCGCGGCATTTGATCTTTATGTTTTCAATGTCTTGATTGTACAGCTCTTCGATACGAGCATTGAAGAAGTGAATCCATTCGTTTTGGAAGTTGTAAGTGCGGTGGTTGATGCCAGCCTGTATGAGCTCATCCTTGCGGCGCTTCCAGAACATTTGCCACTCGGTCTGATAACTCGGATGCTGCTCCGGGTCAGATTTGTATGAGTCAAAGGACACGTTCAGCTCGCGCACCTTGAGGTCGACCATGTGGCGGTAGGCCTGCCAGAGGTCACCATCTCGCAGGGGAGACACCGACCTGCGCTCCACGTTCCAGTGCCTTTTCTGGGCGTGTCTCTTCCTCTGTTCCGGCGAATTCGATCTCGAACGGTTTCGCTTTGGGTTTCGGGACTTCTGCACTTCTGCAATATTCTGTCTGTTATCCCTAAGGAAGTTTTCAACCATTCGCTTGTGCGTTTCGTCATCCACAGTCTGGGATGGATTTTTCGGAATCGCATTCCGGTAGCCCATATAATTATTAGCACCTTGAGCTGCGTACGGTGTAGGGTAATAGGGATTGGGATTCTCCATGTTCATCACGGGCAGTGCGTTGTTTCGAGCCTTTTCGATCAACTCATCCACTTCTCTGGCGTCAACGACATGCGTGAACGAGGGTCCCATCTTCTCGGATGAGTGCTTTCTATTGTACACCTCGGAGAACAGAGCCTGGCGATCCTTGGCATACACATGCTCGTAGCAAAGATGTGAAGTTTTGCGACCGTGATGGGTTTCAATGGCCGTTGCAAGCTTATCAAAAACGGGCATCATTATCTTGCAGACTTCGCCCTCTGGCACATTGGACACATACTGACGATACTGACGCATTGCAGTCGGAAAGTGCTTGTCGAAATACTTTAGACGATGGTTGTAGCCGAGCAAATGGTTGTGCATCGACTGTTCGTCGGCAGTGATCTCACATAGGCAACACTGATATCTGGGATTTCTATCGGACAGATTCCTTACTATCTTCAAAACGTACTCGACTCCCACGAGACCCATTACATGGTTTAGATTGCGGGACTCAAAGGTCTCGCCAGGAACTCTAGCTGGTGGGTGGTAGTCCTTAGGAGCACCGTAGGAAGGTGTAATTGTTTTATTGACATTGGGGCGGCTAGGAGGCGCAACAGTTTTAGTTGGCTTTTTGGGTACGTTCGAGTTAATTGGTTTTGTTGTTGTTTGGATTGGTATGGGGTTTATTGCGGGTTCCGGTTGCTTGTCTACCTCTTTGGGCGGCTCTTTTGGCGGTTCGTCAATAATTATGACATCGGCTTCCGCTTCAGGCTCCGGAGTCGGGCTGATCAACTTTGCAAGCGGAACACATGTAATTTTGGTTGCAAGTGGATTCTTGACTATATCTGGGTTACTCGCTTTATCGCGGTTCATCTCCGTGTTATTGGCTTTTGCGTTCGGCAAAGATTTGTTAGCTTGTGGCTTAGTTTGGGGCTGTGATTGAGTTGGAGGTTGTTGTTGCTTTGGAGGCTGTGTTTGATTTGGAGTTTGAGGTGGTGCTTGCTTCGGCGTTTGTGTTTGAGGCTGCACTTTCGGTAAGGGCTGAGAGTTTGGCACAGGTTTAGCAATAGGTTTAGCCGCAGGTTTAGGACCAGGTTTACCCACAGGCTTGGCTGCAGGAGTAGCGTTGGTTGCAGTTGTTTTGGGAACAGGACTTCCTGAATTCTTTACAATGTTCGCCGGACCCGTTGAGCTTGGTGTTGCAGCCTGCGGGCCTTTTTTAATAACCGGATTCTTCGGACTGGCCGCGACCCCAACGGGTTTCTTTACTTGATTATTTCCCAAGTTTGGGTTGGGTTTTTTCTGAGTGTTTGCTGCTCCAAGAACGGGAATAGTCTTTTGGATCGGCTGTTTATTTCCTGACATATTCTTTTGGGTAGGTGGATTAGATCTTGGAATATTTTTCTGGATGGCTTGAGGGGTTTCTGGAATAGTTTTTTGACTAGGTGTATTATTTCCTGTTAAATTTTTTTGAACTGTTTTATTATTACCAGGGATATTGCTTTCCTTTTTCTGTGCGTTTACACCAATAGTCGGACTATTTATTTGAAGACCTTTTGCTTTCAACACGGAGTAGTTTTCACCTTCTTGCTTGACAGCAGCATTTGATAAATTATTTTTATTGGCAGCTACGCCAGCTTTGACAACTGGAGCAGGGCTGCCTTTGTTATTATTCACATTGGTGTTCGGTCCCTTTTTAATGGGTCCGGGAACTGATTTTTGTGGTCCTTCACTGGGCTTCATTCTTATTTGCAGTTTTTGTTCAGCGTTCATTGCAGAGCTATGTTTCTTACCACTTAAATGGCTAAACAAATTCTTGTCGCCGAACTGGACAACACGGCAAATGTTACAGTGGTACTTCCAAAGTGGATTTGTTGGTGTTATTAACAATTCCCATTTTTTTGTTGGATTCAAACGAAACTCAAACCCTAAAATTTCTTCCAATGATACTGTTGACAACATCTCTAGAAATTGTTTCCCATTCATGGGTGTGATTTGCATGTTTTTGGTATCCATTTTGTGTTTGAAATACCTTTAAACATTAAAATTCATGTGGCTCGCAGAAAAGTTACTTTTTACTTCGGTTTGATTTGGAGAATCAACCGATACAAATTTTATATTGGTTTTGATTTCAGATATTGAGATGCTATAAAATTGAAGGAAAAAATGATTTTATATAAAGTTTAAAACAAGTAATTACCAAAATTACTCTTAAAATACTATGCATTTTTATTATTATTCTACAATTCGCAGCTAATACTAAATATCTTAAATTTAAGGAAACAGTATTGAAAATAACTCCGAATTCATAACGTCGTCAATTAGTAAATTGGAAATACTAGTTTGCCAGAAAAAATTATTCACAAGGATGAAAAGGTTGTGGATTCCAAGATGAAAATTTTCATTTCCACAACGTTTTTGAAGCAGGATTTAGGGCCAGTGCATTTAAACTATGAGCTAGCAATAGCGCACCAAACCATGGACTTTTGTATTTACTGGAGCACAACAAGATCAGAGTCGTGATGATGTTATGAAAAGCATTGGACCTAATTGAAGCATTCTATTCACAAAGCGGGATATTTGGGTCCACCAAGCCGGGGTACAGTGAACATACTCACATCTTGTCAGATGTTTTCAATTTAGTTACACTTCTTGGTCGTAATCTCGGAACTTTGAAGAGAGTCTGTTTTGTAAAGAAGATTTGTAACAGTTTAAACGTATCTTTAAGAGGAGGGGCTTATGAAACATAGATATTTTTAGTTATTTGACACCCAATATTTTTTTTGGGGAAAATAAGAGCTGCGTTTCAATTGTAAATAGCATTTAACATTAAACAACATTGTAAATGCAATACAAATTACGAAGTGTTTTAAACAGTACATTATATTAAGACCTACACTAAGTTTAAAAAAGTATTTTTTTTTTTAATATATGGAATTTATTCACGATCTTGTGCAGTTAGGAATATAAAGACCGCAGTTAAATGTACTGATTGGCATGTTTTATTAATAATAAGGACGTTCTAGTTGGAGTTCTACTTTCAATCGACAAGAGAGAATTTCAGAGCTATAGAGCAGCCAAAAATAAATGCTGTCAATGTTGCAAAACAATCCTTAATAACTCAGCTTATACACACAGAAAATCAGCTGAGGATTGAAATTGCCGACACTGCGACATTTGCAGAACTTTTTCACCACTTTTTTTTCTGCTGGTTGAACGGATAAACACATATATGTAGTTACAATACTAGCAATTCTTTCCTTTATTTTATTTTTTACACTATTTGTAAAAAAGAAAATAAAGTAAAGTGTATACAATCACTTGTTTCTAATATTTTGGAGATACGGCATTTTTGATACCAACCCGTTGAGGGTGTAAAAATAACAGTTTGGGCCAGACATCATTACATGTGAGTAAGGGAAGAACCACCCCAAAAAAATAGTCTGATAGCAATGAAAAGCCGACATATGCATAAAAGCAAAGGGAGCCCCGTTACCTGACCCGATTATAATAATATAGTCGATTTCTATGCGACAGGAATCCGAAAAAGGTAAAGAAAAAAGTTGTCAAAAAATGACATCACGATATTTTCACCAAGTTTTTTAAGCAATTTGTTATTTCTTGCTGAAAACTTTTTGGGGTGAAATATTGTTTTAGGTGGCATTTGCTGCAAAGGGCAGTTCCGCGCAATTGATGGGGTCAAGGTAAATCCACACAGGAAACCGTAAAACCCCATGCTCCAAAAAATGAAATAAAAAAAAAAAAAAAACTGCATGTAGCAGTCAGGCGAAGGGTATTGATTTTTTGTTTATGCATGTCCCGCGTTCACATGAGGAAACCAACTCGAACACGCACTTAGACATAGCCTTACGAATTAATTATATTTATCGGAAGTAATTGTATTATCTTATTTTGGACTCACCGGCGCTGCTAGAACTTCAGAATACTTGGGGCCCGTAGATTATTGGGTGCTCGAGATCCCTCTCCTCCTCCTTCTTCGCTTTGGATTTCTTTTACTCGTCTCACGCGGCTCTATTTCTCTCACACATACGCAAATGCCAAAATTCACGCAGGAATTTACGGTTACAAGAATAATTTGCGGTTACTTGAATTTATTACTTGCATCAGACCGAAGAGGACAGAGAATTTCGATGGCAACGCATCAAAGAAACAAATGTCACATTTGTCTCTACAGGCCCAAAAGTTATTCTCGGTTCGGCGATGGGCCGACTGCGATACGTTTGTTCCGTTTTGGCCCCTCGACCGAACTATCGGGTCTAGTGGGGCTGTAATTCCTATTATCGATTAATAAGTTCTAACTACTTAAACTTTTAACTAAAAAATGTATTTATTATAAATTCTTTTTAATTATTTCGGCTTAAGCTTCTCCCATTTTTATAGTTTTTGTTTTAGCATACAATAAATTGTTGGTATCTACTATCGATAATAATACCTTCAATTATTAATTTGGTATTTATCGGTATCATAGTAAAACGTAGGAACGACACAGAAATTTTAATTCCCACAATTATTATATCGTAAGCATAGTTTTTACGTACCAAAGCAACAGTAAGTTTTTATGTCAGCAATATTTTTAAAATGTATCGATTACATCATATATCTATCGGTATAAGCGCCAAAAGAACATCGATGTTTCTCCCTTCACTTTCGTTTCCGGCGAGGTGCGTAATTTGCTCCGCGTTTTCGCAATTTTAACCGATTATCACTCCAACTAAGCAGCCGTTGGGCCATGTGCCAATAAGTTGACAGCAATAAGTTGCAACCGAAACCAAAGTAATCCCAAATCTGGTTTGCTTTTAATCCATAGACATTTTAAATCATGGACAATTCTGGAAATAACCGCTATGAGCTGTTGTTCATGGACGACGATGACTCCTCAGCGCCAGTAAAGACACAGATTCCCGCCGTAGTCGCGCCGGCCAAGAAGGCGGAGGCGGCTCCAAAGGCCCCGAAGAGCAAGCCGGAGAAGGAGAACAAGCCGGTAGCGTCGGCCCGCAAGGCGAACAATCCGGCGGCAAAGAATGCAAGCCCCGTGAAGGGCGGAAAAGTGCCGGCTGGCGGGGAATCTGGTCGCACTAGGAATCCGGCCGCAAACGGGGCAAACAACCAAGGCAGGTTCAACAACAACAACAATCAGCGCTACGGAAACAAGGAATCAACTGGGGAATTTGGCAACGAGCTGCCGCAGCGCCATTTCAATAATCGTGATAACAGGGGTCCACCACGCGCCCGCACCGGCGAGAAATTCGGAAAGCGGGAGTTCGATCGCCAGTCTGGATCCGATAAAACCGGTAATTACCACTAGACTTTGGTTCTTTGTTCTCGTGTTTATTGTAGAAATGGCTAAAAAAAAGTCATGGTTTTCTTGAAGTTTCCTTTGATAACCTGTAATGGCGGCATGCTGCAAAACAGATAGAGAGCCGAACCCTTGGCAACAAGATTACATATCGCTTACTACAGCACTTAGGTCTCACGTGATTTTCAAGTTTAGAAACAGAAATATTCTCAAAATGATTTGTTAAATTTGCTTGGATAAGTTATATAAAAAAAATTTTTTAAAAGTGTTTGTAAATATGTAATTCTATTGTAGAGTTTCAAGCCTTATCTCTTTTTATGCTCTTTAATTGACTAAGCGATGTATTATATAGGCATATTCCCTTTGCACTTGAACTCAAGGTTGAACGCATATAATAATCAAGAGTCAGTAGTAAAAAGAGATTTTTAACAATTTGGTAAGCAACAAGAATTTATATTCTCCGTGTATATCTTTAAAAATCCCAATTCTTTCTACCTATAAATATTCAGTTGACAATTTTTTAATCTTTACCCTATATATAACAGGTGTCAAGTCAATTGATAAGCGCGAAGGCGGTGGTGCCCACAACTGGGGCTCGCCAAAGCAGGACATCGAGGACCTGAAGACCGGGGAGTCGTCACCGCAGGCGGAAAAAGAGGACTCTGCGAACGAGCAGTCGGCCGATCCCGCAGCCATCGCCGAGGAGGACGAGTCCAAGCAGATGACCCTCGACGAGTGGAAGGCCCTGAGGGAGCAGCGTGCCAAGCCCAACTGGAACTTGCGCAAGGCCGGCGAAGGAGCCGTCGACAACGCCGAGTGGAAGAAGATGATCGTTCTGAGCAAGAAGAAGGAGAGCAACAGCGAGGACGAGCTGGAGTACGATCCTTCGCTGTATCCTCAGCGAGTGGGCCGCCTGCAGCGCATCGTGGACATCCAGTTTAACTTCAATGACGGACGTAAGGGTGGATTCCGCAAGGGACCTCGTCCAGGAGCCGGTCCTCGTGGCGAAGGATTCCGCGGAGAGGGTGGCTACCGTAACGATGGTCCTCGCGGAGAGGGTGGCTATCGCAACGATGGTCCTCGCGGGGAGGGTGGCTATCGCAACGATGCTCCTCGCGGAGAGGGCAACCGCAATGAGGGACCCCGTGGAGAAGGTGGCTACCGCAACGACGGACCGCGCGGTGAGGGCTTCCGTGGTCAGCGCTTCAACAACGGTGCCAGCAACGGTTACGAGAACAGACAGGAGAACAACAACAGATTCGGCGGGGAGAAACGACGCTCCACCCAGAAGCCCCTGAAGGTCGACGATGAAGCTCAATTCCCCACTCTGTGCTAGGGAGCAGAGGACAACAATAAGGTTTAACAATTTCACGTATTACATTATTAGTAAGCAGCTCCTTCGGTTAACGAATAACCATTAGATTTTCGGGCGCAATCTATGAAGCTTGACGACCGATTAACAAACGAAAACAAATCAGCCACGCTTATCCATATTCCTTAGTTGTAAACAAAAATTTTTGAATTTTTTCACTCTCATCATTTACGCATTTAAAATAACTATTACAAATAGTTGGAATGTTGAAATAAATTTACATCATTTATAAACCAAGGAATTATAATTTGGAAATCATTTATTGTAAAAATATGGCTTGATTATTCGTTAACTTGGCTGCCATCCTTTAGCTTTTGAATGAACACACTCAGTTCATGGGCAGAATAGGATTTCTTTTTCACCCTTTTTGGTGGCGGGGGCTCCAAAGCAGACGGCTCAAGATTTGTCTGGAAATAAAATTAATATTTATAGAAAAGAAACACCAATTAAAATGTTTCGGCACATACAAAGTGTCGGTACTCTGGGGAAATGGACTCCAACTGCAGCATTCTGTTTTCCACCTTTTTGATTCTACTAAAAATGTTTTCTTCATTATCGGTGGTCAAGCCCATGTATGATTCAATTGCTTGCAGACGTGAATTGGGCAGCGATTTTCTCATTTCTTTGGATGGGTCAGTTAGGCCGTCACGCGATCCCATTAGCTTATTCAGTTCAAGTTCGTAGTTGGGCCGCAACTCCATTTGCTGAGGCCCGCAGCGATTGTTTACCCGTCGCACTATGATAAGTTGTTTGTAGAATAAAGTGGCTATAATAACAACGGGTTGGCCTACCTTTTAAATGGCAATTTGACTGCTCCTGCTTTATAATCGTGCTCTGCGTTCGAGCGCAGGAATCGCTTTGGTCTTTGTCTGAGTCAACAAAAGGTGATTTGAAGTCAATTACATTTTGTGAGTTGATTTCGGCTCGCTTTCTGTTGACAAAACATTCGAGACGCTTGGATAACTCGGCGTCATTAACTCTAATTTGCACCAGACTTCGTGGGACGTCATGTGACTCCTCCACTTTGCAGGGACAAGCTGCGTAATTAAAGGCACTGAGAGACTTCTCTGCAATGTACATGCACATAGAAAAAACGAATAGATTTCTCAATGCTCAGTTGTTAATTGTATTTACAAGTGTACAAAATAAGAATACATGTCATGGTATTTATACGATCTTACTGGGCCTGAAGGACTCCTTGTTTTCCTTCCACTCGCTGATGTGATCACCCTCGTATATCTCCTTTTTCCAGATGGGAACACGGGATTTAAGTTGGTCTATTGCAAACGATACTGATTCTAAGGCCTCTGATCGATGAGGCGATGAAGTGGCTATAACTACACTGGCCTCGCAAACAGGCACTGTTCCTAATCGGTGATATATAACTATGTGCTTTAGTTCAGGCCATTTAGATCGAAGATCTGAGCATATTTTGTTCATTTCCTTAAGGGCCATGTTATCATAGGCCTCGTATGCCAATGACACCACCTGGAAGGTTAAAAAGTACGCATTGATGATTCTAATTGATTGTGATAGCGAACACACCTTTTTCCCCTGAAAATTATCTCGAGTGGTGCCCACAAAAACCGATGCGGCACCACATCCTTCATCAGCTAGCAATCGGTGGATATGGGCGATGTCAATTGGATCCTCAACCAGTTTTACATGATCCATGGTGAAATACTTATCCTCCACTTAGTGGTGGTATAACGGCCAACTCGTCCCCTTCTTTAAACTGTATCCTATCACTTAGGTTCTCAATGTACGATTCGTTGTGGGCCAAGATCAAGTTATCCCGAATGGATGTCAGTCCGAACTTGGACACCAATTGTTCTAGTAGATCAGAAGCAATTATTTCCGCAGGCACATCCACTTTCGATCGGGGAGTTTTGGCTAACTCTCGGGATTGGGCAAAAAACAGCACGTGCACATTGACAACAGGTCCGTCTGTACTCATATTTACAAATGATGAAATTGGAGATGATATAGCCGCTTTCGATTAATTATGCTTGCGATAAGAAACAGCTGATTAATCGGTTGAATTGTAAATCATTAAAAAAGTTATTATTTTTGTATTATTAATAAGCAACTTCAAACGTTTTCCTCAGTACTTAAATGTTCCATTTTTTAAGTTTTTAATGTTGTCTGTGTTAAACCAAAAATCGATATATTTCGCTTAAGCTCCGACCATCCCTAATTACACCGATATTAAATTTCGCAAGGGAGTAAAATTTGTTTTTATTCGGTTCTGTTTTTCGGTTTTTGCTTATCTGTCATTGATAGCGAACCTGAGAATATTTAATGATAGATAAGTTCGTTAATTATATCCATTTTCCTTCGTTCTCCGTGTTGACATCGTCAACATTCGATTTGGAACCATGAAGACACGTTTCAATACTTTTGATATAATCTGCGGAGTGGCCGAACTGCAAAAGTACGTAAAGGATTCTATTTCACGGACTGGGAAATAATGGCAGTGATTTTTCCAATTCCAGGTTGGTGGGCTGGCGAGTGAATCAGATCTATGACGTGGATAACAAGACCTACCTTTTCCGGATGCAAGGTACCGGTGCTGTGGAAAAGGTCACTCTACTGTTGGAATCCGGCACCCGATTCCACACAACCCGGTTCGAATGGCCGAAGAATATGGCTCCGTCGGGTTTTAGCATGAAGCTGAGGAAGCACTTGAAGAACAAGCGACTGGAGAATATCCAACAATTGGGTGGAGATCGTATTGTGGACTTCCAGTTTGGTACCGGCGATGCCGCCTACCATGTAATTTTGGAGCTCTACGATCGCGGTAATGTTATTTTAACCGATTATGAGTTGACCACTCTGTATATTCTGCGTCCTCATACGGAGGGCGAGAACCTGCGCTTCGCCATGCGTGAAAAATATCCTGTGGAAAGAGCAAAGCCGGCTACTGAGGAACTGCAGCCGGAGGCTCTAGAGAAACTCCTAGAAAATGCCAAGAACGGCGATTACTTGCGACAGATCCTGACGCCCAACTTGGACTGTGGTCCGGCAGTTATTGAGCACATACTCGTCTCTTACGGCCTGGATAATCATGTTATTAAGAAGGAAGGGGCGGAAGAAACTCCTGAAGCAGAAGAAAAAGCGGAAAAGGGCGGTAAAAAACAACGTAAAAAGCAGCAAAGTGCTAAACTAGAACAGAAGCCATTTGATATGGTTAATGATCTGCCCACTCTTAAGCAGGCTGTAAAGGTTAGGAAAAATCCATATTTGTTAAAAAACAATATAATTCAAGTTTTAATCTTTTAGTGCGCTCAAGACCTAATAAGCGAGGGAAAAAGCGGAAAGACTAAAGGCTACATCATTCAGGTTAAGGAAGAGAAGCCTGCGGAAAATGACAAAGTGGAATTCTTCTTCAGAAACATCGAATTTCATCCTTACCTATTTGTTCAATTCAAAGACTTTGAGAAGGCCACCTTCGAGTCCTTTATGGAAGCTGTTGATGAATTTTACTCTACGCAGGAATCGCAAAAGATTGACATGAAAACTCTGCATCAGGAGCGCGAAGCCCTAAAAAAACTGTCCAATGTTAAAAACGACCACGCCAAGCGTTTGGAGGAGTTAACCAAAGTCCAGGATGTGGACAGAAAAAAGGCAGAGCTTATTACGTCCAATCAAAGTCTTGTGGACAACGCCATTCGAGCTGTTCAGTCAGCAATTGCCAGTCAGTTATCCTGGCCCGATATCCACGAGCTGGTGAAGGAAGCCCAGGCAAATGGTGATGTCGTTGCTAGTTCAATCAAACAGCTGAAACTGGAGACGAACCATATATCTTTAATGCTCAGTGATCCTTATGATAACTATGAAGACGAAGACCTTAAGACACCCGAGGTGACCGTTGTGGATGTTGATTTGGCTCTGTCTGCTTGGGCGAATGCTCGCCGCTATTATGATATGAAACGTTCGGCTGCTCAAAAAGAAAAGAAAACTGTGGATGCCTCCCAAAAGGCTCTGAAATCTGCGGAGCGAAAGACGCAACAAACGCTCAAGGAAGTAAGGACCATTTCAAACATTGTGAAGGCACGCAAAGTTTTCTGGTTCGAAAAGTTTTACTGGTTTATTAGTTCAGAGAATTATTTGGTTATTGGAGGAAGAGATGCTCAGCAAAACGAACTTATTGTTAAAAGGTTAGATTGTCCATTAAAGTGTTTTAAATGTTTTATAATAATGTATCTTTTTTCAGATATATGCGTCCGAAAGACATTTATGTGCATGCCGAGATTCAAGGTGCTTCTAGTGTTATTATTCAGAATCCCACTGGAGAAGATATACCTCCTAAAACGCTGCTGGAAGCGGGATCTATGGCTATATCCTACAGTGTGGCCTGGGATGCCAAGGTGGTAACCAATTCATATTGGGTGACAAGCGACCAAGTCAGCAAAACCGCACCAACTGGAGAGTATTTGGCCACTGGTAGCTTTATGATTCGAGGAAAGAAGAACTTCCTACCTTCCTGCCACCTTACCATGGGATTAAGTTTACTTTTCAAGTTGGAGGACAGTTTTATAGAGCGCCATTTGGGAGAGCGTAAGGTTAGAAACCTAGACGATGATCCTATTGAGCAAAGTGTAAAAGAAACCGAAGTTGAACATGACCTTTTGTCCGAACCAAGTGAAGATAGTGAAACAATTCCCGCTGCTAATGTATCGGAACCAAGTTCCACTACTGAGATAACTGCTTTCCCGAATACGGAAGTAAAAATTGAACATGATACCGGTCGCATAACGGTTCGATCTGACTCTATAAACCCGGAAAACGAAGAGACTGAAGAGAATGAAGTTGTTGTCGATAAAATCCCAAGTAAAGCCGTGGATGAGGAAACAACCATTATTTTGGCTGGTCCAAGTCGCAAAAAGCAAGTGAGTGCTAAAAAGTCTAAAGAAGACAAAGCACGAGCCGCAAAACAAGAAGCTGCCAAACAGGAAGTTACTCCTGTTGATACAGAGCCCAAAAATACGTCGCAGGTGAAGAGAGGTCAGAAGGGAAAACTAAAGAAAATTAAGCAAAAATACAAGGATCAAGATGACGAGGAACGGGAAATACGTATGATGATACTGAAGTCTTCTGGCAAGGAGAAACCTCAGGCAAACACTGATAATGTGGTGGAGAAGAGTGTGGCGATTAAGGAGCATGTGAAGCCAGAACGAAATGCAGCTCCCAAAAATCCAGTGGAACTGGATGATGCCGACGAAGTTCCCACAGGTGGGGATGTGGATATACTCAACAGTTTGACTGGGCAGCCGTTGGAAGGAGATGAGCTTCTGTTCGCGATTCCTGTAGTGGCTCCCTATCAAGCTCTACAAAACTACAAGTGAGTTCTAATCGATTCGCTTATAAGTTTGTGTTTGAATATTTGTAATATTTCCTATATTTGAATTAGGTATAAAGTAAAGCTTACGCCAGGAACCGGCAAAAGAGGAAAGGCTGCGAAACTAGCCCTTAACATATTTGCCAAGGAAAAGGGCTGCACTACTCGGGAGAAGGACTTACTGAAAAGTATAAAGGAGGAGTCGCTGGCAAGAAATATACCAGGAAAGGTCAAGCTATCAGCCCCACAGCTTCAAAAGTACCACAAATAAATAAAATGTATACAAAATGTTGCGCCATAATTATAAGAAGTGTTTTAAATGCTTTAAAAAAGTGCTAGTTGAATGAATAAAAGAGAATGTATACAGAACTTGGATATCTGTGCTGACCGAGTTATGGGTATATTTTGGGCTCTTATCAAACAGCGGTGGATATTGATTTTGGTAACGGTTGAAACTGGGGGGTTATCGATAGTCTTGTTGCTGGGCAAAATTCAAGCATAGATTTTGGGGCGCATGCGCCTCATATGGAGCCCGAGTTTGCATGTGTTTGTTTACTTCGGTTGGCTGTGTTCAAAAGTGGTGTTGTATAAGTAGATATTTTGGTGCTAAGTCGCCTGTTTTGGCATTTTGTGTACTAAAAAGTTCGCGAACTTCTCGTCATCGTTCGATACATTAGTCGCTCAAGTAAAAAATCCACATTCACAATGCCAAACACAGAAATGAAAAAATAAAGCCAGCCAAAGCCCGATGAAAAAGCAAACAAGCCCGAAGCTCACAAATCACGGAGCCCCCGCAACAAAAGACAATACAGCGGAAAATGTATCTTTCGAGCGAAGTCCGTGTAACACATTTTTTCAAAGCCATCCGTTCATGTGCATTAGATGATTTTCCAACTATGTAGATACATTAATTCAGTTTCGGAGTGCTTCCCAACGAAAAGAAACCGTTTGAAAGGAATAAAATTAATTTGAAGAGGCGATGGTTCGGTGAAAAACTATGGCCTTCAAAGTCCCACCCAGTTAGAAGGATATGTGCGTGTGTGTCTGTAAGTGTGTGTATGCATACATATGAAGGCATGTATTGATTAAGAACGGAGGACTTTTTTTCCAGCCATGTGAAAGAAATTAACATATACTGTTTACGTGCCTCCAATTATAAAATAAAAGTTATGCCCGTGCTGACATACTTCCATGCAATAGAATTAGCATCACGTACATAAAAGTACACCTACATATATCCGTACGTACAGATGTTCGTGTAGGTATGTATGTGTGGACATGTGTGTATACAGCATACCCTCTATTGCACCTGCTCGAAAATTGAAATATCAGAGCTAATCGTCCTTTTCTAAATAAAAGTGAACTCTAATATATGATTATAGCTTTGGAAATATTAAAAGATTATTGTTTGTGCTGTTCTTTTATAAGATTTAAGATGCAAGTGACAAAAAAAATAAACTTACTGACTCGAAGTCTCTCAGCTGTTTTTGATTGCTTTATGGGTTATATTAAACAGAAACCAATCTAACCATGGCTTACTTGTTTTAAAATTGCAGAAAGCCAAAAAGAAGCAAAAGGGTTTGTTAATCATGGGATCTTGTGAGCCAATCACAACTGCCAGATAAAATGAGGGTTATCCTGATTGCTCAAGCGAACCCCAAAAAGGCGTTGACAGTAATTAATCATATTTGTTAGCAGCAGATCCACTAATAAAAACGGTAAGATAATAATAATAAAAAAATATTTTTATAAGAATTGAAAAATAATTCTTCAATGCGAACTTGCTTTTGTTGCTATAGGCAGTTTTTAAAACTAGATTATTTTTCTTATTTTGTTGAAGAATATGGAGCCAAATCATTATTACTGCCGAGGTGCCATGCAGCAAACCTCCTCGACGCCGATTCCACAACACTCGTCGAACAAACTCAGCTATGGAATGAATGCGGGGCAGGAATATGTGGCATGCAATTCCGGGCAACCGCAACCGGGTTACAACTCGAAGGATTTAGTGCCGCGCAATGGGAACAATAAGTCGCTCGGTGGGAACAGCAACATGGGGAGTCCGTACGGAGGATCTGTCTGCAGCAACAGTGGCCAATGCAGCAAGAATACTGCCAACGCTGGGAACTATATCAACATAATGACCGTTCCACTGGGAACTTTGCAGTATAATCGAAAAAAGCTATCTACTCAAGACTACGAGTGAGTGGAATAAGATTTAACTGAATATTTATTTGTATTTACTTGTGATCAACTCTACTTTCAGATCGCATTTATATTACAACACCACGGATGTCAAGTGTCGCGATGATTACTATATAGCCAATAATGCGGCAGGAGCAATGCCGCAACACCAAACCCAACAGCAGCACTTGCACCAGCAGCAACATCAACAACAGCAGCAACTCCAACAACACCAACAACACCAGCAACATCAGCAACACCAGCAACACCAGCAACATCAGCAACATCAGCAACATCAGCAGCATCAGCAGCACCAGCAACACCAACAACATCAGCAACACCAGCAACATCTACACCAACAACAGCAACAGGCCAACTTTCTCCACATCCAGCAGTCCCTTCAGCATAATCACCAGTTGAACCATCCCGAACCCATCCATCAGTTGCCGCAATTACAGAGCTCGGTGGCCGATCCGCCAGATGCCTTCGACAACTGTGCGATCTTCCCGAGCGCCGGAGGCAGTGGCTCCGGAAGTGGTCGGGTGGCGGCCACCCAGACCCATCAGAACAGCTCCAATGTGGTCACGTGTGACCAGCAGCAGGTGCCCGTCTCCTTGGGCTCCGTCAACATGCCCGTTCCCCCGATCATGTACACCGTGCACCGGGTGGTGACCACGGCCCAGATCCAAACGGCGGTGGGCAGCACCTTCGCCTCCTCGGCCAGCGTTTCCAGTGTGGTCAGCACGGGTCAGAACGAGGGTGACTGCCTGTCGCCGGCTCAGGTGTCCTCCGCCATGAACGCCACCGGGAATACTCCCTGTCTGACCGGAATCTCCGACCTGGGCGCCAATATGATGAATAACGCAAGTGCACTTTGTCCCCTTTCCGACTTGAGAAGTCCCAACGGTAAGAACTTAAATAAATTTTTATTTTGCAATTAAAATCTGTTATGATGATATTTTTCAACCTGAAAAGCTATAAATTTATATTCTTTATATTAAATACAATTTATTATTTATTTTTTAGGAGTGCTTCCCAATTCCCAATTCATGCCACAACATCACAAGTGCAACAATGGCAATGATGCCCAGGCCAATCCTGCAATCCAAAAACGGATAATGGCCACAAGCTCAACTTCGAATTTCGCAAATGCTGGGAAAGCTGCTTCCAATCTTACCCGAGCTCTCCAAAACGTAATTTAATACCCTATTGGATTCCTAATATTTTTAAGGAACGATTTAATCTTTCAATTACCAGGTTATCCCCACTTGCGTATATCTTATGTCTCGGGTGGCTGTTCACATGGAGATCGAGGGCACTGCCCAGTGTCCTTCGCAGGTGATGTTGGCAGCTGCCTTGGGTTGCGAGGAGCTGGGAATATCCAACAAATTGCTGGCACAGAGTGTCTTTGGCTTGTGGATGACGAGTGCTCTGCTGGAGATGCAGCTGAAGGCCCATCACTGCCCCTATATTGTGCGAGTCGCGTGGCCCAGTTTGCTCCAGAAGTTCAGCAACAGCAGTCCAAGTGATCGGAAGTTTGACGAGCCCATGATAGTATTGAAAAGAAATGTTTTCTTCTCCAAACGAGACGAGGAAAAGATAAAGTAATTTTGTAGTTAAATATTAACTTATTAAGAAAAATTACATGAAATTATTTTGAATGGTTTTAGGGATCATCGAATCTTGGAACTCCTTTATGAAGAGGCCAGAAATAATGTGCTGACAGGGAGATATATAATGGAGCCAGTACATTCTCTAATGTTGGGTGGAATTCAGGCTCGAATCGAACTGGGACCTTATAATTCCCACACCCATACAATAGGATTCTTTCGGTAAATTAATTAATTTAATTTATTTAAAAATGTATTATAAATACTTAATTAAAATGATTTTATATAATTTAGGGAAAACCAAGCTAGATTTTTGCCACCTCACGTTGCCAAGAGTTCGACTTGGTTGTGGCTACCTATAAGCCAAAAGAATTCTGCGGAGGTCAAACTTTTGGAACAGTTTAAACGGGTTCCCCAAACAGCCACCACCAGGAAATTGATGAGGAAATATCTGGAATTCTGCTGGGCACTACCATTCTATGGGTAAGTTATCTGAAATAACAGCTTGAACTGGCTGCTGATATTTATGCATTTTATCCCATAGTGCGGCTTATTTCCATGGCCAAATAGAACAACCTGTTAGGGGAATTATGGCACTGGTCAACCAAAAGGATATGGAGGTTTTAGTTGCAGTAAATGAAAGGGGAGTTTTTGTAATAGATCCGTACGAATGTGTAAGTACTTCAGTTTTAAACACTCCCTAAAATCACTTACATCAAAATAACAAAATAAATATTTTCTAGACCCTCTTGCTGGGATTGCGATACGAGGATTTGTCCTGGGATTATGCAAAGCCAAGTGCCAGTGATGATCCCGAATGCCTCACTTGTATATTTCTGCAGGTACTTTGCCATTTCCCTCTAATAAAAACAAATATATAGATTTATTTGTCTTGCAGTTTGATGCTGTCGAGAACGGCATACAAGTATCAAAACTTATGCAAATATTTTCCAAGCAAGCTGCCATGATAGACGCACTTATATCACATTTTACGGATCAAATAAGGAACAAGAAACAAGAGGGTAACACACAAGAACCTTTTCACGATGGTAGGTTATTTTATAGAATTTTATTGAAAATGTGTAACTATGTGAATTCCTTTTTCAGAGCCAAATCCTATTCAAAATAATGGAAATGGAGTGTTATGCAATAAGCTGTCTCGATTGACTTTGGCCACCTTCGACGAAGAGGGAGGTCGCTGCATTGGGCAAATGGGATCATTATCTATAAGCTATTAACATTTGTTACTAACGATAAACTAAATTTAAGTTAAGGGGTGTTAAATAAAAATTCACGCATATATTCACGATTGTTGATAAATTCCCATAAATATAATCACAGTAAATTTTTAGCAAATGGAATCTACATATTCACAGTCATCTACAAAATGCATTCCACTACTTTTAGTTGTTTTCTAATTTTACTCAAACGCAATATCATTGGTTATTTCTTGAATAATTTTTAGAGTTAGATTAAACTAAAGATTGTTTTTGCTAAATGCACTTGAGTGACCCCGAAAGTTAAAATTCGCACCCAATTTATATTTATTTCCCTGCTCAAGACCCCATTGGTTTCTAAAGAAATGCATGAATATTGTATCTTGATTGTTGACATTTATTACCTTTCACGATTTAAGAGCCACTCACAATTGTTCGGATTCAATGGTAATTACAAAATAATGCCCCCAAAAAGTTATCTCATTTTATTTACCTTTAAGGTAAGGCATGTAGTATATGTTAAGATATATACATATATGGGTATGTGCATTTGACGTATGCGTTCAGAATTAGTTTAATAAGCCTTCGACTGAAACAAATTATGTATATAATAACAATAAAGTGTATGTACAAAATGTAAGGGCGAACTGCCAACATAGGTTATGTATATATTTAAATTTGTATGTATGTATAAATTGAGACTTAAAATAAATACCGTTTCCTCATATTTATACAGCAAGTACTAAAAAAATTAAAAACCTTTGGGTTTCGTGTTAAAAATTGCACTAACTATTCAATTAAGATTTGAATCATTTATTTTATCGTGCTATGATTTAAAAAACATTTTATTTTAATAATTTATTAAACCCACAAAGCCTTTATTACAATAATAGTAACTCAATCCGCTTGCAAAATTTCAGTTACATATTGTTTCTGTCATTTTAGGTTTTCTAACAAATCAATAGATTTAATTTTTAAACTTAAATAACAATTAAATAAAAAATAAAATATAATTATAGTTATAATACACAGCTACACGGAAATTAATCAATACATGTAGGTGTAATCTAATAAATTATAGTTAATAGAAAATTTATTTAAATATGTGTAAATCAAACATAATACTAAAGGCTACTTACTTTCTAAAATGTGTCTTTTAATAACACAATAAAAAGTAATAAAAAATTACTCAAAAATGATTTTTATTTTATGGAAAATAATATTTTAATTTGAACTAAAAAGGGAAGTATTAGAAATGATATGAATATTTTGAAGCAATTGATTACTACGCGCCAAAAAGTAGGCAATTTTTTAGAGAAACATTAAACAATCTCCTCAGTTTTTTTATTAATACTAAAGGATTTTTTCGTCGTTTTCTGTGAGAACTATTTTGGTTATAAAGCAAGAGAAATTTAGATATTTTTATCTCGGAGAGAGCTTTCCTTACATTTCTTTTCGAAAGCTTTTATTTGTTTCTATAGTGTATCGTCGATCTTGTAAGCGAAAACTATAATAATAATGCAGATATTTAGCTTGAAAGTCGGAGTATGCCAATACTGCATAACATAATCTTGCACTAGTGCTGATTCCTGTGTCCGTGTTCCATGCTTTCATGCATACACTTTTAAAAAAATGTGTTACATCTTCAAAAATACTAAAAACCTACATACAGTAAGTGGACCCTTATAATAATTACCGTTTATTTTCGAATCATTTTTGGAAGGAAAACCTAAAAAATATGTATTAAAAATTAAAGACCCCAACATTAAATTTTGTTTAAATTTAAAAGTTCCATTTTCCTTGGTGTTTTTTTTGCAGTTTGAGTTTAGTCTAATAAAAACGTGAACGTGTACAAAAAATATGCAGATGGACAGTGAAAATAGTGCTGAGTGAAATTGTGTTATTCTTGAGATATTCGCGACCCAAAAGTGCAACCAGGTCCACATCCGTATCAGATCCGCTCACGCACATGCAAGAAGGCTGGCCAAGAACACACTCTCGCGCCAGAGAATGTTTATGGGAGGTAAATAACTGGTTTTTATATAAACACAACAGCAAACGAACACTTATGCACGGCCGGAGACAATTTGGAAATGTGCATCCACACCGAGAGCCATCCACACACACACGCACACACACAAACAGAGGTAAACCACGACGAGGGGACGCGGAAAGGATAACGAGCTCTCTGTGACCCGTTAAGAGAGTCACGAACCACGGTAGAATGAGTATACATCACGCAGAGAACGGCGACTTGGGAGAGAGCAGGCGCGAGCGGGACATGAGTAACAAGTTGTTGTGCTGGTGGTGGGTGGTGGTGAGAGAGGGAGAGAAGAGAGTGGCGCCTCGCCGTTCTCCATTGGCTGAAAAGGCCATACGTCGTTCTCTTCGCCGCAAAAGCATCGGCTCATCTCGGCGGTCGCCTTTCGTAATTTGCCTTCCGAATCCGCGGGCTCACCGTCACAGTCACATCCTTTTGCGAGTTCGAGTAGTGCACACCGGTGGTCGCATCCGCAGATCCGCGTCTCGAATCGAAACCGAAATCGCAATCGCATCGCAATCGCAATCGCTGCCGCTGAACAACCATGGATATCTCCGCCTACCAGCACATGAACATCCGGATGAGCACGCGTGGCAAGCGTCCTCTGCGGAACCTCACGCCCAACGATAAGGTGCGCGCCATACAGCGCATCCACAACGGCGAGACAAAGGCCAGTGTTTCGCGGGACATCGGAGTTCCGGAGTCCACGTTGCGGGGCTGGTGCAAAAATGAGCAGAAGCTGCGCTTCATGTGCCGCCAGCTGGGACCCGATCACCTGGGCCTGGACACTCCACCGGAAAAGCGCGGCAAGTTCGAGCTGCAACTCCAGCTGCCTCCGAAGTTCGTGGGACTGCCGCCCAACTACGAAGAGCTGGGCTTCGGAGCACTGCCCTACTCCCCCGGCGATTATCCTGTCCAGGGAGAGTCCCTTCTGGAGAAGCTAAGCCTAGTGGAATTTGTCAAGAAGAACGGCGGACTGCACCCGGAGGCAGTGCATCCCGGTCAGGCGGCGGGCGTGGTGGACTACTCCAACAACATGCTGCACCAGCTCAACCTGCTGGCCCTGCTCAACTCCAAGCTAACCCCCCAGACTGCCGAGGTCCTGCCGCTGGATGCCACCAAGTCGCCGGAGGACAACAAAGCGGTTGACTCGCCCGCGGCCTCAGAGGACTACAGCAAAAACAGCTATCCCCTGCTGAGTGTGAAGAACTGGGCCAAGGATCCGGCCAAGCGGGTGACTCCGGCCAACCAGGCGGAGCAGGTGAACGACAAGAACAATAATGCCCTGGAGGCAAACGGTTCGGCACAACCGATTCTGGCTGCGGAGCAGGCCAAGACTCCGATGTTTCCGGACTCCACAATGCCCCTACTGCCAGCTCCCTTCTCGAATCCGCATCCGCATCCGAATCCGAGTCCCGCGGACCTAGCGCCTGTGATAGCCCCCAATGGTGGCGCAAATGGTAGTGGTGCTCCTCCCACTGGAACCGACAACCAGGGAGCGGCGCTGCTCGACTGGTGCAAGCTCTTCAACGCCAGCCTGAACTTCCTGGCCTTCGCAGCAGCGGCAGCTTCCATGCAGCCCGGCGGTCAGCCCAACTACAATCCCGGCCAGCTGACAAACGGGGGATCGGAGCCGGATCTAGAGACATATCCTTTCGGGGAGGGACTGCTGAAGCGGATGAGTCCTCTGGCCCACAGCGAGGCCTCCAACGAGAGCTACTGCGACAGCGAGCCCGAGGACCTCTCCGTGCGATCCTGCGCCTCGAAGGCCTCCAGCAGATCGCACACCCCCGACAAGAGCATCGGATCCAGCGATGCCGAGTAGACAGGAGTAGATGGTAGATGAGTTCTAGTTCTTAGTTCCATAGTGTAAATACCTCCATTTTGATTGTTAATAGCCACCTTTAGTATTTATCGAACTCCACACGAATCACGAACCACGAATCATTTCGCAATGCAAATGCCATTTGTACTTATCAATTAACGTATTAATATCAATGCAACAGGTATTAATGGATCAGCTTACTATAGCTAGTATTAACTAGGAATATCGACTGTGTGACTCTTCTCGTTTGAAAGCCAAATTCAATTCATCTACACTTATAATAATAAAGATACTAATTGTGTTAAGTAGCTTAATTATTTGGCACGTTCGCCAGCCATTCCAATCGATTTGTTTTCGTACTGCTGTAATCTCCGTAACTCTTAATAAGCATATAAACTAATTACTAACGAAACGAATAAATATTTATTAACAAGAGAAAAATAAAATTTAAAGTGTCGATCTCTCAAGATTAAAAAATGACTCTGTTTATTTATTGGGTTTAAAAAGTGATTTATATAAACTGGGGTAATTTCCTACACTTGGAAAATCGGGAATAACTTCGGTTTCCTGTTTGCTGTGAAGATGCCAATTCATAGTTTTCTGAAATGAATTCAAAGAACATTAACGATTTGCTATGGTCTTTTAAATATTTAAATCGAGGTATTTTAAAGAAGGAGATTATACTCTTTTCAAGTTACGATAACTTTCTTATAAATAAAACTTCCAATTAATTGATTTTTTTGAACTTATTTCTCATTATTGTATTTATAAGATAAACCAAAGATAATATTATTAAAAGCCTTTTTAAATGGTCGTTGTGAATATACCTAAAATGTTTTGTAAATTTTTGAGAAAATATTTTAAATTGAAATTTTCTTAGTTAAATGACAACTTTCTAGTAATGTAAGCAAACATATTTCTGTTGACTGTAGTAGCGAAAAATGTCATAAAATCCTGGCTTAAAATTGTCTACCTACAAAACTTATAGACAATATCGTCAGTGTATTCATGAATGGACAGTGGAGATGACCGGGATCACTCTGAGGGGCTCGGATGGAGGTCAGCAGTCTGGATCGGAGATGAAGTCCTGGATCATGACGCCTATGCGTTAATGAGCTTCGCTTCCCTTCGGTGGCGATTGCCTGGAAAGCGTTTCCAGAGGCATCGGTCAAGCCGAACACGAAAAAAATGGCACCAACATTGGCGACCAGCCACCAGAAGTGGCAGCCACAAGAAGTGGCAGCAGCAGTGGAAACCGCCACGGCAGCGGCATGAAGACGAATTATTGGCTCGCCTTTTGGAAAAATTAAATATCGCGTGTTGGTAATTTCCGCTTGGCTTCCCATTGCCGCTGCCATCGGGCGAAGTTGAGGCGAATTATTACGATGATTAGGCGACTGACAGTGCTCCCAGGCATCGGCATCCATGTCGACCATCCGGCCTGCCAGCCGTGATCTGTATGCATGTTCCATCCACCATCCAGTCCACCATCGAGTCCACCGTCCACCGTCCGCAAGTCGCAACTCCAAGTCCGCAGTTTGCAACTCGCAACTCGCAGTTTGCAACTCGCATTTTCGTATTTTGCGCATTTCGCATTTCGCATTTCGCATTGCATGTGCGGCGTTGTGTTCTCCACAGCGTTTTGTGGACATCTTCGTGGCATTCTGGTTCTGGGCGAGGATTAAATTACTTAAAACCAATCCCCTGGGCATATCGACGGATCCAGCCGCTGTCAATATTGTGTCGCCTCGTAACCCGCACGATCGAACCCGATCGCGGTGCTCAAGTGGCCAAAATAAGTGGCCAGCCAGCCAACTGGCCATGCAGATATTGTTTCCTCGGGAGGAACCACATACCACATATATGTACTACACCTGATTGTAACCTTCTCTATATTCACATATAATCAGGGGGAAATAGAACAAACTCTTCATTAAGTGTACGAAAACCAGGAAGCGTACAAAAACCTTGTTTACATTAGCTGCACACTTTTTGTCATTCAGTTCAAAAGTTCATAAAAATAGAGGATTAAACTTTACAGAGAAAGTAACTATGTATTTACAGTACTAGAATTTTAATTGGAACTTATTTATTAACATATTCAAACTTGACTTGCCTTTTATTATTGTTTTATTAAGTGATCATTTAAGTTATTGTAAAAGTTCTTTTATATTGTAAAACAATATAGAGCAACAATGTAACATATTTAAATATAGGCTAACCATTCTGAAAAGTTCATTGTACCTAAGTGCCCAATTGAAGCAGAGAATGATTGACATTCCACCAGCATATGATTGACAATCCAAAAGCGGCTGCGAAATTACCCATCGAAATGAGGGATAAGGATCGAGCTGCCAATATCGATACCACATCCGCACCGGTGGCGGATGGATTGGGTGTTCCTCACCTAAATGCCGGGGAATTTGCGTGAGCTTAATGCGGATCTCATTCAGTATTTTTGGGAACAAGTCCGGTTAATGTAAAGATAAACCCCTAAACCCTTTCTGCATACGGTGCATATGCATTTTTGATTCCCGCCTAAAGCTCGTGTAGCTTGGAGTCAATTTATTTGCTTTCTTATCCTCGCGTTTGAATAATTGGCTACCAAGTTACCTTTACGAGATCGAAGCGGACCTTCTGCATTTTGCGTGTCCAGGTTCAGCCTCGGCGGCATTCGCATTCTGTGGCATTCTCTAGCATGCCTCAATTACAATCAGATTAGTTGCATGTGAGCAGGAACCCTTTGATGGAAAACGATCGCGCCAGATTAAGTCGCGAACTCAGAACTCAGAGCTCAGAGGAGGATGGCCATTCCTCTCCTGCCATCCGGCTGCACTCACTCGCACGAATCTCGCCGTCCAGGAACTGTGGATCACCCAAGGGGAGGCGACGGGACAGGAAAGCCACTGTGTATTGGAGATCCATTAAAATGCTGGCCCCAATTTCAACAGCGAAGAAGAAAGGCGTTGCTGAGGTTTACCAATCATTGCGGGATAAACTTTTATTTATACTACAGAAATTTTTTTTTAAGAATCATTGTGACAATCTATTAGGAAATGCCACCAGTATACCCTTTAAATTTATTTATATGTTACTAATACATTTAAATTAACAGTTAATCCCTATTGAACGCAAAATACAATCCAGTCAAATATTGTATTTCCCATTTCCCTGTCCTTAATTTTCACTGTAAAATAAAATGTAGGTTCTACAAGCAAACCAAAATTACTTTTGTTCTTTCATTCCGATGAGTTGTGTATGTAAGCCTAGTAAATAACTAAGAAATACTTTTGTATTTGTGTGCGAGAATTGCACTTCACAGATGCTGAATAATTTTCGTTCGGGATGATGATGAACACAACTTTTGATATAAATTGCAATTTATTGTGTCTTTTGGTGAAAAAAAGTGTTTTTGTTTCAATAGTTATTTTTTGCTCCCTTTGCTCTGCATTGTTTTCCTTTTGTCCTTGCGAACAGAACATCAAAGCTGAACCAGAGACTTTGTCATCAGGATTCTCTTTGCCTTTTTGTTTTACTAACCGGTTCGCGTTCAGATATTCTTGAAAAATTCTGATTTAAAACCTCCTGCAGGAATGTTGGAAAAGGGCAAATATTAGGAATATTTTGATATGCTAGTAAAGTCAGAGATTAAAGAATATGTCAATAAGTATTTATTTTATCCCCTTTATTCTACCATGAATCTCTTATACAAACTTAAACATATTTAAGCACCTAAGTTAGTTGCAAATCTTGATTAAGTTGGTCAACTCAGAAATTCCAAATGAGGCAACCACCTTGTTGCCCCGTTTGTTTACGAAATTATCACGATTAATACAATATTTTGATTGCTACCTGAAGGATGTTGTGAAAGCATTTTGAGAAGTGCCACTGCATTTACCACAGCAACTTATCGCAACCACGATTCGAAAAGCCGGAAGGGTATTCATCCCCTTTGATTAGCGCCTGTAAGTCAGAAAGGACATTCCGCTCTGCGGACCGATGTCATCCTGAGAAAGGACATCCTAATGAATATGTCATTGTGCGCGATAAAGTTTTCACTTTATTGTCAGAATTGTCTCGTTATTAACACGAGTTGAGTTGATCAAACGTGGAATGTGCCGTGATAAGAGGCTTAGGACCAAGGACCAAGGACCAAGGGAATTCCAAGACGGGAGAAATTGGCATTCGCATTGTTTTCGAGGGACTACAGCTACTTGGTTTCAAAAATCCAAACCGGATTTCAGTTGGCTTTTGGTGCTTATTATGTTGCATAAATTCTGACACGCAAAGTTTTTTTTATACTGAAAACCTTAACACAAAAAGTGACCGCAAAAAAACTTTGGCGAAATCAATCCGAAATTGTTTCTTTCATTTTTAAGTAACCATAATCAACGGTTTAAAATTTGTATAACTTTCTCTTTAATGATTGGATGAAAAGAAACTGAAGAGTTTTTGAAATTTACGATCCAGTCAACCTAAGTTTTAAAAAGAAAAGGCTTTTCAAGTTCTGAATCCAGAACATTCGTAACAAGATGACCCTGACCTTATTTATTTTTACGAACAATAAAACAGAACCCGTATATCCCATAAGGCATTTAGTGTTTGTGTATGAAAAACAAACTCTTTATTTAGTATTCAAATTGTTGAGATTCGAAAACACGGTCCGATTTGTTATGTTTATGTAACCCTTATTCTTCTCTGTGGTAAGAGAGGAACTTATCACTGCGTTTGAATGGAAAACTGGATTAAAGGTCGCCGGACTTTGCGTCCTGTCAACGATCGTCCCGTCGTCAATAAATCAGGCGGTCGAAAATTCCGTTACAGGACACGGGATTCGTGAGAAAACGTCGTGAAATATCCCAAAGCGGAAATGTTTTTCTCATCCAACCCACGGACCCACTGTCCGGTTAAATGACACAGGGAATCTGAGTTCTAATCGAAATACCGGTTGTGCTAACCATCTTACACCGCATCTGCAATTACTTGTTTCGGTCCAAAAGAGTCCTGCAAACGGGTTTCATTCGCCGTGTTTGCACGGCCATCCATCCGGATATCCGGATATGAATATTAAGCAGCCGTGTGGGTATTTATCTAATCTTAACAAATGACTTGATGTCTTCGTCACCGCTGTTAGCCGTGCAGGACATGCAAATAAACTTTTTACGCAGAGGTATTTATCTGGCGGGTATTAGTGTCAAACTTTTCGGTCCGCAGCATTGACAAATGACAAAAGGCCGACAGGGATTGCTAAAAACCAGACTGAATTTTGAGTTCTGTTTGCTACCTTTGATTTTAGAATTTGTAAGTTACCTTGTAATCAAAAAGAAATACTTTCTTTCTAAGTAAAAATATATCTAAGCCTCTGTTTAAAATGTTTCATAAATAAAATAACATTTCTAGCCAAGAAATACTTTACTAAGTACTTAATATACTATACCTACTATTTTG